TATCCCATGTGCGTGCTGTGTAATCCCAACTGCCGCTGACCAAAAGCATGCCCACAGGAGAAAACGTTAATGAGCTAACAGGTCCAGTGTGACCAGCCAGGATATCCAGCAGCTTGCCCGTTTGCACATTCCATACGTAAATCTCGAACGTGTCGGTCGTTCCTGCGCACACGACTTCACCACTAGGATCCACCACCAGTGAGGAGAACTGTACAGGGTTGGGACTCGTGAACGTTCGGAAGTTTCGATAGCGTACCAGATCGAATGCACGTACAGTTCCATCCATACTGGCGGAAAACAAAACCTTGCCCTGCTTTGCAAACTCGACAGCCATCACATTGCTCTTGTGGTCGCTGAATGTGACAAAGCAAAAGCCCGACGTTGTGTTCCACACCTTGACTTTACCGTCTTCACCACCTGTTGCAAGTGTCTGTCCATCCGCAGAGTATGATAGCGACGTCATGTTGTAATAATGGCCTTGCTGCTTTAATACATAGGTCTCGGATTGCCATTCCCACACCAGCAACTGACCCAGTGTTGATGAGCCAAAAGCAAGCCATTCACCAGTACGGTTGATAGTAACGGTGTCGATTTTATGTTGAGAAATACTGATGATAGCATACATTTTAGTATTTCCAACCCCAGATACTGCTTGTCATCAGATACAAACTACATACCTTAATGTATGGATGTTTACAAAGCTTGGCACCTCATATAGGCCAAAGACACCATTGGAAAAGCCGACGACAAGTAAGTTGCTGGGTGCAAAGAAGGCGCATGACTTGACTTTGATATTGTTTTGGTTGAAATAATGTTTTCCTGATATCCGCCATTGGGCTTTGTCGACACGGTTAGCTTCGCCATCATCAACATCCATTTCGTCCTCGTCGTCAGAATCGCGTGCAGCTGCTCTCGTTCGGTATTGCCAGTGGAAAAGAGCACCGTCTTTACTAATGGTATATATCTAACATTCAGGTATCATCAAGAGTTATTACACGAATAATTCTAATCTGAGAATATAGATCGAGGAAACATACATTTTGCATATCATCGGAAAACCATGCACCGAGTACCGAATTACGATGGCCTGCCAATGTTTGTGGAACGTAGTCTTTTGAAGCATCCATACGATAAAGGCGTACTGTCATGTCACTCGACGACGTTAAAAAGTATCTACAGAAAGATCAAGAACGGAATTGGTGGCTGTTGTCATCACCTTTAAAGGACCAAGAATACATACTTTGAGTCCGGGCTCCACGATATGTTGAGAATATCGTCATAGTGGCCGCCGATGGTCTTGTGCTTCACAAAGGGAGCAAATTCCCGGTTGAAGCCTGGTGCTTTCCAAATTTCGACGTATTTTTCGTGGCTGGCGGCAATCCATTTGCCGTCAGGACTGAATTGGATTGCTTTGACAGGTGCTTTGAAGTTAAAGTGGGCGATCAAAACTCGTCGTGGAAGGTTGATCAACAATGCTCGACCATCTAAATGTTATCCAGAGCGTTAGTATATGCTTGCTTACAGCGCACTAAATAATTCTCTTCTCTTTTCTTATTTTCGATAGTCGAGCGCGAACCTTTATCGATCGTAACCAGTAGTGTAGCGTTTGGTGAGAGTGCCATGAGTTTAATATCTTTTCGCATTTCGACCGGTAAAGTCAAGGACTTGTTGCTGCACGAGAGAGAAAAGCAGTAACATGTTAATAATTGCTTCTCATATGTACTACTAAGTATAGAGTTGGAAAGAACATACTTGACTAGATCAAATACCGAAACACGGTTGCCGACGGGACTCAAGATCGAGTTGCCGTCTGGCGTAAATATCAGGTTGCCTGCTGTATAGACAGTGCCGCATAGGTTGGAAAACTACGATTGCAAAAATGTTAGTTATGGAATGCCAATTCCCAAAAAAAAAGTTCAATTGAGTGCACACCTTAAATCCTGTCTTCATCGATCGAGTATTTTTTAAATGAAATAGATCAGTGCGAAAAAAAAAGTTCGGGATAAAGCAAGATAAGTTGTCAAAGAAAAAATGGTCACGGTCAGCCGAAAATGCGGGCGATTTTTTAAAGTTCGACATGGAAACGGTGCGAGAGTCTCTGCATACCCTTCTTGTTTTATTTCACCTTTTTACCCCGCAAACCTATGCGTTTTTGTCCGAGTTGCAAAGACAACGCCAGCTCTAGAAGCTCACTATCCAACAACAACAACAACAATAACAATAATAACAGCAAGTCCAAAAAGTGAGTTTGAAAGAGAAATACGTACTGTACGCTTATGTTTAACTAAACTAGCAAGTCAGCAGCAGCAGCAGCAACAGCAACACGAGCTCCAGTGACAACGAAGAGGGGTTTATAGAACCAAAGTTTCCCATCAGTCAGTACGAGTTTATTGAAGGACGCAATTTTCGACAATTGAGTGGAGCTTCTCCATTCTTACCCTGCGATGACGAGGAAAGCGAACGGTTGCAACTAAATTATCTATTGTTCAAGTGAGTTACCAACCTACAAAAGACGGTCATCTCGGACGCTTTTCTCAGGGCAACCACAATTCTCAACGTGCTAATTTTTCCTCTCTATCGTAGAACTGTTTTTAAAAAGTAACGTAATATACAGCAGCCCATATTCTACTGATTTGATTGACCGTATCTAACCACCTTTTCTTATTTGAAAAGAACGCACTTTCCGCCTATTGAAGATGATCTGAAACGAGGCATTCGCGTTCTCACTGTCAGGTAAGCCTGAATAGCATAGAAGCAGTGCAAGAACAAACATCCGAAACTCAACAAGACGCTTCATTTGGTCCATGTAGGATTGGACCTGGACATTGGGTCAAAGTAAGTTTCTGCATACTTCATTACAGTTGCTCACTGTATTTTATCTGACGGTGATTCTTTGTTTTGATATGACACTTTTAGGATATGGCAGAAACATATCCAAATTCGCATTTCACAGGCACTGATGAGGTCATTTATCCGATCAGGTAAAATTGCACAACCATCCGTAAATTAAGTTGTCTTTATTGTCACTCATGATCTCGTGTATTTGATCAAACTATCAAGTGATCCGCCGCCCAACTGTCATCTGAGGATAGCCAACGCAGCCAAAGGGCTTCCATTTGCAGACAACACGTTTGACTATGTCGCCCAACACGATACCATTCTCACATATACCCGAGAAGAGTGGGACAAGGCTATTGCTGAATTAGTTCGAGTGTTAAAGCCTGGCGGATGGCTTCAACTGGGTAAGGAAATAATGTCCCTTTTTTTTACACAAAAGACGGACACAGAAAAGGTCTTACGAAGCGCTTCCTGATTTAGTGGAGACCAGCGGGATTCTACAGGACGTCGGTCCAAATCTGTCAATATGGTTAATGCGAGGTAACACTGATTACATTAAACTTTTGGAGCACAAATGATAAAGTTGCACATGGCTAACGTAACGTTGTTCTGCTGTGCGTCTGCCGTGTCTCTTCTTGCCTACACAGTGACAGTCTCACTTCAAACACGCAACATCCATCTGAAATTCGGTCCTAAGCTGCACGAGGTCCTTGAAGCACATAGTGGCGTGACAGACGTTACCTACTCCCATCGCTCCATTCCCATCGGTTGGCTGGGCAAATTGGGTGATCTTGGGCTTGAATGTTTGGAGCGCATGTTTGACTCAATGAAACCGAGGCTGTGTGATGACTGGTCGATGAACTTGCAAAAATATGAAAAGATGGCACAGGCAGCGGCAAAAGAGTGCCAGGAATTCAGGAGTTGGACAAATATCCACTATGCATATTGTAGAAAGAAGCTTCCTAACGAGGATGAATAATTTTGTATTGACACGCCCACTTGTATTTCCTTACCCTTTCATATTATATATGCGCTCATACACACTTGCACACCCTATACGTATACTACACGACAACAACTGTACTGATATCACCTGTTACTTATTCATATATACATACATATTCCCTGCTGTCTGACTTTTATTATTGATAATGGTATAATAAACAAGCATTACTAGTCCTCCATGACAATATTTGACCGTGATGAAGACTGTGAGTCGCTTTGGGCAAATGCGTCAATGCTCAGCGGTTCCGCAGGATGATGCTCTTGTCGAGGCGTCGACAAAGGTGATTCCACATCGTCAAATCCCATAAATTCAAATTGTGCTGCGTTTGCTCTGTGCTGACTGTCATATCCATGGTTGTTGTAGTAATGCATCTCAGGATCCGACAGTTCACGAAACCGGTTCCTGCATCAAATAACCTCGTGTTAGTCATGTTACACATGCAGCTGGCTAACTAACTAGTACTGGTACTTCAATAGCAGCATTACATGGATGCTCCTAGATCGTCAAGCTATAGTTGTTCAAGACAGCATAATTACATTAGTGAAAGGCATTCTATGGAGGTTTCCGGACCCTTTTTCTTCTTCACCTTGAGCATGAGGTTTTTTAAACCGACTTCTTTTTTATGGAAATTTTCCAAGTTTTGCTGGTAGCCGTGTTCGATCTCATTATTTTCGCTAAATTGTTGGAGGGTGCTCTGTTTTTGACTGGGTAAAAAAAAAGTTTAAGGCGGATGTTTCCAAGATAAACATGGTCCTGAGAAAGGCCCACTATCTCTTTCTTACGGCAAGTCAGTAATATTCTCCAGAGCAATGTGATCACGAGCCAGGTCAATTTGTTTGCGACGAATGACATCGAGTTCCCGGAAGATTCGTTCAGTGTCTCTTCCTTTAATCCAGTATTTGGTTTTCATAAGATTAAAATGTAGTTGCAGCCACATGAGAAATAAAGAATGCTTTTTATAGAGATCCCAGTACCAAAGACACGTGCTTCACCGCTAGCAAACATACGGTCCATTCGTTTGAACTCCATCTCCAGACTCATCAAAACATGATTGTGGTTTTGCATAATAATTATAATAATGATAATAAAGGGGTCATGCCCGCTGCACCCTGACTTCGGGGAGACAGAGCCCTGATCTTATTACAGTAACCACTCCGCTGCAGCCCCACTCTCATTGTGTGTGTGCCACCTCAACCTCAATCCGTCAATGGTACTTTGTAAACAATTACTCTTTTAGAGGAACTGACAAACAGACGACAGTGGTCACGCTCGATGGTACCTCTACTGGCATACAAAAACCTGCTAGCAACAAATTCAATTAAACTACCACGATGCTAAAGTGGAACAGCATATACTTGCAGAGAAGAAGAGGAGAGCGAGTGTGTATGGCTATGATCCCGTGCTGTGCTTAGAGATCTACACCCACAGCACTAGCTACTGCCAGCACTCGGTGTGACCCCACTTCATCGGATACGAGATGAGTGCCTCCATTGCCCCAAACTCCTCGTCTGCTGCATCAGGTTTTACCTGAGGGTTGTCTTCTGCCAGCAGTATGTTACATAGAGTAAAGCACTTTATGAATTTTCATAGGATTGTTTCTTCTTCGACTGAGATGATGATACATCTTCCATGTTTGATAAATACAATTCATCCTTCCTTTTTCTGTGTGCGCGTGTTTTGTTTTGTCTCCCTCAATCCTTTTTTGATAGAGAACATGAGCTTACCGCACTAAAAGTGCCAAAATTAGATGATCGAGTGAGGAAGTAGATGTCACCAAGGTTCTGTTTGACACATCAACTATATAAAGAGTGTATAAAAGGCAGAGCTGTCTATTTCACAACCAATTTCATGGACACATAGTGTTCTTCCACACAGACCTTTGAGCTTTTATTTAGGCAGAAGAGCTTTATATCCAAGCAGGGAAGATTTTTATTCAAGCAGATGCGCCATAAATAAAAGTCATCAATCGCTCTATAGTTAAACAAGTACGTGTCATAGTATGTGATATGTATTGAGGAGACAAGGGTCGAGCAGACACATGTTTGTATCTATTCATATGATATCAAACGTAACCCTCAAAGTTGCAAACGCACAGGCAACGAAGTAGAAGGTCGGCGCGAGTGCTCATGACTTAATTTTGGTGTCGGTCCAGACAAGCAGAGCAAGCAGCAACAGCAGCAGCAGCAGTAAGCACAAACTCCGTTGTTAAAAACTTTTTTGAAGGAACCCGCTGCTTAGTTTCTTTTCACTTTTTTCTTTGTAAAAAAAACCGTAATTCACACCATGGCTGACAAGACCCAACAACCAGAGGTTCCCACCACCATTGCCGACTCGAACGTCATGTCCAAGTACAAGGACGCCGCCACTCTTGCTAACGGTACGCCTTCTTTTGCTTTGCCCGTGGCAATAATAGATTGATTTATTAGACGTGTTTTCAATTGACAGATTTTATACTTTTTTCTTTTTGACTTGTATTAGGTGCTCTTGACAAGGTCATTGCTCTTTGCGTTGACGGTGCCAAGATTATGGATATCTGCATTGCTGGTGATAATGCTATTGTCGAGGCCACCAAGGGCGTCTACACTAAGAAGAAGTTCTCCAAGGGTAAAAACACAAACGAAAGCAACGGGCAAAGAGCCTTTGAGAGACGACAACTTAACGCATATGATAATCCTAGGTATTGGTTTCCCCACCACCATCTCGGTCAACAACTGCGTTGCCCACTTCTCGCCTCTCCCCAGTGATCCTGAGGCTAGCACCGTTTTGAAGGATGGTGACGTTGCCAAGATGTAAGTTATAATTGTGCTTGAAAAAGAGACAAGAGAGAGAGAGAACAAAGATCAATCTATGGTATCATGGCGTGTTGATAGAGCGACAGAAGCAAAAAGAGAGAGAATGGACCTTGGGTAGCTAACGGGGAAGGATGGTCCTTGCATTCCGTGATATAGTCAACTTGGTGTCCAGATCGATGGCTTCTGCTCGACCGTCGCTCACACGCTCGTTGTTGGCGCTTCCGCCGAAAAGCCCGTGACTGGTGAGAAAGCCGATGTCATTCAAGCTGCTCACACTGCCTTGGAAGCTGCTTGCCGCTTGATCCGCCCTGGCAGCAAGGTATGACAAGAAGATACCTCTTTTTCTTTCATGCTGCTGCAACCTTGTCTAACACAATTGATGTCTCTACGGTTTTTCATTTCTCGTTTAGAACATGGAAGTCACCAAGGTCGTTGACGAGATCTCCAACACATTCAACACCAAGCCTGTAGAGGGTATGTTGACCCACCAGCAGCTCAAGGACAAGACCGATGGCAAGAAGCAGATCATCTTGAACCCTACCGAGGCACACATGCGCGACTTTGAGCGCTGCACGTTCGAGGAGAACGAAGTCTACGCCGTCGACATTTTGATCTCGAGCGGTGAAGGCAAGGTCCGCCAACTCAATGCCCGTACCACCGTCTACAAGAAGACCGACAGCCGCTACCAGCTCAAGATGAACACCTCGCGCCAGGTCTTGCACGAAATCAAGAACACTGCCGGCCAGTTCCCCTTCTCCCTCCGCCAGCTTTCGGACGAGCGCAAGTCGCGCATGGGCATCGTCGAGTGCGCCAAGCACCAGTGCGTCATTCCCTACGATGTTGTCTACGAGCGTGAGGGTGCCGTTGTTGCCCAGTTCTTGACCACCCTTTTGGTTACCAAGAACGGCAACGTCATGGCAACCGACCCCAAGTTCAACCCTGCTGTGATCAAGTCGGACAAGGCCATCAAGGACGAGGAAATCTTGAAGCTCTTGGCCACTCCCTTGAAGGAGCCCTCTGCCAACAAGAAGAAGGCTGAGAAGAAGTAAAAAAGAAAAAAAAGACCCGTTTGTTTATATCGTTGTTTCACGTAGACCCACTACCCTTTCTCCATCTCTCTCTCTCTCTCTCTCTCGCAAAAAATCGCATTTGTATGTTTGTATCATCAACATTAGCAGCATCATCCAAAAATAACAATAAAAAACATAGTCCAGCCAAGCCAGTGGGTTGCCGTCAAATCGTGATTGGCCTGGCGGTGTAACATACGTGTAAAATAAAAGATAATGCCGGTCCTATTTTTTTTTGTTTCCTCTTTCTCTCCTGCTTTTCTTCGTTCTGCACACCACACACACACTCCATTAGACCAGCAACGATGCTTCCCTCCATCCAGCAGCTCAACAGCGAATCCGCACAAGTCTTCATCGAGACTGTCAACACCCTTTTCGAGACAGCCCCTCCCCTTGCCGACCGTCTGCTTGCTGCACGCCCCTACGAATCCTATGCCAAACTTATTGACTTTGCCGAATCAATCTGCCTCGGTCCCGAATTGAACGAACAAGAAAAGTTGGACATTATCAACGCACACCCAAGAATTGGTGCATCCAAGGCCAACTTGTCGGCCATGTCTCTGCGAGAACAAGGATACACGGATCGTCAGGCCGCTGTCTCCAACGAGGATGAACAAGTCAATGCCGAGTTGGCTCGTTTGAACCAGGTTAGAAGAAAAACACATCATGCTTTATGAAGATCAACGGGTTGCTGTGAGGATCCATTATTGCCTCGCTACTTTATACTCACTTTTGCTTCTACTGCTTCCTTTGTCCTTTTCTTAACAGGAATACGAAGACAAGTACGGATTCAACTTTGTTGTGTTCGTCGCCGGTCGACCTAGAGCACAGATCATTCCTGTCATCAAGGAGCGTATGGCCTCGGGTGACCGTCAGAAGGAAATGGTGACAGGAATGACGGATATGATGTTGATTGCTCGGGATCGTCTTCAGAAGGCTGCCGTTGCTAAAATATAGTGTGACCACAAATATACCTTTGTCGCTATTTCAAACCATATCCGACTGTCTTTGTGTAACTCCGAGAGGTATAATGATCCTGCATTTGTGGGGGGGGTCGTGTGGACGTACTCCACACCGTTTTGGTCTTACGATGGCCCCCACATTTGAATCATCAACGGCTCTTCTGGAGCCTTGTCTATACCGGCTGAAGAGATCTCTGGTGGGGAAGTGGAGAGAGGGTGATTTGCATTGATCAAAGGTGCTCATACTGTGTTTCACTTCGTACCGGACATCCTCCCCGATATGCGATATCCCATTTTCACGTATAGTCTTACACACCAATGCATGCTATGATAGCACTTCCTTATAGACCAAGACACACATAATTTCAAAATACCCTCGCCATCCCCTTCGTTGTTGGTCACACTACTAAGCATTTTTTGCACCGATATCATTCGCAACGGCAGATCTTTGTTGTTTTTGCATTCTAAAATGATGAGTTTTCCATCATGTTTTTGGTCATCAGTTAATTGCACCCTATGCTTTATTTCAAAAAACCCTGTTTTGATATATTAGTTACTGACAACAACAGAATGTAATTGTATTGAAACGATTCTGGACTATGTGTGATAACTTACCATGCTTGGTGCATATACTTTTGCACCGCAGAAAGTGCTTGGTATCGTACATCTTGATCCTCGTGGGTCATCAGTTCCATGACCCGCTGCTTAGCCCCAACTTCTTGTAGAACCCTAGTATCGAATGGGCAACGTAATACATTTTAACCATTACAACCCTTTCCCTCTTTTCATTTGGTTGCGACCTGTTTGATTCGTTTCACTTACTTCTTGCCCTGTTTTGACGCATATTTGGAATATTGACCGATGTCATTGGCAGCTACAGACAAGATCACAGGGCTAGTTGCTGTACTGAGGATACGCGCTAGTTGTCTAATAATCATCCAACCTAATCAGATTTCTTTTCTTTCCCATATCTACACATATGCCAAGATACCACTTAGCGTGCATAATATGTGTAACGAACCTTAGCAACTGGAAGTTATTTTCTTCAAGCCGAGAAGCATTCTCCTTCCAGAAAGTCTCGGATTTGTGTGGAGGTGACCATTCAAGTTTGCCCGTTTCGACCTCGGATGCATATTGTTCAAACGTGCTGTTCGAGTAATGATGGGTGATGTTGGTTTCTTGTTTTTTTTAAAAGAAAGAAACTACAGTAGAAATCATGAAATCGCTTACGTCAAGCTTTGGAAGTTTTCCTGAAGGCGTTCTTTCACGTAATCGATATCCTCCAAAATATCGGGATCCGACCACTTTCGCGTGCTCAAGTTTTCAGTGAAGGGGAGCAGCTTGGCAACAAGCATTGATGCAAGGTTTTCGGAGGGAGCCTTCTCAACAAGATTCTACATATAATACACGTTCCATTTTCAGTGATAAAGGTTGTTCTTCTCGTACATAGGGAGGAGGCGGGGGGTCATGCTTAATTAGGATACCTTGAGAGTAGCGATGGCAACACGGATTACTTTTTCTTTCATGGCTGCCTTGGCAATATCTGTAAGCTTTGGAATGATGTCATAGAGCCTATTATCATATACAATATGAGCATGAAGGAAGAACATCAAAGAAGCAGTGAAGCAAGTCTACAGCGGAAACGGTAATGCTTACTTGTTGATTTTGCTGGCAATTTCAGTTTCAAAAGTCAACAACCACAAGCAGAAGATGGTCTGATACTGCATTTGTGGTGTAGCTGTCGACTTGTCAAGGTTAAACACGAGTCTACAGAATTCATCTTCGATTAAACCTTATTCCAATCACCAGGATTACAAAGAAGAGCAAGGGCGCTGATTTGTTTGTTTTTTTCTGCTTACTCTTTAATGGTATTTTGAGTGTTCCAGAATGGCATACGGAATTGGCGTACGCGGAGTAAAGATTCCACTTCTTGCACCACCACATCCACGACCTCGGGCTTACGGCTAGCCAACTGTTCACTGATCCAGCGCCACAAGTCTGAAAGGTCGAGTGAGCCAGGATTAGGTGCAGAGCTGTCAAAACGGCCATCCCGTCTCTTTTTAGTAATCTTTCTGTAAGATAGTTCGTGGTAAAACGGAAAAATACATACCATGCGAGAATTGTCAGGATCTTACTGGCTTGAAGCGAAGTAAATTCATCCTGCAGATGTAACGCCCTACACGTAACCCCACATGCGTCAGTCTTTTCATTTTTTACATCTTCTCAAACTTACCCCGGGAGATGCAGCGAGAGAAATAAAAGTGTAAATAAATAAATACTGCTTACTTGAAGAACGGGCCAAAAGGATACGACTCGTCTTCAGCTGACACGTCATGGAAATACTGAGCATTCTCATCGTGTCCTAGGTGCATAGATGTCAAGTTTTGTTAAGATAACAGAACACGAGCAAACCTTTTGAAGATCCAATCATCCCACAACTTGCATAAGAAAACGAACCTGAGAGGATGTTGTCGGCGAGAATACATACGTACTGCACCGTGTCGGGTCGAGATAAGTTCTGCAAGAGGTGGAGAATGAGCGATGCGTATGTCGTGCCCTTGGCTTGAACTGCCGATTGGACTTGTTCCGGCGAACGTTTGTCGATGGCTTTAATTAATTCTACTTGGTTATGTGTCACCAAATTAGCGCGTTCGTATGCCTGTAGTGTTTATTAATAATGTCGAGATGAGTGCGTGCGAGTGTGTCAATCGTGTATACGTGTGTTTCGGGTGGACGGTTGAACTGTTCTTGACAATGTGGAATCTTCTATTATTTTTTACCTCCCAAACAATAGACTTGCTGCTAATTTGAGCAGCTTTCTTGTCGAGGTAGGCATTGGTAACCAAGGCGAGTGGTACTTCTGGTACGGTCTCGTCCCCCATAATCTCGGTTGTAGTTGCTAAGTGGAGCTGTTGCAAGGAAGGGAAGAACGTTCTGAAACATGCCAGGCTTGCAGGTTCTCTCATCTCTCATCGGGGCTTAGAATTACGATCTCAGGTAAAAAAACAATGCACTGGTTCTTGAAGGAAACATGTTTTAAAATTCTATGTGCATTCCAAACCTTTTGATCCTTTATCAATACATAAGTTCTAAGCTCATTTATTGCGACAACTAGATGGTTTATGTGGTACACTACTTGATGATGTTATATGCATTCGCTACTAGTGCGCAAAACATAAAGCACCAAGGATCGCGCACGAAATTTAGTTTTGAATTTTGAAATGCTCGCTATCATAAATATCGTTCTGAGCTCTTAACACAGTGATGCACTTGTCATGAGAGCTCGAAAGCACTAACGCATTATCAAATTGTAAAATGTTGCTAATGATAACCATATAGTAGCTATGTCAGCTGGATTCATCGGCAGCTAGTTCTAGCTATGGCAATAAGAAGACAACTACAATTGACTGCTGCATCTTTGTCAATTTGAACCTTATTCAAGAGTTAGCGGAAGCAGTGAATCAAGGCCATGATGAATATATGGAGCTTCTTTTTAAGCCCTTCCTAATACCTACTTCCTTTCTACGATGTACTTTTAAGAGTTTCTCTTGATCAAAGAAGTATTTTGATCCTCTTTCTTCTAATACTACTCCGTCTTTTCAACAAATTGAAGGTAAACTACCATGATACCGAAGTACACGAAAGGTAAGAACAAGAATTTATTTCCCCGTTATCATATATATGGCAGCGTTCTCACACTGGCTAATGAATTTTTTCTCAAGGATCTTGCATATATCTTTGTAAGCATTATGTATCACCTTTTGCACAACATTATTTACTGCCTTTACAAACCTAATATCGCCAACATGTTGTCACTGTCAGGAAAGGAAGATATTTCCGATTTATTTCATGATGAGCGATGATGGCCTGTCCTAAACTTTGTAAGCAACATTACTTTGAGAAGGTAGTAAAACATCAAATCGAGCGTGTTTGTCACAATGCTCCGAGTATAGATACACTAAATTCACATGATATCATCCGGTACAGAAGCTTTAGCAAACGTACAAGCCTGCTGTATAAATTGAGTGACTGGCATCGCAGAATAGCAGCAGCAATACCGGGAACCGGACCTCGTGTAAGCAAGGTAAAACAAGACCGATTGCGAAACTCGGAACGAATACTCGGTGCTGCGTTAGATGAAGCACCTGTTTATTTGATTACTAAAAACTAGCAGAGGGTCTGGGGAAATAAGACACAGGGTCCAAGCCAGACGGCGTTATCCAGATAAATTGGCATATAGACAACTTCATGAATAAGCGTGCTCATCTACACTATACACACAGAACGCGTTACTGAGCATGGCTGCAGTATGTTCCGTAAAATGCTGTTTCTGATCACGATATCTCATTGTCACTGTTGATTGTGCTTGTCAAAAATGTCTATATTAATGAAAACGACAATAATGCAGCACACTTGGGCATTTGAAAAATGTAAGGGTATCGTGAAATACAAGTTATTCGACCATAATGTCGCAACGGATGCGCGCATGGAGTTGGTATCAAAGTATTACTGTATGTGTAGTACTAGTAGCCCTGGACAAGAGAAATGGCTTTAAAAGCTAACATCTAGGAAAGCATGAAACATTGATTTTATTATTAGTGTCTATCATATGTTATTAGATCCATGGATCTGTAGCTGTTTGTTTTTAATATGCTTTCTCTTTTGCCGTGGCAGTGTTCTTGCTGCTTGGAAAGAGCTGGAAGGATGTCAGGACATAGAGAAAGGGTACACATGGACGAAAGTATCGTTAAAGAAACAAGGAGACAACCAGTGCAAAAGTTGGACGGCCATTAATCAACACATCAGAAGACAAGGAGCTATGATGCGTCAAGAATCAAACGGCATATCTTGAGAAGGAGCTCCTCTCATTGCTACTTTTTTTTTCGAAAACAACATGTAATTATGATGTTGCTAAATGCTGATATATGATATCTTGTGGTTGTAAGGGAATGGGCTCCAAAAGTAGTGCCGATGCAGATGTTATTAATCGTAATAGATGTATATAAAGAGGAAAAGAAACCCTCAGTGAAGCGACACATGGCTTCCGACCTGCCAATTTATCTCTCCACTTTTCTCTATGGGGTTCCTACTTTCCTCTATGGGGTTCCTGCTATTTCTGAAAGCAGATCCTCCATTGTTGATCTATCTTCCCGATGCTCTATCACAAGAAATTACACAGGAGTAATGACAAGGGAGACCGGACAAGAACAAGGCTAAGTGTCAAAAAAAACCTCGGGTGAAGTAGAAGTAGTAATGATGAATTAAGAATGATAAGTTGAGTGTGCAAAAGGTGATTGATCAGCTGTTGCGGATGGATGGATTGAATATCAAGGGTTTGTTCTAGTATCATAAATACCAAGCTTCGTTCAATCCTGGATACCTCTTTACTCTTCAATCAGTGCTATTTTTCGCTTTACACGCACACACACACACACACACACTCAAAATGCATCTCATGAAATCATTTTTGCCTGCAGCTGCCTCGGCACTGCAATCTGCGTTCCTCTGGTTCGCCGGTTTTCTTTCCTCCCCCTCTGCCTCCTCCCCCTCTGCCTCCTCCTCCTCTACCTCCTCCTCCTCCATCGCCACCAACAAGGACGACAACTGCAACCAGGCCGCTTTTGAGCTCACTGCTGAGGATCTAGCATTGGTCTTGAGCGCGGCGGTCTCGGTTGTGGAGACAACGATCTCGGTTGACCAAGCGGCAGCATCGTTGGTAAGGACCATGCTTCTGATTACCTAGCTCATGGTCCGTGTAACACTTCTGGTAGCCAGGGCTATCCTCTGGGCTATCAAGAAAACATGCTGTGTCCTGTAAAGGTATCTATAGTCAGCCACGTTCTTCCTTTTGTACAATCTTCATGGGTTATTATATGTTTGCTAATGCCAGTAAGATGTGTTTAGAGCCTGGACTGAAAGGTAAAAGAAACAGCGGTCGGTCCACTGCAAATATGTAAATCATTCGTAAATCCCCAGATAAAAACCATCGCTATGTTGTATCGAGCCATAGACTAATTACAACTTGACTTAGCAGCGCCGCTCTCAGCCGCAACATTTCTGCACTGCTCGTCTCCGTCGGTCCTACGCTTATCCTTACTGCACTAAGGTTTATCTCTTGCCTCTTTCTCTCTCACACTCTATATATAACAACTTTACCAATGTCAGACGTGGAATTAAACGAAGCAAGAACTGTCCGTTACAACATTAGCAAAGAAAAAAGATCCTTCCCAGAAACTAATTCAGAAAACCCCTCCCCCACTCTCACTCAACACTGCAGTTCCACTACATTCAGCCGCATCCGGCACTGGCGGGATCGCGATATCATCACCTTTTTTGTTCATTTATCCAAGAGCTTTTAAATTAAAATAGATTAAAATGGACTTAAAACACAAAAGCAACGTGTAACATTCCACGCTTTTATCGTATACCAGTGGTTGTTATGTGCCAAACTATATATATAGTGCGAGAGTAATGGTAAAGTAATGGTTCATATCGATAACCAAGACTTGAGCATAGAGGTTGCACAATTAAATAAAGTCGTAAGCGAGTTAAAATTGGTATTTGAGCTGCTATAGTGCTATCATAGCATATAAATCATACCTCTCGCGCGTTCACTTGCGAAATAGATATATTTAGCAAGCTGCCTGTTACATTTGTATGTATCTTAATTACGATATCATTTCCAACAAAGATATTAATTTACTGTAGACTTGATATTGCTGCAATGACTAGGTCATGAATAGCGCTCTTACACTCAGCATCTTATACCAACTATGATACTGCTGGACAGCAATGTCTTCTGAGCCTTTGATCACTTTCTGTTCAAGCTTCATATTTGAATAATTCCTGTTGCACGGGTGTAGGATTCAAGATAAGTATTTAGTATGACCACTATATAGCATTATCAGCATGTCCTCCATATTTTACTAACCCTTATTTTTCCCCGCTTACAGACAAGCAAGTAACCTCGAGTCAATAAAAAAATTCACCTTGAAAGGAGTGATATCTTCCCGACACTTATCAAATTGTGCCTGCTACTTGGCCGAGGAAAATATGCTCGTTTACATACCTATGCTGCGTCATAACGTGCGAGCTCGCAAACCTTCACAGTCTTCTTAAATAAATATTAATTTCTCGAATATCAATCATAAGACAGATGACATTTAATACCTAAATGTCAACGCGAAGCTTGCGGTACAAAAATGGAAGCGTAGATCTGTCCATCTTTCTTGTGGTATTTTTGATGCTAGATCGATTGCTTAGGAAGACGAATTAAGAGTGATCAATATTGTCTAATATGGGAACTTCTCTACGCTTCGGGCACGCCTTCAAAAGGTGCTCAAGAACAATGATCTGGTGTTCTTGCTCACAGTTGAAAGAAATGGATTGTTGTCCTTTGAAAAATGATTTTTCTTGGTAGAAATAGTTGCTTTGGTCAAGCTATCGGGTACTAAAGAGCAGCATCTTATCAACGCACAATGGGTACTCACAGCCAGAGTGAACAGACATGTTGCGGACCAATTACGAAGTCAAACGCATCCAAGTGCGGTGCCTGAAACACACCGCATGAAGACAACATGCATGTACATAGCAGTAAGATATCATACTGGCATGCATGTATACAGGGTCATCCAATGAGTTTGATGGTATTAAACATGTTAAAATTTTATTGTTATGATTTTTGCCTTTTGCTTTTGTATTGTTTTGATTGAGATTTTCCAACACGAAGGAAAGATAATACATTCTAAAGCTGTTGCATGCTACCCAGCATGGCTTGTGTTCGCATGATCTACATATTACCAAAATTTAAAATGTTAGCACCGGCATACTAGCGGATACAGCAATTTTCCCCTCAAATGCAAACAGATCTTTTACCTCTAAAGCCTGCTTTATTTCCAAATGTCGACGTGCAGCATCAAGCCAGTCAGCAGCCAAGTGTTTGGGCCAGCCCTTGAGCTGGTTAACTTCTCGAGTGGCACTCTCCAAATCATTCTCCTTGTGCAAATAGTACTCTGCGCGTGCGAGGCGTGCTTCCAAATCGTCACCGGGCACCAATCCTTCCTTCTTGAACATCAATTTGCTCATGATGATCGAGATGATATGCGAGATCATACTGCTGCCCTCTTCGGGTATAAGCGACGCCCGTCGCACCTCAGTGGCGACGTTAGCAAAGCGGGTGACCATTTGAGCCATAGAATCGATGCCATGGCGTGCCACGGTCTCGGAAATGTTAGAGGCGATAACCTGGACCAACTCGTCGTTTCGTCGCTCGGTAATGTCAGCAAATGGAGAGGCGGGTGCGCTGATTGTCAAAAGGGCTTGTAATTCGTCCAAGAAAGCTTCTTGGTTACCAGCATAAGCTGCTCTGCCCAAGGCATCCACAGCGATCGTCAACTGATGTGCCTTGCGAGCGTCATCCAGTGATTCGGCATTGGCATACGAGAGCTTTTCAAACACACGCTGGCGAACGGCGACTTCATCAACACGCGAAAGACGACCACCACGCTCGGTCTCGACCTGTTGACGCACCTCACGTACGTACTGTCGCTGGATCTCGGTAGCGCGTTCCTTCAATTCAGCAGACAATTTGCCCAAGAATGCGTCGCGTTGCTGTCCCAACTCCTGTGTAGCAATAGCGTTCATTTCCTTTTGCAAGTCCAAAGCTTCAGCAGCGAAATCACCCTTCATCTTGTTTTCCTTTTCGATGACGCGATCGCGTGATCGTTGACGAGCAGACTTGACCTTGTTATCAATTTCGTCAGTGTGACCTTCGATATGTTTCTCAACATCACTAGCAGCCTGTGTCAATGCAGCAGAATCCTTCAACACGCGGTCCTGCTCGGTTTGTACATGATGGTAGTCGTTCTGGAGACGTTCGATTTCGTGTGTACCGTAATCTGCCAGTCGCTTTGCATGACCCTTGAGTCCGGCGTCGTTCAACATCTTGACGAGTTCCTGTACCGTCTTTGCAAGTTCGTCGATAGCGGGTTCACCCACAGTGGCGAATTGCGGTACAGCCGCTGCTTCGTCCGTCTCAATAATGTTGGCAAAAATGCTGCCGCGACGACCCATACGCTTTGTTTTTCGTACAGTAGGTGCTGGACCGCTGCCTGCTGTTGCTGGTGTGGTGTTTTCGCTATCCTTGTCGCCACCGGTAAGCTGAGCTACGGTGTCACTGGCGTACTCGTACAGGTCCATCGACGTGTCTTTTGCTTTGACAGCATATTCTTTAAGTGTAACAGAGTATTTTTGTGCCTTTTGCTTCATCGCAATGGCCTTGTCGAAGTTTTCTTTAACGTCTTTGTCGTGCATGGCATCTTCGATAGCATCGAGCAACTGTTCGCCGCCAGGTACATAAGTCGTGTACGTGTCGTAGAATGCTTCGTTGTTGAGAGCTTCGTAGGTTGCGCCAGCATAGACAGTGCCAGCCAAAGCAGTGGTCCACACGAGCTTTTTGCCCAATGAACCTTTCTTGGGTTTGGCAGCTTCAGTTGCATAGTGTCTCGAGGCCTGTTGTCGTTGTTATCAAAGAAGTAATGGAAATTAGGAGAACATTAAAAAGACAAGCTGTACAGACAAACATAAGATAGAGTGCTTACTCGAGCAGCGGGCCGTGAGGCGGCGCGAGTGCCAGCTCGTGTCAATGCAGAAGCAAGCATGGCAGATCTTTTAAAAAAAAGAGAGAGTATCAAAAAGTCCAGTTTCCGAAAATCGCCCCCTTCACACTTGACAAAAAAAAGGACGGCGTCATCAAACTTGAGAAGAAAGTCAAAGCGGACGCCTAAATTAGCATTTTGTTGCTCCAAGCTTACACCTTCAAAGCTGTGTATCTTCTCTTCTACAAACCCGACTCTCTAATGTCACGCATTCTTCTCGGCCGCTTGTCTGCAGCTAGACGTCCTGCCACGATCCCGACTTTCCAGAGACGCTTTTTCCACAATGCCGAGAAATATGACGCACTCGTGATAGGTGCTTATACCAATGCAGAGGAGATCTCTCTTTCTGCGACTCAAAGCATTTCGTCCGGAACACAAAAAGTCGTGCTTGAACAACTCGCAGCTTCTGCCTTTAAGAAACAAGGTGACGTGCGCACTTTGTATAATGTCGGTGGCGTTAAGCAGGTTGCTGTGGTATCTCTTGGCAAAAAGGGCGAAACCACAGGCGAAGCCGAGCGACTTGAAAGTGCAAGAATGGCGGTAAGTCCAGCATAATTCCAAACGCACGACGAAAAAAGAAAAGCAACAGTAAAGATAGTGAACGAAGGATGTGTATATAAAAAAAAGTCGGCTCTAGGTATCCAAGCCTTACGCAAACAAGGCGTCAAGAATGTGGGCGTGGATGTATCTGTGAGCGCGCACGGTGCAGCTGAAGGCGCTGTTTTGGCCCAATTTGCGTTTGACAAGCTGAAGAACGAAAAGTCGCGTGCTGATGCTATTCAGGTGACGCCATTCTCGGAATCTGCCGAGGAGTCGAAACTTGACTGGGAAAGCGGTCAAATCTATGGCGCGTCGCAAAACTTGGCCCGTATGCTCATGACCTCGCCTGGAAACTTGATGACCCCCAAGCTGTTCTCGGAGGAGGTCGCGTATCTTTTGGCCGGGTTGGAAAACGTGGAAGTTATTGTGCATGATGAGGAGTGGGCTCAACGTCAAAAGATGAACTCGTTCTTGGCCGTTGCCAAGGGAAGGTATGAAAAACGGCATAAACATCTGTTGTCAATAAGAAAGTTATTAATGATCATCCATCCGACAGTGATGAAGCACCCCGATTTTTGGAAATTCATTACCGAGGTGCAACTGAAGATCAGGCACCGCATGGATTTGTTGGCAAGGGTAATGTACTATATATGAGTCGCCGATCCTTCTAGTGTAGCAACAACAAGGAGATGAAGAAGCACCCTGACCGTTTTCTTGTGTTACTCTATTAGGTGTCACATTTGACTCGTATGTACAGAGCAGCAAGTCTATAACAAGTTAATTGGGCTGTTGTTTAAACTAACGCTAACCTCCTGGGCTTACTGACTGTAGAGGAGGCATTTCGCTCAAGCCATCCAACAACATGGCGCTCATGAAGGGTGATATGGGAGGAGCTGCTACCGTGGCCGGTGCATTATATGGTATCTCGAAGCTTCAGCTGCCAGTCAACATTGTTGCCACAATCCCTCTCTGCGAAAACATGCCTTCATCCAAAGCCACCAAGCCGGGAGATGTGGTTCGCGCCATGGTAGGTAGAAAGCAGGATGCTTGTGAGCAAAATGGATAGCAGCTAAATGACAGCATTCATAGAACGGGAAATCGATTGAGGTCATGGATACTGATGCTGAAGGACGGTTGATTCTGGTAAGTGTTGCATTATTAACAAGTTTATAGCTTTTCTGGCCAGGTTTTGCTAATTTTCTGTTTTAAGGCCGATGCACTTTACTATCTCAGCTCTAAATTTTCACCTGAAAGCATCATTGATTTAGCGACTCTGACAGGTGCCATGGACGTGGCTCTTGGCAACGTATACGCTGGCGTATTCACAAATTCGGATGGCTTGTGGAGCCGACTGAATGAGGCCGGTATACTAACCTCTGACCCATTCTGGCGCATGCCTCTGCATGAGGGATACTTGAAGGAGATGAAGGAGTCAGACGTGGCAGACCTCAACAACCTGGGCAAGGGCAGAAGTGGAGGTGCTGCCTCGGCTGCAGCCTTCCTATCAGAATTCGTGGCTGGCTTAGATCCTGAGGAAGGTTACAAGGTGCAGCACCCTGCGTGGGCACACATTGACATTGCAGGCGTGATGGACAGCGCATCGACTCATGGCTACCATATCAAGGGCATGTCAGGTAAGTAGTGGCTACACGTCATATGATGCGATCGGAAAAAGACTTAACAATCTTTTTTGACAGGACGACCTACTCGCTCGCTGATAGAATATGCAAGAGGAATAACAACAAAGCAACAATAAAAAACTAAAGCGGACCAGGGCACGCACACTTTAACAAGCTTTATTAGCTCTTTAATGACCCAATTTTTGCTTGTGTCACCTCGACTATATAAGTGGCAGACCATTTTGTCAAGCAATCAGGCTTCTTGGCCTCCTTTATAACCGCTAGAGAGCAGAGCGCTTGATGGCAACGTCTCGTGCAAAAAAGCAGCGAATGCACCGTACGCCTTAACGGGTGTAGGTGTAAAGGGCTGATGTCGGCCCACAGCACGCACCCCCTCTTGTCCATCTGGTTGCTACGCCTGGCCGCCTCCGATCATCCTGAAACATGCGGCATAAAGCGTGGCAAATTTGATGAGCATCACACGAAGGGAAATAATCATACATACACGTCCGTAGTCGGCTGTGAAAGAGAGAGAGAGAGAGAGAGGGAATAGAAAAGTTGATGCTACACAAAGACACAACATAGCACGCGGCTCGCTTACCCAGATTTGAGCCATCTTATAAACATGCTTATATTTCGGGGCCAATCAACCTAGCCTTTCCTTTTTTCTCTTGTTTTTCTTTCTCTCTTGCTCCTCCCTTCTTCTTTCTTCTATCGTCACCAGCTCAAGAGCTCACAATCACTCTCATTTCAATCCCCACACGTACCTCCCATACAACTTCCACTTTCCCAGAAAACACTTCAGTAATCATACAATGTCTCCTCGGTCAAGGAGAAATGCAGTGTCCTATTTTAACGTGATGGTCGTCGGCTTCTCGGGCGTCGGCAAGACATCGTTTATCAAAACGCTCATGGCAGCCCTGAACAGTGAAGTGTCCAAGGACAAGCGTGAGTCGTTTGGAAGCCAACCCGCCGACTCGAACGCTCTTGCAGGGCCGCTGACAAAGACACTCAAGCCATACACGGCGTCGGCCGGCATTGACGTAGATGGTGAAAAGATCATGTTCACTGTCATTGACACACCGGGTTTCCAGAGCGACTATTTGATTGACAAACAGCTGCATGATATTCTTGGTTATATCGAACACCAATTTGATTTGACACTGGCCGAGGTAAATTATCTTGGAATCCGAATTCTCGGGCTTAATAAACAAATGGGAAAAAAAGGGGGGAGAACGGGGAGAGCTTCTTGCCAAGTTGGAAGGAGTGATGGTTGTATGTATGTATGAGTGAGTGAGTGTGCGTGCTTGTGAGGTTGGTGGCGTAGATGGAGGAGGAGGAGTTGGTCCGGGAAAGGTTGCACAGGTCATACCTTGAAACCTGATTTTTTTTTTGTCGTTCTTGAACTTTACAACCTCTACGTAGGAGAGCAAAGTGAAGCGAAACCCAAAGGCCGTCGACACTCAGGTACACGCATGTCTGTATGTGATCGACCCGACGAAACGTGCGCTGGACCAGTACGATATTCGCATCTTAACCCGGCTCGCAGAGCGTGTCAACGTCATCCCTGTCGTCGGCAAGGCAGACACACTGACCTTAGCACAACGCCGTCGATTGAAGCCAACCATCCTCCGCGACATTTACACCACACAAAAGATACCTCTCTACGGCATGCCCGAGGACGAAGAGGAAGACGAGGAAGACGACGAGGAAGAGGAAAAGACGGAAGAGAAGCAAGACAACAATAACAGTTATAAGAACGGTGTAAAGGATGGCGAACACCACGAAGGAGGGGACGACAATAACGATGATAATAAAGCCAGCAAAACAACGACGACCGGATCGTCGCTAGACGACTTCCTCAGCCAATTTAACTATGAAGAGGAAGATGAAGAGACGCAGGCTTTCCTCGACTACTTGAAGCTCATTCCCTTCAGCGTCATTGCATATGAGGATGATCCAGAAACGGGCGACCCGATCGAGATTGAGGGCATCAAGATTGGACGCGATTATGGCTGGGGCAAGATCGACTGTCTGAGTGACAGCACGAGCGATTTCAACAGTTTGAAGACGATGCTGCTCTCGACACACCGCCGAATCCTCCAGACTGAAACGGTTGAACGGTACTACGAGCAATACCGCACGGAGCGACTGTTGATCAAACGAGCGACCAAGCTGAAGAGTATGGATGTTGGCAAGAAGCTTCTTGACGATTTGAACCAGCTTAAATAATACGTTGTCTTTTTTTTACCTTTGTGTATCATGTGTGTAGCGTAAAAAAAGGAAACCAGACTTGTATACCCTGCACTCCTTGTCCCTCTTCTCTCTACTACTACCACTATTTCTTTGTTCCTCCTCTACCAGCAGCAACAGCAACAACAACAACAACAACAGCAAATCATCTCCAGCTTATAACCTTTCTCTTATTACAATTACCACTGGGGCCTTAAACAGTTGAGCCGTCAATATAGTACGCGCGCAGATCACGACACACACACACACACACACACACACAAAACCCCTCTTGACCCCCTCGGTTGAATTTACCATACACATACATAAAGTATTTTTCTTTCCATACTACACAATACAGACAACCCTCTTTTCTCTTCTCTTCTCCTCCTTTTCTCCTGTTATCTTATTGTTACTATTAATTGTTATTGCTATCACTATTATTCCCTTGTTTTATACAAAGAAATGAATATTTTCATTGCAAATCATGTCCTATTACTGTCTTGTGTACTCGCAGCTGTAAGTCGTACCTGGCTAGCAACCCCATCCCTCGCGACTCAACAGCTTTCAATGTAGGTCGGTTGGGTCGTTTCATTTGCCGGTCTGTGCGTATCGGCGGCAGGCGCACTGACACATGCGGTTTCTTGGTGGATCACCGTCTACGAATTGAGTCTCGTAATCCTTGTTTGCACTGTTATCTGGAGCAACGCCATTGAAATATATCGACCAGTGGTAAAACAAAAAAAAAAGGCGTGTTTGTTAATGACTGTCGCGCTTTATTGTGGGCTGCTAAATAAGATTATTTCATCGTGGTAGGTGCTTGCACTGATCGCTATCAGTGTTCCCTACGCAACAGGCGAAATCGCACACTACATCACAACAGGCCAACCTGCGCTATCTGCTGCGTCTGCTGGATATATCGTACTCGTCGTTGCCCAGGTACATATCATTAACACGACGCTACTATAAGCGGAATTGATCAAATCGTGCATTTTGGATGATTAACTCTACTCGTAAAAGTTTTCTTGGCTATTTTTATTCGGCGTGCGGCATGAATCGCTTATTTTCCAAACACTACGAGTGCCCCACCCATCGTATTCTTATACTACCAACCGATCCAACGCCGCTATGGCGTTCGGCACTGGCACAAGTACGCTAGATATGGCAAAGTCAATCGCAGCAAGCACTTATCCACCAGCGCCACCGCCATTAACATCTGGTGCTCCTGCACCATACGATTCACATCCAACAGAACCAGCCGATCAAACTGTGTTTGTATCACCTCATGCAGAGTACAACATTCCCGTCATCGCACTCCATACATGTACGTGCACATAGTGCGTGTGTTTAGTAAAACAATGTTTTAAGTTCTTGGTCAATTGATGCACGATGAAACTATCCTTTATAACTGGATACGATAGATGAAGCCAACCCTGAGGATCCAAACGAGCTAAAATTCTCCAAGGGCGAAACTCTCTACGTTCACGAGCAAAAAGGAAACTGGTGGCAAGCAAGAAAAGCTGATGGCACTGCCTCAGGTATAATCCCAGCGAACTACGTAAGTTTTTTTTTCTTTTTACTGCGATGTGTATATATGGTACATCAGTAAAAATGATATGTGAATTTTGGTACTGACTGCATATAATATTGCCTCATTTAGGTGGCACCCATACACCATTAAAAAGAGACTGAAAGCTTTATAAATTAATGAAGTTTTGTACATTTTGTTCTGTTTAATTATTTTTTCTGTATTATGCATATCGCATATGCAAATTAGATTGATAGTTTGTTTGTTTGTTGTTATTCGTGCCAAATCTTCATATTTTACAATACAGCACAAAGGGTTGGTTAATTAAACCATCGTGTGTAATTATGAATATCGTTTATATACAGGACGCTTTAATGGCTTGAATAACCCTTCTTGTATGGGAGCCCGTGCGGGCCGTGCGGGATGATAGTGGCAGAATGACGGTGCTTTATGCGTCACAGTATCTTCGGTGGTCCATAGGCCTTCGTGACCATCAGGAATGTCTGATATCAGCTTGTTGGCGGCACTCCACTTGAGCACGTCTTCCCTGCCATCAAACTGTGCTTCCTCGCTGGCTTCATTCAACTCTTTTGCAGGATCGACCGTATTATCTGAAGCCACCTTGCGCTCCATTGTATCACATGTTGTGCCAGAGACAGAGTTTTCGTTAGACCATGGTTTGTACTCGCTGTAGCATCGGCGATTAAGTCGCTGTGTCGCTAGTCGTGTTGCTTGTTTCCGTATAATCAAACTTTGCATATTAAGTGCTTCTTGATTAAAATAAAGTTACAAGTAAGGAAGTTCATGCGTGAGATCTTTTTATATGTAAGCGGTGTTGGCAAGAAACATTGACGTCATATAAATTTCATGCGTCGCATGGCACTGGTAAAAAAAATCCCCTAACACTTGGGCCCACCAATAATCCAGATTGAAGAGATGTGTAAAACAAGGGTAAGCAAGCATTTTTCTTCCCACTTGATGATGGTTTGAGGTACTACTCTTTTAAGAGCTGATTATTCGAGGCGAAGTACTGATTTTATTTGCTCCGAAAATGCAGAAATAAAAGTGGGGCATGCGTACATACTACGCTAGCTATCGTATGCCTGAGCGACAAACACAAAAAACAAAAAATTGGGAAGTGGTAAGCGGGACAATCTACATCAGTACTTCGCCTCGAATAATAATGAAAAGTCTTCGGCCAAAGGCCTCGACTAAGACTCATTATTCTTCGGCTTGTACTGAAGTAGATTGTGGATCCAGAGTCCCGGCATCCGGCGAAACCAACGGGAGGGCCAAACTTGTGAAATCAGTGGCGGTCTCGCGAGATATTCGGGTAGAACGTATCAAACACCGAGGATGACAGCCATGAACCGTGTACAAGAACGTCCTACAATGAGGCATCTGCTTGCACCGCGTAATCAAGCTTGATTTGTTGGAAAGGAATATTTGCATGAGATAGAGAAAATACTACCTAAATGAGTTGCTATTACTGACGTTGAGTGACTCATTTTGCCACGAGCCTTTGAACATGTCAAAAAAGGGAATGACACTATTATGTGCGCTAAATTGCGGATGCGACTCTCAGCGCTCGAACAAAGACATATATTAGTACTCTATGTATACACAAGCTCTGGCTACGAATAACAGCCAAAGTTTAATGTGATTGAGCTTTTATCTCTTGCGGAGCTGTAGTAAGCTTTTGCAGAGTTCGGAAAAGCTCAAAAATAAGCTTTCGTATCAACGCTATGTACTATGTTGAAACTCGTCTACTACAGAATTCGTGGATCTGATGGTAGCAGGTTGTACATTTAATTGATCCGAGTTTTTTTCGTTGACATGGGAAATGACATGATATGATAAAGTCTTTGCGGATGATTTTATGCTTCAGATCAATTCTGGCGGCGAAAAGAGGCACACCAATAAAGTAGGTCGGACAATCCCCATATTTGAAAAGTCTTTCGTAAATTATATACTTTCTCTTTTCCCAAACTCTTTTTTTTCCAGACCTTTTTCCCTTTCGACACAAACTTTGGAAATGGCAGCAGAACAGAAACTCAAGGTTGCCGTTGTTCAAGCTAGTACACCGCTGTATGACTTAGCCAAGACCCTCGAGAAGCTCGAAAAATACGTGACCGAAGCCTCGGAGAAGCAGGTCGACCTTGTGGTATTCCCAGAGGCCTTTATTGGAGGCTATCCAAAGTATACTACTTTCGGTATGCATATTGGTGAGCGTACGCCCGCAGGACGAGACGAGTACTTACGATACCACAGCAACGCAATTGAGGTTCCTGGACCTGTTACCGACCTTTTGGGCTCGCTGGCAAACAAGGCTAACTTGTACATTGTGATCGGAGTCATTGAAAAGGAAGCTACCACAGGCACACTCTTTTGTACCGCCCTTCACATCGATCCCGAGTTGGGCCTTGTGGCGAAACACCGCAAGATCATGCCCACCGCTCAAGAGCGAACTGTGTGGGGCCAAGGCGACGGCTCAACCCTTCCTGTTGTTACGTATAAACGATCTCCCACTCTTTCGGCACGTGTGTCGAGTACTATCTGCTGGGAAAACTATGTGCCTATGCTGCGCCAACATTATTACAATCAGGGTGTCCAAATTTACTGTGCGCCTACCGTCGACACTCGAGAGGTTTGGGCTTCTACCATGACGCACGTTGCTTTGGAAGGACGCTGCTTTGTCCTCTCTGCCAATCCGTTCATGCTGTTCAAGGACTATTCTGAGGGTTACTCATTGCCTGCCAACAGCGATCCTGAAGGTGTCTCCATGGCCGGTGGTAGCATGATTGTTTCGCCCCTCGGTGAAGTATTGGCTGGACCTTTGCGCGAGAAGGAAGGATTGCTCACTGCCGATATTGATCTGAACGATATCATCCGGTATGTCTGTTTTTTTATAACAAAGTACAATTACACACACATTTGCTAATATTGCTCCTTTCATTATTTTCCTGCAGGGCTAAATTGGATTTGGACAACGGTCTTACGGGCCACTATAACCGTCAAGACATCTTCAAACTGCTTGTCAATGAGAAGGGTTTCCAGGGTTAACGAGCGGCATTTTTGAGTAACTTTGCTCGAATAAATGTACACGTTTCAGTTATACGTCTTATATTACCTAACTACTAGTAGCGTAGCAGCTGCTTCATTGAGATGGTTCGTGCCATTCATTCTCAGTGGTGTTGTCTCTTTTTGACTAAACAGTTTGGTGTCCCCACTTCTATAACTTATCATGCTCCACCAAGAACGATTCACTAGAAGCGCCTTTCGCTTCCGACACAGAAGCTTTTGATATAATCGTATCTCAACTTAATCTTTCCAAAGCGTAATATTTCGACAAACTCTGTTGTGTAACGTTCTAGTAATTGAACCATGTGAGTACTTAAACATTTGCTCAACAATAACTGAGAGCCCCATCAATGGACTGCAGCAAACAAAGTTTGACAGGTGGGGCCACTAAAGCGGCCCTTTCGCTGCTATAGAAATTGTTGGCTGCCAAAAGAAACGATAAAGGGTCTTGGCTACATGATACAGCACCATTCGGAATGCGCATGTATACAGCCGAATAAAGCACCGCTAAGCTATGACTCGTCCCCAGAGTCAGATATTAGCATTACTTTGACCAAAAGAAGCAAGGTTTCTAGACAGCCCATGGCGCCGAGATAGGTAGCTTGATTGCGAGGCATTATTAGTGCTGTTTTCAGGCTGTACTTCTCTATTGTTTGCACATGCGCGCAGTGTATAAAAGAGAAAACGATATATTCCGGATTGGCCATAGCGTGAGTATAGACACAGACCGAGGCGAAAGGACAGCTATATTGGCTGGTCGGGGAGAGTAAAAAATGGATGCGTTTTTTCTTATGAAGAAAGATCTTTTTTCGCGCGGATCAGCAGCGGACATGCAAAGCGGTGATTATGCGCACCCGATAATCAGCATCATCATGACTGATTGGACAAAAAGTGGGCTGCAAGCCACCCGTCCTCTCCACTATTTCTGTTCAGACCATCAATTTCGTGTCGTTCTCCGTCTCCTTTTCTTTTATTCATACTAAGAACCCATTTTGCATACCGCAATGTCCGTCAAGCCCGTCGATCCTTGGAACACCTGCCTCAACACCACCCTCGAACAAGAGGACAAGGAAATCTTTGACATTGTTGAAAACGAAAAGTTGAGACAATGGTCTGGTTTGGAACTCATTGCTTCTGAGGTAAGGAAGAAACATGTGTTTTTTGGGGATTGGCGATTGGATGGCTGTATGGAGGAGGAACTAGGTGGGTGATATATGCTTCTATTCTCGTGCTAAAGTAGACACTTTTGTCGAAACTATAGAACTTCACCTCGCAAGCCGTCATTGAAGCCAACGGTACTGCTCTTACAAACAAGTACTCTGAAGGTCTTCCCGGTGCCCGTTACTATGGTGGTAACGAGTTCATTGATGAGCTCGAAGTTCTCTGCCGCAAGCGTGCCTTGGCCGCCTTCGGCTTGAACCCTGAGCAATGGGGTGTCAACGTGCAGCCCTACTCCGGCTCCACTGCCAACTTTGCTGCCTTGACTGCCTTGATCCAGCCCCAGGACCGCTTGATGGGTTTGGACTTGCCCTCCGGTGGCCATTTGACCCACGGTTACCAGACTAACAAGAAGAAGATCTCCTCCTCGTCCATCTACTTCCAGTCGATGCCCTACCAGGTCGACCCCACCACTGGCTACATTGACTACAAGCGTCTTGAGGAAAATGCTGCTCTCTTCCGCCCCAAGCTCCTCATCTGCGGTGCTTCTGCCTACCCCCGTGAGTTCGAATACGACACTATGCGCCGTATTGCTGATCAGCACGGTGCTTACTTGATGTGCGACATGGCCCACATTTCCGGTTTGATCGCTGGTAAGCAGGCCATCTCTCCCTTCGACTTCTGTGATGTTGTCACCACCACCACCCACAAGACTCTCCGTGGTCCCCGTGCTGGTTTGATCTTCTTCCGTCGCGATAAGGGTGATGATCTCGAGAACCGCGTCAACCAGGCCGTCTTCCCTTCGTGCCAAGGTGGTCCCCACAACAACACCATTGCTGCTGTTGCCGTTGCTCTCAAGCAGGCCGGTTCGCCCGAGTTCCAGCAGTACGCCAAGCAGGTCATTGCCAACGCCAACAAGCTCGCTGAAGTCTTGGTCGGCCACGGTTACAAGCTTGCCAGCGGTGGTACCTCCAACCACTTGGTCCTCTGGGATCTCAAGCCCCAAAAGTTGACTGGTTCCAAGGTCGAGCGTATCTGCGACATGGTCCACATCACCATCAACAAGAACTCCATTGCTGGTGACAAGTCCGCTGTTACCCCCGGTGGTGTCCGCTTGGGTGCTAACGCTCTCACTTCGCGTTCCATGAAGGAGGAAGACATGGTCAAGGTTGGTGACTACTTGCACCGCACCGTCCAGATTGCCCTCAAGGTCCAGGAACAGGCCGGCTCCAAGTTGATGAAGGACTTTGTTGCCGCCTGTGACGGTAACGAGGAAATTGCCCAACTCAAGAAGGAGGTTGTTGAGTTTGCTCGCGGCTACCCCATGCCCGGTTTCGACGCCACCGCCATCAAGGCCACCGTAACCATCTAAAAAAAGCTGAAAGAACAAGACACACTATGAAAACCCATTTATCCATCCCCTGAAAATATTAAATCTGTACCCGCTGTCTATTTTTTTCTTTCATTCCGTCCATTCCACTTACTTTCCCCTTTCCATTGCATTTCCTTTTATTAGCCAAGTTCAACACGGCATCTCGCTGCTACATCTGCTTCATTGTATAAAGTTTTTCAACATAATTTTTGTATAAAATTTATAAACCTGCTTTTTATTCCTTTTTCCGTACCAAATATAAAACAAATTCAAAAGAAAGATGATTCCATAATTATTGGGGCCGTGCTACCTAGACATGTCAGAAATCTCGAGGTAACACTAAAAGAGGGTTCGTGCTCACACAAGGTACCAGGCCAATTTCCTGCTTTAGAAACCTTGTCCGTAATCGTGATATCCGCCCAAATTGGTCAGTGCAGTTGCCAGTTTGCTTAGCATCAAAGTTATCGGTGCAACGAACGTGCGTAACACCATCTTTGGTTCGTGCTTATTTTGTCATATGCTTTTGCTCTTTCCCAGCATCTACACAAACATATACTCAATACAACATATGCACTCAACCTTGTCCCTCCCAAATCGACCCACAATCTAAAACAGCTCGAGCGCTCGAGCCCATTTCACAATCATCAGCGCCAAAGCGTGTGAGCGTTCCGAAATCATTCATTTTAACTGGCGTTTAGGATAAATTCTGGTTACATAAAGAGATGGGTTTCGTAGATCGACGATAAACGGGGTAGAAAAAATAAATATATTACACCTTTTTCTTTTTCTGCTGCCTCTTTGCAAATCATTCCCTTTCTTGTCCTAATCGCTCTTGCCTTCTATACGCTGCAAGTCTGTTGCCCTTTGCCCCACATTACCGGATTTTGTAAGTCCCGAGATCGTATGTAGATCTATGTCTGTGCGCGCGTTGTATCTTTTTTTGTTGATCACTTTTTCCTTTTTTTTACGTGTCAGACCGTGTTTATAAAATGTGGTTTACTCGATTAAAGGACCCTCGTCCAAATAACCCTCGTCCACCACGTCGTCCTTCTCCTCCTCCCGCGCCACCGGCTCCTCCACCACCTCCAACCAGTCAGGAAAGCAGCGGAAACGATAGCAACAGTAACTATGCTAACCGTAACCACGGCAACGACAACCACAACAACGATGATACCAGCAGCAGCAATAGCAGTAGCAATAGTAACAACGATGCTCGTCGGGTAAATCGCCACGACAGTAATAATAGCGGCGACGCAAGATTGGATCCAGCCAACAGTAAATATAATACCAGCGAGGGGAGCACGGATCAAAGAGAGCAACGCCGACGGCGGGATAGTGCTGGCAGCTGTCCTGTTCATATACTGATGTCGCGCTTAATGGTGGCATTTAAGACAAGGATATGCCAGGTATTTTGCGTTCCAACATCATCATCATCATCAATATGATGCTGGTTACAAGCGTGATGCATATGCATTACACCTGTTGTATTTACAATATCCCAACCCCCATCTTTCGCATCGCTTTTCCAAAACGGCCTGGCCAATGTATCGTATGTTAATTTTTGTTGTATCTCCCATCTGTGATTCATTTTCCAAAACAAATCCCACTACTAAGCAAATTATGCAAATATAAAAAGAGAGTAAAAGACAAGTAAATTCTTCAAGTATGTGTGTGCGCGTACTTGCGCGTACAAATAGAAAAATGATAGTGTAGAGCTAAAATGACAGGCGCAAAAGAAAAAGTTACGTGTGCACTGCAGCCGCTCCTGTGAACATCGTGCTCAATTGCCGATCTAGATATTTTGCTCCACTGTGTTTCCGTGTAAAAGACATTTAAAGTTTTAGTGACTATACCTAAATTAATCAACAATCCTGTCCGTTCTAAGAAGCTCTTCTCGTTGGTTGACATTGGATCATGCACGTTATATTGCCTCCGCTATCGTATACCACGAAACTTCTTCAGAAGATGTTGTCAAGTAGCTGCTTCTGCACTTTAAACTGTCGCCTAATCTATGTTCCGTGGTCACCTGTAGTCCGAGAAAGCACCCTCTTTACAGCAACAGCAGATGTATGAGAGAAGTGTACGTTGTACGGTCAAACGATAAACCTGAATGACCAGTTTGACGAAGTGGTGTTTTTAGTACAGCTGTGACAGGTGTTACCATAGGTATTCCATGTGTTCACAGTACGTGGAGCTGTGGGAGAGCTAAAATATTCGCCGAAAAGCGGACGTACCAGTGCGCTTTCATTTTTTTTTTTTATCTCGAGATGAAATATACAACCGCGCTCAGCAATAAGGTGATATGTATTTCATGAAGAAGAAACATCATTAGATCAAGCGATAACATTACGAGGACAATCATTCAAGCTTGGTAACTTCAAATAATCCTTTTAAAAAGTAATTTGGGTAAAATAAAAGAATCGGTCTAGCCCAAAATCTCCTTAATTCATTCTGATGATTGTTTGGTAGTGGAACACAGAGCCACCTTGTTTGGCAGGTCTGGACGACTCTGGTATTTTACAAATTTTTCAACGCCTTCTTTATACAACTCACTTTAGATCAAATTACATGTTTAGCAGTTGATGTGTATGATGGACTGCAGTGATATTAAAGTAAAAGTATTGACTAATTGGTAGAGTAGACCGGCGTTCCCTAATTACTAGTACGAGGAGGCGGTGAGACCTCGTTATCGAAAAAGCCAAAAAGAAAAGAAACCATCACTTCTGCTGAGTTATAGACTAGTCATCATCACCATCATCGCACAACAGGCACGTTTCAAAAGCACACACAATCTTAAGAGGTGCGCGGTTTAGAATAGAATAGGTTGACAAAGGTAAGGACATAGAGTCAAGGGCGCCAAAAAACGATCGAGAAGAGCTTTTAGGAAGCTATCTGTAATAGGCCAAGATATCATTCAACCCAACTAATGATTGCCCGTACAAACACATAAACAACAACATATCCATGTGTGTATGTGCATCTGGATGCACTTTTTTTGTTCTGAATATCCATATCTGGATTAAGTTCGGCGCTTATGTCCTTCTCCTTCTCGACATCATTTCCTCTCCGAATATTCTCCCGGGTCATTCATGTAGATGTTGATGCTGTTGCTGATGATACTCTTATAAAAAAAAACAACCAAATAAAGTGATCAAATTAAATAAACTGGTGCATGATGAAATGAAAGCCATTGATGATAGTAGATGGCTGTAATATCATATTCTTCTTTCTCTCTTTCTCTCTTCAGGTCACATGGTGACGGCAATGTTTCTCCAAGCATTACCCGCCATACACACGATTAACTAGAAGGAAAAAATCTTTTCTCAGCAAGGCAGTTGACCACGTTAAACGGAATTTCCCATTTTTTAAAAACTCCCGTGGACTATTGGATTCAACAGTGTCTTGCACACCGTGTGGACAACATATATACACGTTCACTATCTCCATTCGACACTTATAAATAACAATCTAGGTAAGGAGCAATCTATCTGCTGGAAATATTTCTTTTCTTCTTTGTAGTTTCAATTTCACAAACCTAAATAAAGAGCACCCCATGTCTTGCGCTTCTTATCGCTTTATTCTCACAGTAAGCGGCCCTTTCACCGAGTGTCTTTCCAATACCCTAATGAGGTGCCCCTTGCACACTACAGTTATACAAAGATCCGTTTCCAGATAGTTTACATCGACCGCGAGCATAGCACATCGTTTACTTTTTACTAGTGCTCGCACAATGTAGCACAAGACAACGGTATATAACAACTGAAAAGAGCTACAGATAAGTCTTCTCTTTCTTTAGAAACAATAGCAGCAATAACTGCAACTACAACTAGACTACGACAGCAGCAGCATATAGCAGTACGTTAAAAACGTTGTTCTCGAACCTATAAGATGTAAATACAACGAACCAGCAATAATGTTCGACGGCCTATCCTTTGCTACAGCAGTTTCTACTGCTATTACGACGATGAGGAAAAGTGATGCTTCGGTTCTATTGCTGCTAGAGCACAGTATGCTGCTGATTCGTAGTTGTTCGAAAACGTATATCCCGTAAAGAAAATGATCCTGTCCGCGTGCTCTATACTGCCCTTTGGTAAGACTCAGGCAACTAGTGTTCAGTGTGTATAACAACGAGGCGGTTTACTGGGACGCACGTATTTGCTAGCCTTTGTGACAAAGGAATAATAAGCGACAGTTACTTTGAAAGGTCCTAACTTGGGCTACGGCGTTAAAGTACAACGTGCACAGAGTGTTGGCTCATGGTGAGGCTGCTGGCGACTGTCTAACAACAGAGCTTAAGCGTAACGTTTGGGTACAACTGGCTGCTCTCGGGTGTTTACGAGCCGAACTGTGTGAATGGTGTATTTCTAAACGTAATAGCGTATTTCCTTTCGTGGACACATAGAAACATCATCAGTGGCAACGGATATTACGCAGTGCCTTGTTTTGTTGTTTCTGGAAAAAGAAGACGGCAGAATAGTGTCGCTGTACAGTAAGATCTTGTGGTTAGCAGTACTGTTCCTTGCGATGTTACTGTCTTCACAAAATTTGGTGACATAGCAGTTGTTTCCTGGTATCTTCATTCGATTGATATGGCGACGCATATAGACGTCCTGTTAACAAGTGTACATTGACGGATAAAAGAGGGTTTTCCACCCCTCCAAACATTTTCTCAAACAAATAAGAGAAAATGTTTTGTTAGTGGAGATTTAAAAATAACTGCCACTTTTCTTCTCAGGAAGAGCTCCTTCCGTAAAGCCGGCTTATAGTTCTTCATGGTATCATTGATGTTCTATCATAGATTACGTTTTCTTCCGATACAATACTGTGCAAATATCGTTACATTATACACGAGATTCATGAAGGCTGATATGGTCTTAACAAGATGCTATGCAATGACGAGGTGTTCTACTATTACACCTAGCTCGTCGGTAACCAGCCCACTAACAACCGTAAAGGATTAGAAGAAATTACAGAGTAGCATTTGTCATCTTTGATTTCCACACCAATTGATTTTTTCCATGTAACTGTTGGATGCGCTATGCCGATTCTCATGCCGCAATGTCGGTGCTCATGCACAAATGAAATTTTTTATTCATCTTCTTTTTAATATAAAATACATGTCTATGTTCATATATTCACCATCTTCCTTTTCATCAATGTCATAGCAATAGCACGTCATACTCAATAAATTGATACATCACAGGAATCAGCATGCGGAACAGTTATTTCACATGACGGATTCCTAGGTCTGTATATTCATCGAACTTTATTATAGCACACCACCCTCACTTTTTTTTTCTAGATGTTTAAACTTCCAGCGGCGCGTAAATATAGGGTGAAGGTATGCTCAATAGATATGTCGTGGCATTGTATCTGCAACTGACCTATAGCGTAGATAATGAGATCTTTGATATGCTTAAAATATAGCATACATAGCGATATAAACCAATCGTCTGTGATCCTTGGAAGTACATTTAATTAGGGTGTCAATAATTGACAGCCTCTGTTGGAGGGGATTACAACTTCACATGCGTTACACAACCGTTTCACAGCATGGTTAGTCCTTTTCCGTGCAAAAGCCGAATAGGATCATAGAGTAGCGGTAATCAAAGCTGGTATATATAACGACCAGAATTCAAATAAGAACATTTTCAAGTGAAAGCTTGTAGATGCTTGATCAAGTGAGAGTTGGTAATGCTGTGAATCTTTTTCTTTTCGTTTAGCTATAGATTTCACTGTGTAGTAACGATCCTTTCGATTACTTGCGGAAATTATGATACTTTGCAGTCCATATGCGGGTCGAAGCGTCAATGCCAACCTTCAAACAATGGAGACAAAAAGTTAATTACAGTTTTCATTCATGAGAACTTGTTGGTGGGCACAGTTACTGTTTCCCTCCTTATTCTTTGTTGCCCAAACCCTAAATACACACTTCTTTGTTTTGAAAGCAGTGGTTTGCTGAGAGTATAACTTAACACCCCAGTAAATATGATTAGAAAGTTTATACCGATTATCTTGAACGTTTAGAGTCAGCCTCAATTGCTTCCAGCTCTGGGACTCGGTTACAGTAGGCTGTGAAATTGTAAAGAAGTGCATAAAGTGAGCGAAGCCCCATCTGAAATCTAGGTGGAGGTCGTCCAACGAAGTTGCAAAAGGTGGAAGGCGGCAATGAACGGCCGCGCAAAAGAGGAATAAGTCAACTGTCAGATGGAAAACTACATCCAAGAAAATAGCGCCAAGAGCTCCACTCTCTAGTTCTATGAGAGCAAAAGATGCTTAACGGTGGCGTTTCTCCAAAAAAAAATTTCGAGCAATGTGTAATCGCTTCGTTCGCTTGTTAACAATGCCACCAAAAGAAATGTATTATTGACGTATAGCTTTCTCTTGTACACAGTGGCCCCCGCAAAATAAAAGCCAACGTATCGAGATATTATGTGGGTGTGAGAGTTAATGAAAAAAAGCTTAACGGATTTAACTTAATAAGGGTCGAATGTACAACTTAGATGCTCAGCCAAGACTATTAAGCAACGCGCCCTTCTTTTTATAAAGAAGGTAAACTCAGATATCACGGAAAGACGAAAGAGTTTAGAATACAAACAAATGCCAAAGATTGTCGTCTAGAGGTTGGCCGATAGGTTAAAAGAGCTTCTTAAACGAAGTCGAATAAACATGAATAGTACTGAGGAGTACATACTCCTCTCGATGATCTTTCCGATCTTGAACCGCATCACCAAGCCTGTCAAATGTACGTCAGCGGCAACACTTGAAGCCAACCAATATCATTGCGTGTAGTGAGATACAACAGTAAATATATGATGCGCAAGGCATTGCCGTCCTTTGTTTTCCTGGTTTGTGATTTCAAAAATTGTCGACAAGATATATTCTTACTAGTCTTTCCTAGCTATGTAATACACGATAAACTGATATTAAGCACTGAGGATTATATGTCGAGTTCATTTAAGCATACCATGAATGCTGAAGATAATTTGCCATCATCATGATACGGGCTCACGCTCTCCCGCAAATGGTTACCCAAAGGAATAGCTTCAATTCGCATGAAAACATACAAGGTATACCCTCAATTGCTCCTGGAACAAATGACGAACAGCCAAGTAAGTTTGTCAATGCGATTGAGGAGATCAGTGAGAAAGCTTAACTTAGTAGAATGCTTCTAAACTTCAACCAAGAACCTATACTCAAAATTCTTAGCTCTTACGGCCATGCGAATATACTTTATTGTTCGAGACAATAGACAGTATCCTAGCTGAGGGAAATAGTTTGTAATTAATAAAATCTGGCAGAAGAGTTCAATTAGAAGTATACTGCCAATCAAAGAAGCCATAAAAGAGACTTGGATGTATACTGTAAATGTAAAGAAAAATACGAAAAGAATAAATATGAGGATGTCTATTAGCAATCATTGTGATATCTAAGCCATAGCGATTGGGAATAGGATACAATGCTTGAGCTAAGCTTGATATGTCTTAAACATGTGATATATTAACGAGCCACCGACGAAGCTCCGTAGGTTTGACACGAAGCTAAGCGAAGGTGCCCATACTGAAGGCGCGCAGGCGACAAAGGCTTGTCTAATATATTGAAACAAGTAGCTAACAAAAAAGGAAACTCAGTCCTTCCACGTATACCCGCGCCCACACACAGAGAGGAAGTAAATACATACGGGAGCACCAACGCACTTTTAACTAGTGGATGGAGGACATGATAAAAGGCAGAAGATACGCCCGAAGGCTGCCTAGGGTGAGGGATATGCGGTTAATGAAGCGATGCAACATCCGAAGATAAATACGGAACAGACAGGCTTGCTAGGCGATACAGGGAATGCAAAGGGGAGGCGAATGAAATATACATGGATCCATTAGGCACTTTTAACGTCTTCCTGAGTCAGAGTAAAAGTAGAAGCACAACGAGAGACCTTGAAAATCAGCCTTGCTTTTTTCCCAGCAGCAGCAGCATTAATCCAGTCTTCACCGCGTACATGATATGGCGGACACTTGAACCCACAGTACGGCAGCAACACCCAAGCACGGCCACGTCAGAGTATACTGAAAAAAAGAGAGCGAGCGAACTACATACACGTAATACCATTCTTTTTACATTACATGACCACGTTTTATTAATCATTCGATCATTCAACACACATAAAAGACACGCTCGGCATTATCATAAACCTCTTCCCAGTTACTGACATGTACTTCTATGCTGGAGAGAAGATAATGGTAATAATAAATTGTCTACAAGAAGCGAATTACCATCCTGCTATTGGTCAAATATACAGATTATCGCCTTAACATTAAAGCGTGCACTGATCACTAAGTGTGCACCGGGTGCGAATGGCAGCTTTTAGTACTACGATCAGTTGATTGACCTGCAGATTCCAAATGTATTCAAAGCTTCCCATGGATGATTACTAGAATATGCAGGAGGACAGAATTTAAGGTAGTCTCTCAGGTAGCAACGGTTACCGACTTACACAGCAGCAATTTGTAGAATATTAGAATGCAATTGATCTTGCCACGCGACTTTTGGTATCGAACGCTGCCGCCATCGGGGGGGGGGGGGTTTGTACTTGTCCCTAACATGGGGGTCAAGGAGGGTAGGAACGCGCTTGCGACGCGGTATCCACTGAAAGACTTGTAGAGAAGCGAGGCAAGGACCGTCAGTAGATCTTGAGCTGGTGGACATCAACTTCCAATGCCATTCCTCATGCTCCTGCCACATAGTCCAGCTGCATATATCGGCATTTAAACCAAATTCGATCTTTCGGCTGTATCGGAACGCATACCGACGCTGTGGCGGTTTGCTGATCCAAGAGCTTGATATACAGTACATTTACTCGTATTTAGCATAGCAGGGTAATTATTTTGTCCTGATAGTTTTCAACATTTTTCAAGGGTGCTTAATTTAATCACAAAATCAAACTGATTCAAATAATATATTTACTTAATATGCAAACGGTGAAACCACAAGCAACTTGATACTAGATACAACACAGGGTGTGAGCAAAAGAAGCCCATAAAATATATAAGAAAAATGAGTGGGAAGGGATAAAAGAAGGCTTCTTCATTTAAAGAAGTTAATCTACAAGACCAGCCTCGTGTGCCATGGAATAGAAGACAGAGTCCTTGTTCTCCAAGAGACGCTGAGGTGAATCGAATTCGGCAATGTTGCCCTTGTCCAAGACAAGAATTCTATCCGAGTCCATCACTGTATTGATTCTGTGAGCAATTGTCAGAATCGTGCAATCAGCGAACTGTTTGCGGATTGTTTCTTGGATGATTGCATCTGTCTCGACATCGATCTATTACATGTATATCATAACGAAATCAATTAAGGAAAAGATAACCCGGCAATCAAGTTCGTCACATCACACTTACAGCAGCAGTAGCTTCGTCAAGCACAAGGATATTCGTACGTCGTAATAGAGCACGTGCCAAGCAAATAAGCTATCAAATCCACGAGCATTAGCATTATGCCTGACAGTTTATAATTTATTGTTTCTTCTTGCATTTACCTGACGTTGACCCACAGAGAAGTTCTCGCCACCTTCAAGAACAACTGCCTTCAGTTTGCCTTCCATTTTGGAGACATGTTCCTTCAAGTGAGCAAGCTCTAAAGCATTCCACAAATCAGCGTCACTGGCAGTTCCAAATGGATCCTAAGAGTGGCACGTAAATATCATAATGTAAGTTTCACGATGCATCGAATACCTTCTTGTTTGTTCTTTGCGTTAACTTACCAAATTCTCGTGAACGGCACCGGCGAAAAGAACGGGATCTTGAGGAATGATAGTCAAACGCGATCTAATAAACAATGCTCATAAGTTATCACATTCCCATAAAGAAAATGTACGTATGATAGCCACTTACCGAAGATCGAAGAGACCGAGCGAAGAGATATCAACGCCATCAATGGTAATATTTCCTTTGGCAGCTTCAATGATGCGGAACAAACTTAAGCTCATGGAGCTCTTGCCAGCACCCGTACGTCCAACAATACCGATCTTTTCCTGCGGGCGAACGTTCATCGACAGATCCTTTAGAGCCAAGTCAAGACCGGGGCGATAGCGTGCACCGTAATCTTTAAAGTCGATTTGGCCCTTTTCTGGCCATTCTGATGACACACTGCGAGAGCCTTGATATTTTTCGCTAGGAAGATCAATGTACTATATACAAGAGAGTTTTTAGAATAAATGGGCGTAACGGTATATTTTAGCAGCAACTGTTTACAAACCTCCTTGACACGCTCAACAGAGACAATGTTCGTCTAGGTAATTCAAGTAAACAAACGAAGATTAGTATTTGCTTCGCTCTTACACTTCCATAAGCCGTTCGTTAATATACCTCAATTTCACAGTAGGTGCGGATGACCCAATTGAGTGATTGAGTCACACTCAAAGCATATGAGACACTCAGACCAACAACACCAGCATCGATGATTGAGGTGCCAGTGCCATATACAACACCAATGACAGCGAAAATGGCAGCACCAAAGATGATGATCGAGCCCAAGAATTCTAGACGGACAGCAAGCCAGCGGTTGCAAGAGATGGATGGGAAGTATGCGCGCTGGTTATCGTCCAAGCGAGTTTCGTTTTCAAATGTGAATCGGCGTTGCTGATTATAGGCACGGATAGTTGATACACCGGCAATGGTTTCCTGGAAGTGGGAGTAAATGGGACTCTTGCCAACCGAGTCCAAACGCTTGAGCTCACGCGAAGTAGCAAGGTAATAGCGTTGGATGTACATATAAATAAAGCCTATTTGTGTATGCAGTTAGTAATGAATCATACATGTAAACATCCATCGCCTCCTCCTTTCATACCAAGTGGGATGATCAAAATCAAAAAGAATGGAGTCGAGACTGCGATAACCAGAACGGTGGCGATGACGGAGAAAAGGACTCTGAAGTAGCCTTGGAACGAACGCGGGAGTACTTCATCGACAGTGTGTTGATCTTTGCTGAATCTGTTCAAAATACGACCTAGCGGTGTGGTATCAAAAAATGACATGGGCGACCGAATGACAGATTCAAGCATATTACTGTGGAGGACGCGAGCTGAACGGATAGCGCAAAGGATCCACAATGACAAGGTCTGAGAAACAGTGAATATCGTGCCAGACCAGCCGATGGCAGCGTAGATGGCAAGGTTGACCCAGACGCTAGAGTGGGCACCACTGCCCTGCTTGTCTTCGCTCGTCCATTCTTTGAGCCAAACGTTGGCGCCAACACCGGCAAGCTGTGCGAGGATTTGGAAACCGAGAACCATGCAGACACCAACCAAGGAACAGGATTTAGCGTATTCCTTGTGAACCGATATATCGACACTACCCTTTGCTGTTTCTTCAACGGTCATCAGACGATCTTTGTTTTGAGCCTTCTTAGCATGCTTGCCGATCGAAGCCAGCGACGCGCGTCTTAAAGTCATGCTACTTGAGCCGCTGCTTGAGCTGTTCAGACGTTCACGACGTGTGTATTCCTGTTCGCGGTTCAAGACTGACTCCTCTTCACAGCGTCCAGGATCCGTAGGCTGAGAATCGTCGTGAGGTACGTCAAGTGTATCATCCGTATCATCGTCGTCGCTATTATTGCCACTGTTACGTTGGTTACCATAGTCAGTCATCAGCGCATAAAGCTCGGATCTTTGACTCATTAATTTGTCGAAAGTGCCGTTGAGAATAACTCCACCATCGCGCAACATGACCACGTTGTTAACTCTGTGAAGGAACGCAATACCGTGGGTGACCAAAACACGAGCCTTGTTCTTGAGGATGCCTTCGGGTCCAATCACATGATCAAAAATATGACGACCGACATGGGCATCGACCGCACTGAGCGGATCGTCAAGCAAATAGATATCGGCACGAGCATAAATGGCACGGGCAAGCGAGACACGGGCCTTCTGGCCACCAGACAAGTTGATACCACGTTCACCAATTTCAGTTTGGTCACCAGCAGACAAGATTCGGATGTCACTCTTAAGCGAACAGGCTTCCAAAACACGTTCATAGAACACGGGATCCCAACGATGGCCGAACACAATGTTGTCTCTAAGCGTGGCGTTCATGACCCAAGGCTGCTGAGGCACATAGGCAATGGAACCACGAAGTGTGACCTTTCCATTTTTCTTGACCATATCGCCCAAAAGCGAGCTAATCATCGAAGACTTGCCGGAGCCGACACGACCAACCACAGCAGTAACCTCGCCCTTCTTGACACCCATAGTGATATCCTTAAGGACCAAGTCCGAGTCTTCCTCAGACCACTTGAACGAGCCATTTTCGATCTCGACAAGAGGAACATCGGGTGTCCATCCAGGGGTGGCACGGTAATCCTCATGGATCACGGCAGTGGGGTCCAATTCCTCGGAAGAAAGGTAGCTTTCGATACGGTAGAGCGAAACGGAGGCTTCAATTACGGAGGTGATGACGTTTGGAAACACGGACAAGGGGAATTGAAGTAGGTTGAATAACGAGATAGCGACAAAGGCAATCTGGCTGGTCAGAGCAACACCAGAGGTAGCAATAAAGACAGCAAAAGTGCTCAACGAGACAAAGAAAGGGATTGACGACCACGTAAAGTTTTGAACTGCCGTGAAAACACCGATCTTTTTGAGCGTTGCCAACTCCAAATCATTACGGATATAGCCAACCTAGGTCCACAGTGGCGATTAGTTTTGAGATAGACAAATTATACCACTTTCATCACACGCATGCTTTTAATCGTAATTTTACCTTTTCCAGAAACGGAGTTTCCCATGCATAAAGTTTGATAACCTTGATACCGTTCAAGATCTCATTCTGTAACATTTGCACTGGTTAGAATCCGTTTTTTCCCTAGGGTTGCGGTGATTATGCGCCCTTACCATGAGTTTAACTCTTGCGTCCTTGTTGCCCATCTGGATCTTTTGGAGGCTTCGCATTCTTCGAGCAAGGAAAGTGTTAAGTGGCACGGCCAAGATCATGATGCCGACGCCAGCCCAAATGCTAGGACCCATGGTTCTCCAGAGTAAAGTAAGTGCAATGATGATCTGGAATGGTCCACTCCATACTATGCATGGATAAAGTTACAACAGAGCCATATCATGACAGAGAGGCAGCGATATATCGTGGAAGGTCACTTACCAATATGGAAATAAGTGCAGAGGTCCATCAGTCTTTGTGCATCGACGCTCATGTGGTTGACAATCTAGGCAGGATTTTGTTTCAGCACACCGATATCAAGACAACAACTTATTCATCTCGTTTTAATTTTACCTCGCCAGTAGTCGACTTTTGCCTGCTGCCGCTGCTCAACACCAAAGTCTTGCGATAAATTGCAGTCACCAAGGCAGCACGCAGACGCATACCCGTCATGAAGCAACGGTGGAAGTATTGATGAAGGAACATGGTTTGACAAACTGCGGTCAAGAACATTCCGACTAATAACCATTGTTGATTTAGTCAGTCATTCGTGAATGGTAAGGCTGAATTCGTTGTTCTGTGCGACATTCTGCTTACCTGCAATGAAAACACCCCGGTAAGCAGGTACCGACGGGTCACCTGACGAGTAACTAGAAACCCAACCCATCAATTCTCGTAACAGTATTGGCTGCGTAAACTGCAAGATATCTTGAAGACCTTTGAAAAGCTATAGGCATGGCGAGTGAGTAACTTATGGCTTTCTCTTCTTCTTTTTTGTCAAGTGTTAGATAAAGGAGCCCATACCGCAGCGAAGATGTAAGGGCCACCAACCGTGCGAATCAATGCACGAACCAATGAAGGGCTGTAGATGCAACCAAAGATAGTTGTGTGTGAGATAAACAATGTTGGTGATGCATATTGAGGGCAACATATTTATTCTAGGCCTTACTGCTCTTTTTCCAACTCTTGGCTCCAATGCTTTTGGAAAAGTTCGCCGACTAAAGCCGATTGATCATCATCTTTAAGATTCCTGTAGAATTGAAAATAGTTTAGAGAGAGAGCGGGAAATTCCTTATAATATGCTAGTTAACATACCATAAGTCATCCATTATTAGAGGCTCGCGGTAGCCAAGTCGCATAAGCGGTGTCATCCACGTGAATGTGAGTCGGCCAAAGATGTTGGTGCTTGTCTCGGGACACTCATTCTAGTGCTGATTAGTAATATGCTCTTTTTCTCCTTCCCTTTCCGCGGCTTCCTTGTCGTTCCGATCAACTCACTTCATCATCTTCGAGCATAACATACTGGCTCTTGGGTCTGGGAGTAAGCTCGAGAATAAAGACGAGCAAACCAAGAGCAGTGCTAACGACAAATAAGCCAAATTGGGCTGGATCTTGCGATGGTTCATCAAGAGTGTACAAAGTTCTCAGTTTGATGCCATTGGCGACCAGGACGAACAGCCAGTAAAACAGCAAGACGGCAGATGCAACCTTGTTGCGTGTATACTCCAGATGATGCAAGCCAAAGGCAAATACCTATTTTGATCGATTATTGTTTGTGGCGGAGTTAGCCCGACCGTCGCAATGTTTGACCCTCCGCAGTACCGCGCGAGATGGAAATCTTTTGCTTACCAATACAGCCACGTTGAAACCTTGTGCCAGTATTTGTGCATTTTCGATCCAGTCTGGTACGTTTACAGAGCGAAGGACAACGCTAGCGATGTTCGTCAGCAGCAGCAAGAGTAGCGTAGTCTTTTTAAAGATAGTATTCATGTGAGTCCGTATGTATCTCTCAGCTTTATGTATAAAGTAGCAGAAGCATACCATCTTAACAAAGTATAGCCAATTGCGTGTCATATCCGATGGAAACGATTCGCGTTTGGATAGAATCCAAAGTCGTGCAGCACCTGCAATGATAAGAAATACAGAGGGGGCCATCATCACGATTCTAGTAGAAAAACAACAACAGGAATTACAATCATTTTCTGTTGCAGCGTACAGCCATTTTTATCATACAAATTACATACGTGTCTTCGAAGCATGGGGTGAAGTCTGGAATACGCAGATCCGAGAACGGTCCCTAGTTATAGTTTATATATCATGTCAGCTCTGCAGGCTCTTCTGTTCGTTTTGTTGTTCTCGCAACCGCTCCTACTTTTACGTGCAAGAAAACACAAAAGGCCTTTTGTCTTACCCAGCCTTCAATATCCTGACACATTCCAGCCCATGGGGGTTGGCCTTCGGAATTGTCCAGCGGCATTGACAGGACCCACTGTCCCGATTCGTGCGTTGCCATTCCGTTAGGTTGAAAGGGCAATAGGAAATAGGAAGTGATAAAAAAACCGGAGAGAAGTGGAAAAAAAAGCGTCTTTTTAACTAACAGGCAGTTTCGGCCAAAGATACTCCGATCCGGTCTCGGGTGGACTTCACTGGTAGTGGCGGTCTACGCGTTTTTACTTTTTTGTATTTTTTTTTTCACTTCTACTAAAGATAACGATGGGCAAGAAAGGTGCTGGTGGAAACAGCAAGGCTGAAGCCGCAAATGCAAAGAAGGCTGCTGCTAAGGCTGAAAAGGACAAGTCTAAGGCTGTTGCTGCCGAAGCTCAAGAAGCCGACAAGTGGTCCCAGGGTGCTAAAGGCAAAGGCAAGAAGGATGCCGAGGCTGAGAAAAAGGTATACAAGAACCAACCGCAGCAAACAATCAACATTAAGCCATTGATTGCAATAACAAGGATTACTAATCATTCCAAACATCATGCCATTATAGGCTGCACAAGCAGCCAAGAAGGCTGAATTGGCTAGAATTAAGGTATATATGTCGCTTCGCTTAGCGTAGTGGTTAATTTGCCAGGGTTGTTTTTTTTACAGGTTTATTGACTGTGGTTGACCACCATTATAGGCTGAGGAAGAGAAGGAAACAGCCAAGATCAAGCCCAAGGGTGCTGATGTAAGTTTGAAATTACAAATCAGGATTTCTGCCCTAAGAAATATGAATCCTAGAGTACTTATCCCTTATAATGGTTATAGAAAGCGGCTGCAAAGAAGGCTGCCAAGGTTGACGCAGCTGGACATGCCCGACGCACGATCCCCGAGTTCTCTGCTAGCAATATTGATGATGCCCTTGATCTGTTAACTCTCAGTGATGATAAGAAGGGTCCAGTTTCGAACAAGGATATCGAGCGCCATCCTGAGCGCCGATTCAAGGCTGCGTTAGCTGCGTATGAAGAAAGGTGAGTAATGTTGGATGACGAGTGGACACAAAGAATAGTGGGGCATGACAACAGCGAGCTCTGTACTGTATGGTGGCTTACACGACTAGTATATTAGAGAACTTCCTCGTTTCAAAAAGGAAAACCCTGGCTTGCGATTGAGCCAGTTGAAGGAAATAATCTTTAAGGAATTCAAGAAGTCTCCAGAGAACCCCTTCAACCAAGCAAATATTATGTCGTACAACGCTACTTCAGAGGATGCTCGAAGTCTGAAAGGTAATGATGAAAAGACACTAAGAACTGTTGATAGACTAGTTGCTAATATGCTATATGTAGATCAACGCCGCGATGAGGTCGAGAATCGTCTGCGGACTGCTTAAGGAAGTTAGCAGCCTACCTTTAATTTTCTATATTCGTCATTTAAAAGCCTCTCATCCACAACATATTCCATCCCTGTCCCCTACTCTAAATAGATGAAACTTCACTGTCTTTCTTATCTTATGAGCTTGCAATACTCCTTTCAAGTATCCAAGTGATGCCTTATCGCCAAATAATAAAAGCGTAAATCAGCAACAGTTTCCAGTCTGTACGTAGTCAAAAACCTCAAGAGACAGATGCTATGCGAGGATGGCACTGTTGAATTCAGCACAATGACAATGGCCTGATCGTTCCTTTTTTTTTCTTTTTATTCAATGACTATGGATTTAGTAAATACTAGTTGTTGTAACAAGTAAGAGAAGAAAATGTGTTTTTTATGCGGAAAGAAAGAAGAGATAGTGCGTGTTTGCGTGCAAAGGAAGGGAAAAAAAAGTGGAGTCGAATACATGGGTTGGATAAGGGAAGGTCGATCTATCGAGACAAGAGGTTATTTTTTGGGGGGTGAAAGGGGTGAGAGTAATTGCCAAAAGGGTCAAACAATAAATATACACAGAAGGATGTTTTTCCCTCTTATCCATGCATTCTGCCAATGATATCATTAAATCCTTTGATCTTTGCACATTCTCGTTTGACATTATCTGCCCGCGACGTGTCCCACAAGCCTGCAGCGATCATAGTACGTGAATACCGAAGACATACTTCTTCTCGGAAGTAGCTGTAAAGTTTCTTGTTGTATGTCCGCTATTTTCCACAAAAATATCCGTGCAATTAGTAAAGCAGCGCATATACCGGAAAAAGATAACACTGGTAATAAGTTTGTTTACCTCTTTGGCACGTGCTTCAATCGGGTAATGGTGAGTTTGATGGATCAAAAAGTCGTCGGGAAGAACCCAATAGTCGATGCCTGACAGATAGATTTCGTAAAGACAAGCAGCTTTGTTCGCACCATATCCAATAAATCGTTCCTCACACCAGGGCGATCCTTCCTTCTTGAAAATGACATAGGGCTCGTACGAATAGTTGTAGTCCACAACCATGTATGGCTCTGTCGAACCGTACCAGCGGGTATAGTTTGTCGATCCATGGCCTCGCTTCCAATCTCTATGGAACATATCTAATTTATCGGACTGCACGTCGATCATAAGCTGCTCCTTGTTCTTTGGGAAATCGCGCCAGTCCTCGCCATCCTCATCACGGATATACTCGAAAGCAGGAACCACAATGGCACCAGTGCCACTTCGCAAAATATCCATTAACTGTGGGTTTGCCTTGAGCGAGGTGCGGAAATCAGTGCACAAATAGAAATCGACGTCCAACATCATGATGTAATCGGTGCGTGCAAAGAACTTGGCTACGTTACGCCACATGTTGAATTGACGATCAAACTTGTCCACCACAAGATGCAAATCGACGTATCGGCGCATATCTGGATTTTCGTCAAAGAGCTTGTGCAGATCTGTCAAAAGTACTTGCTTTGAGGAATCGTCGTTGACGTGAAGAGCAACAGAGATAGGCCCTTTGTAGCGTGTGGCGAGTCGGCTCAAGACCTTGAAGCGGTTGTATGTTACGAGCGTTGCAATGGTTACTTCTTCCATGTCAGCAGATTCTTCGGCCTTGAAATAATACGGAATCACTTTGGAAGGTCCCATGGCATCAGAAAAGACCTTACTGAGCGCCAGATCTTCACCAGTGGCTTCTTCATTAAATAGTAATTTGTAAGGTAAAGATAAAATGAGTTTACTGTTATTTATCTTACTTTCATTTTCTCGCATAAATGCAAAAAACGGTTTGTACCTTGTGAAGTTCCCCAGGTCACTTGCTGGCTTCCATGGTACCGATCTTGTAACTCGGATACACTTAATGTTTTTTCGTCGGCAGCAGACCGAGGGGCTATAGATGCGTGATTGGTTGCAGATGATTTTCCGAGACCCAGAAGATGACCCGTTGCATAAAACAGAGAGCCAACGACATATAAGATTGCAAAGTACTTTAGTACTTTAGATGGGGTTAAATTTTCGCGCATCAAGTTTTAAATTTAGAGAAACGAAAGGAAAGTAGTAGAGACGAAGAAGGACTGTAGAGTAACGGTATTATATAGAGGAGAGGAGAAGGGTCGTCAGGTCGATGAGACGGGGTAACCGAATTTGTAGGAGAGGATGTCAAAGATTATAAACGAAATCGAAGAAAGAGGAGAATGATGTTAATGTGTAAGTGTTGAGTGACGAAGCCCGCTTCAGGTTGAGGAAGTAAGAAGGGACAACTGTGTCGGCTTACGGCTCTCAGCGGAAGAGACGATCCCGTCCTCGAATAAGTTGCGGATTTTACACTCAACAAAGTCGAGACACATTTTTGTACAACATGTAACTGCACTCCAATATAGTCGACAATAAACGTGTCTTTATTAAACGTTAAATAAGCTTTTTTCGTAGCCATGCAACATATTTTGCTCGTTTATATTGTTAAAAATCATCTACAATGAATTGAAGGACTATAGTGCACCACTAGATCAACAGAAACTGCTAGCCTAGCTCATACAGCTACCAAGGCTTCTGACAATTTGATGATTAGATAATTATAGTTTCGAAAATCTAAAGCTCCGACACTCCGGTTGCCTGTAATAAGTAGATCAGGTTTATGGAATATGACCATGGTCATTGTTTCGAATAAGATAAACACAAGCATATTATATCATTAATATGCTGTAAATAATAACGAGATGAATTTCAATTAATTCAAAGGTACAAATATTCAGTAGGATAAAGTATTAGAACGATAACAACACACGAGTGTCAAGAAAATCATTATGCGAATCTTTTCCTCACAAATTTTGCTTATACAAATCTAACGCTGACTATTGGCAAAGACGAAACAGCACATATTTTTTTATTTTTTTCAACTGTGGCCTTCATTGCTGGAGAAATAATGGTCAAGCTATCGTAACAAGAATAAATCGAGTAAAGACAAAAAAGAGTATCATACATGTGTAGAAATGCGGATGTCATGTTACACCGACTGAGGTTTTGTTGCGTGTCTCAAGAAGCAATGAATTCCTACGAATTCCATGTGGAGAAAGCATCACCGACAAATCCATGCACCTGATAATCGTTTAATTTTCACAACACTCTGACGCAAACTAATTAAAAGTGGACCCTATGTTGTTCATTTCATTTTAGTTTCAGTAAAGGAGAGACTACGTATAAATTCTGAGTGTTTCCACTAGGTTCTGATGAGCTTCACACAGTGATTTGAAGGTTTATGCCGTTTCCGTTATATACTGAACTTTCCTTGTTGTCTTTGATACTCATCATTACTCTAAATTACAGCATCAAAATTTATAAGCAATAGTGAGAGCAATACAGGTTTTTCTTCGCATAGTATGCCTTAAAATTATGTTTCAAACCTTATCCTAACCTCACTAATAACTTTACTCCTAATGCCTTATTACCACCTTTGTGCAACCTGTTCCACGCTTTGGCCATTTCGAACGAGTATTTTCTGGTACCTTGATATTATAGTATATCCATTTACGATAGACAGATTGGTCTGAACCGAATGTTAAAAGTTATGAGGCTGGAGTGATATATGATATTCTGTCTTTTACCGCAGCATACCCCAAGCATTTTGGGCATCATATTTAAGATGATCCCAAGAATAGCGGTATCAATTGTTATGTACAGTGTAACAAGGCTTTGCAAAAAAACTTTGAAAGAACGTTCATTGAGGGGTGATAAAAGCGAGAGTAAAAATATGGTTTCTCTCCGTCTGATTCCGAGAGTATAAATACGCTACAAACAACCGGAATTAAAATGACAAGACGTATACCTAGTTTCAGAGCTTTCAAAAAATGCATATAGAACTCTCTTATTGTCTGTATATGATAACAGGCTGTTTGTGGACATGGTTATGCAACCTCTTGACAGTTTAACAATTATCAGTGTATGTACAAAACCTAATCCTTCTAATTATTGGATAAAGTGAGCTTGAGAATTCGATCGACAAAAGTCCTCAGTAATTATGATATTATGCGGAAATTTCATGCTCATTCTTCTGTTTTTCCAGCGCACATACATACATTGCCAAGATCTACATACAGTGGTTCCCCGTTTAATCTCACTCTCGATAAGATAAACGCTCACTTCTTTCAACTTTTTTCTATACTTCTTTTAAGCATAGAACACTGCTTGAATCACGCTCGTTTGGTGTCAACCCTCAGTAGTTTCAACACTTTATAGACCCCCTTTGAGGTTGAAATTAAACGAGGAAATACTGCACAAGCTTTAAAATATACGTGGTTAAAACTATGGCTTCTGAGTCAATATATACACGATAGCTGCTACTTATGGTAGCGCCATTCATATATACTTTTCAGACCTTTGTTTTTGAGGGACTTTATATTCTCATTGACTCATTGATGCATATGTGCGGTTAAATTTTAGATGATAGAAACTACGTACGCTGCAATTGACTATATACTCTGCACTCGACGACGATGGAAACGAAAAATGGGTCGCTTCTAAATGAACTGTAAGTTTGCAGCAAGTGTATATAGCAATTCACATTTTCTATGATAAATCAAAAGCAGAAAGTCACCAGCAACTCTCACTATGTTGCAGCGTTGTAGCTTTACTATGTTAAAGCATTCATCTATAGTACGCTTTCGTATGTATAAAGGTCAGATCCCGGTTTTGATAAAGTATCATAGTGTGTTTTCATATCAAAACAACACAGCCTGCGTATATCAAACTCTCTCATTAACTCCCTGCAACTTCTCCAACAAATTCGAACAATGGGTTACAAAGAGGAGGGCTTATTATTACTGCTTTAATACACAGCTATTAGCAACACCTATACTCATTATGCAAATGGTATTGTTGTCTTCCTCCGTTGATATAAATGAACGCCATGGCTAGCCTCACTGTTCACGCATCCACCACCCATACAATTTTGTCTAACAACTTCTACCTTTACCTTCTTTTTTTACTATACACTTTCCTTAGCACAACAATATTTACTCAATTATCACACCTTGGTCTTTTCTTTTCAATAATGCTGCGTAGAAATGAACGTATTAGATTACTGCAAGAACGTGGACAGAAGCAGGCGGAGAGAGAACAAGCGCATCAAGTAGCTCAGCAATAACCTGCACGTACAAGACAAGCTCAAGGTCAAGGTGCAGGAAGGCAGCGGCAGCAATGACGATCGCCTGCTAGGTGTCAGCGTGAAGACGACAACAATGGTGAGGATGAAGGGCACGAGCGGCTAGAATGACGAGAGATCGAGAGGGAAAAAAGAAGGAGATTTGATGTGGTTATATCATTTATATCAATAATGGTGTATTCGATGTTTCTCTTACCGTACCCTCGTAATGGGTATGTGGGCTTATTAGATGATCAACTTCTTAAGACTTTACGTCAGTGGCATCAAGAACATGAATAGCGTCCAGCGAACAGGAGGGTACGACGTCGCGGGAAGGGGTCAATTTGTGTTAATTTTGTTTATTGTTTTCTCTGTGTATTTAATAATATTAATGTGTGTATTATTGTATTGTGGTTAGATATTACCTTTCATTGGCTCACAAACTCGACGAAAAGCAGGCGGAGCAGCTGCGAAGTGCTTACATAAAATTATGCGCCTCCTTGGAAATACTGTGCTGTGTTTGCTCGGCAACACAGCACAGTAGCAATCCTATATAGAGTACTCGTCATTTGTCACAGTCATTGATATTCGATGTAACTATCAAGCTATTACATATATTCAGCAAACAACGAGCGCTGCACCAACAATAACTTTGAAGACTGCCGGCCGCAAGTTCAGGCACAAGATTATCAAAGCGGATCAAATTTTCCAACTTCTCATTTTCTTACTGTTGATAATCAGTAAATTATATTACTGTCTATTTCCCTAATTCGAAGGTCGGCTATCGCTTGACCACGCGCGGCCAAAGCAATCTGAGAAGCACAACAATATTCGTAAGCAAAACTCGATTATGGCACATAATTATCTAATAATATTCACGGTGTAAGCAGATACTGACAACATACTTAGTAGTAGGTGCTTACGTTATATCGGGCAGCTTCAGTTGCCATATATATGGACAGTAAAGAGTGACGGCAAGAAAAAGCAGCATGGTAAATAGTGTTGTGATGCCAAGTTATGAGGCATGTACATGTTATTTGTTTTGCTAGTGATCATAATAAACTTGTTATGATATGGACATCAAACGTCTTTGTCACCAGTATTGCGTAACTAATAATGATAATATTCACTTGGACACGTGATGGAAAGCCTAGTAGTAAAGCATACATACACATACAAGCCAAAAAAAAACTCTTTCTCCGTTCCTGGCACCACGACCGAGGTGCACAGCAGCAACAACGACCGTGGTTGTGCAACGGAGTACATTATCCGCTATGTTGTTTTTGGTCTAGATCGGGACATACACCGAGATGACCGCTTGTCGTCAAAGCAGGCCCAGAACATTTTGTAATGGAAAAGCTGAAACGAAGCAGCTACATACACGGGCGATATTTTTCCTTAGCATATGTAATAGACGATATACAGTATAAAATACACTTCATACCTCGGTTTTACTACTACTATGTTGTTTAGCCAATACTAGTGGCGCATGATTCGTTGTATAAGATCCTTTCAAGTATATATGTACATACTTCACAATAAGAGCATATTCCGTGTATTCAATCTGGTCAAATGCTATTTGAATTGGTCGCAACGTTCTGACATAATGAATTTCTTTTTATTATTTTACGTTACATCAGTTTCTAATGCTATCGTTTTGTTGGAATATAATTTCTCGATGCTTTGGGATGTCACATGTCTTAAACCAAATAGCTCAACACTGCGCAAGCTTTCTACAGCACTGAGATCGATGATTGCTTCTTCAGATACACATTCTAAATCGCTTAGATGAAGGGTATGAATGGGTGGAGATCGTTCACGAAGCTTTCTAGCGAACCTGTCGAAAGCGTAGCGATCCATTGTTGTAAGCTCTGACATATATATTCGTTCCAAGGAGGGAATATCGGCAAGAGCTTGCAAAATCGCATCCGACACTTCAAATTCGCTCCCTGATAGCTCGATTGCCCGTAGAGTACACGCTCGTTCTTGTCCTTGTTGACGCCCTGCAAAGCTTTCGAACATTTGAATCATGCCTTGCTCGTTTACATAGGGTATCTCAGCCAGCTTCAAATCCTTCAACCTCCTCAACTGAGATATAGCTTGGAAGATATCCAGGCTGATAGATTCCGTGTTACCGATAAAAAGCTCCTCCAAGATGGGACAACCGTGTCGAATGACAGTAGCAACCACATCGCTGAGGACAACGCCGAATGTCACATCCAGTCTAATCAATTTGCTGAAAACCAATGACCTGAGCGGGCTCCAATGTTGTACCAGGTTTGGGATATTGTCAATCGGTAGTGTCAGTGACAAATTGTTGAGCGTGTTGGAATTATCAGTTAATAGACGTATAGGTTTGTCTGCAGTTCGTTCTTGAGTTAGATGCATCATGATATGGGTGAGACCCATCGATGGCTCGGTGGTTCTTTTTGAGGCTGATGATGATGATATGATATGCTGGTTGTCCTCTTCGGTTGATGGGGTATCATGTGCGGTAACGTTGATGGTGAATGACTTCACGTCTGGGCAGAATGCACGCATTAGATCGATCGCTTCAATCTGACACGAGTGAATGTTGAGTTTTCGGACTTTGCGGCAACAGCGAAGTATAGGTGCGAGTACAGCAGTGTCAATTTGAGCGAAAGCCAGATCTAATTCTAGCAAAGAGCTGGGCCGTGATGTTGAAACTGCTCCAATCCCATCCGCGGTGGCAGTAATCCGGTGTTGTCGACATTCGAGTCGTTGAAGGTTTCGACATGTTGAAAGTATCACACCGATTGGCGCTACTGGACTGTTCTCGTCGACGGTTACGATACATAGTTCTTGTAATGTGTCTTTCGTTTGCCATAAAGCGAGCATAAATCGGCAGTAATTGCTCGTTGTGCATACTAAATATGGTGAAGAAAGAGCTTGATGTTTTAATAAACTAATTCCAGCTTGGCGTTCTCATCCTTCACAATATTTTGTCATCCTTACTTGCTAATTGAAGACGCTGAAGTCTGTTAAATGTGCCTTTGATTATCATTGAAAATAGCTTCTCGCATTGTTCGCTCTCCAGACATGTGATATGAATCTTTTCCACGTTTCTGCTGACATGAGGCAATACGTTCATCACCGAGTTGATTTCATCCCCTTTCTCAGAACAGCCTATGCCACTTTCCATGAGATATATACTGGCCCATGGCTTCGGGTATACAGACATGCGGTCCCGCCAGTCCCTACATACTTGGAGAGCCTGAGCCAGATTATATATTGGGAGATGATCCATCACTTGGCACAACAGGTCATATGGCAACTTGGTGATGAAATTGATACGCTTTTCTTGCCGTGTTTTCGCTGCATTGTAACAATCCTGAAGCTGCTTCTGCTCATCATATCGGTCGGTCGGCACCGACTTGATGCCTTGCTGAGATATGCGCATAGCTGCTAACTGGCGACATTGTAACAAGTACAGCTCTGCAGTCCGCAAATAGCCTGCTGCTCTTAATGGTGCGTATCGGATCATTAAACTCGCATCTTGAAAAGCCTTGTCGAACTGCATAGTGCGACTGTATGAAATTGCGCGAATATCAAGCAAAGCTATTAGGCTATCGTGTAGATCATCAATGGTGGAAGTTGCGCCGGTAATGGCACCCTGGAAATCTGATCGTCCAAGATCTGCCGAACACTTGTCAAACGTCGATCGGGCGACATTCCCAGGCATGCAATAACGGAGATCGAGGCGACTCGCTACTTGGGTTGGAGTGGTCGCAAGGCGTTTTGTATCGTTGGGAGGTGGTTCGTCGCTATGCTTTCTTTTGGGCATACTCGCTTCCGGGACGAGGGTGGGTCACAAGAGTTTTGGGGGGTGAGAGGCAGCAATTAGGAAAGCAAAACAAAATTAAAGTTCAATACTGCCGCTCTTTTGGAAGCATCTAGCATAATTGGTACACTGCGATTCGATTATCTTTTGTGTCACCTCAACAGAACAGAGGCCATTAGATAATATGGGTGTGGGTGCTCGGTTTCGCGACATAACTTATCTATTCTATCGCAAGGCGACAAACATAATTATCTCCGTCAAACTTTCGTTTGACGTACTGCTGTTATCAACGCATATTGTGCACTTGTTGCTTTACTTTATCCATCACTCGGTGGCCTCGGTATACATTCACTGAAAATGATAAGAATAAAGTGTGTCCTATTGGTTACTGCCTCGACTGGGGTAACTACCATTTTGGGTCTACAAAGTTGCTACGTGAATTTAGCCCAAGTAACTATTGCTTGGTTACACTTAGGAGCACAGTGTACAATGAGTTCAATATTGCTATTGATCCAAAGATATCTCGAACTTCGGACGCTAGTTATATTTTGAGACGCACTGTACATATAATCCAACCGACTTTCGTAAACTGGGAAGACCATTAAGCTTTATGGTATACCAGGCTCAGTTCAATAAGTGAATGAATACAGCGAGGGTGAAGTAGGCTGACTGCAGCTTGAAGCGGGGCTGTTACTGGCTTTGCAGCTCCAGCACACCAACATTCAGCACTTGCAACGCGCCACTTCATATCATATCGGTCGAAATATAGAAAACTTACTCGGTATTTTGTTCAGACAAATACAAAGACAGAACGTAGGTCATCTCGGTCTGCACCCTATAAAGAAGCAGCTGGACAGATGGATTTATAAAGGCAGCATCTGGACATCTAAAAACATGGTGCAGCTCTTTTAACCAGCATTCTGGGTTTAGTATCGAATATTCAACCATCGGGTTCTCAGATAGTATGGATTCGTAAATGATACAGTCTTATAATAACTCAACAAGCTTCAAGAGACCCAGAGCATCTGCATTTTTTCTTCTGTTCATACCAATGTCGGACTTTGTGTAGCTACTAGCTGCAAAATACCATAACACTGCTCCTTTGATTAAACGCCAGGATTATCTTGATTTCGGAAAGCACAACGCTATAGCATAAAGCTCATCCACTCTACCACCGCCTACATCATACTCTATTACGAGTGAACGAACTCTTTTCCTCCTCTTGTGATACTGATATGCATCACTAATACAGTATCAGTACTCAGTTAGATTTGGGTATATACGGTAGTGCTAGCATTCCTTTCTCCGAAGCCCTCCCTCTCTAGACACGGTTGAATGACCCAACGTTTTAAACGCTTTTGAAGCACGTTTGAAAATATTTGAGACATTCTAACATACCTGTACCCACTTTCGACATCAGTTGTTAAAAGCACAAGAAGCTTGGTAGAAACGTACATACAACGGTTCTGCAAAAACTGTAAAACATACCTGTTTCCGTACCAAGTCTCAATCGATGTAGCAGAAGACCGGCCCATATTGTACGCACTTCGCGATGCTCATGAATATATCTTTGTTATACCAGCAAGGGCCCTTCATCTATAATCTTTTCATTGACCATTCCAGCGACGTATGTTGGATACAGTGGTCCCCCGCTTTTTGCAAAGCAACTTCACGAAGCTAATCTAAAGCTAAATTGCACTCGAGTTTTACAGAGCCTCACTCTAAAACACCATCTTGGAGCCTACCACTGTCGTAAAAATCCGTGAACCACTTACACAATGTTCACAGCCGATAATAAGCTACCGGTTTAATAGGGTGTGCCCTACAACGATGAGGACATTGCTTCACGTTTGATTTTCCAGTCCGGAGATGTGATAGGCTCTTACAGACGCTCTATATGGTGTATATTAGACTATATCCTACTTTGGCTCACTCGCTGCCATGTCCGGTTACTTCAAAGCCGTCAATGATTTCTCTCATTGAGTGTGTTACCCGCAAGCCCTATTTGAGACGTAACAAGACTATTCCGAACGGTGATTCGCCGACCTTTCACGTCCGGCCACTTTAACCCCGACGCGTTTAACGCGACGCGTGCCTTCTTTTCTTTTTCATTTTCCATTTTTTCGTTACTGCTTATCTCGAAACAACCAAAATGGATCAGGCTGTCTACGAAACCTTGCTTCAAGTTGGCAATCCCGATGGCGCCATTCGATCTGCTGCAGAACAACGTTTGAAAGAACTCGAAAGCACTTCTCCAGGTAGAAAATTTACACCGTGAATCATCCTTATACATATTAACATAATCAGCTCCCACCTCTCCCCATATTAACCGCAAATAATACAGAATTCCCTGTGAGCTTGGCTCGATTGACTGTTTCGCAGGAACTTGCGGTGCCTCATCGTCAAATATCCTTTTTTTAAAAGCTGTTTTATTGTCGCGCTCGTGCAAAATTAACAATCGTATATGAAAAAAAAACAGCAAAATGAATCCTTAACCACAGTAATTACTTGGCAGCATTGACCCTTAAGACCTATGTAACGACCCACTGGGCTGCTCGCGACGACGAGACTTTCCAGGGCCCTGAACCTTCTCCTGAGGTACTTTTATTGATAATACGATGAAGAGAGTGTGTAACGAAGGCAAATGGAGGATTCCATTCGTGATAAGCATGTTATTATTTCTTGAATGAATGCTGATCGGGGAGTTTCCTTTATATTATATAATAGTGCAAAAACGCCATTCGTGAAATTATTGTCCATGGTCTCGGAGATCATGAGTCCAAGATTCGCGTCGTTTCGGCCTATGTTGTCTCCAAAATTGCACACGATGACTTTCCCGAAGACTGGCCGAACTTGTTTGATGTGTTGCTGAGCTACCTCAAATCAAACAGCGTGGATGGTGTCCATGGCGCTATGCGTGTGCTGCTCGAAATGGTCCAGAGAGATATCAGCATTCAGCAGTTGCCTCAGGTCGGCCCTGTCCTGATCCCCGAGCTTTATACTATTTTGACCTCAGATAATGTAAGTTCTTTGCAGGAAAGGAGATAGCGAGGAGGCAACAAGAAACAGAGGTTCTTATCGTGTATGTATGCATATATGGTCATTCAGGTGTACTCGTTCCGTACCCGTGGTCGTGCAGTTAGCATTTTCAATAGCTGTGTCCAGATGTTGGATACGCTTCGTGACGATAACCCGGCTGCTGCTGACCAGTTTATCGCTCCCATCCTTCCTCAATGGATGCAAGCTTTCCATACCATTCTTGCACATCACGTTCAAGACGATGCCAAGAAGGCTACTGAAGAATATGGCTTGAAGATGGAAGTAGTTAGAGTAAGTGTCGACAGTAATTTATCAAGATACTCACTTAAAATCATCATACGACACATACAAAAAGGCAGAGATCTACCGAAGACTGATTTCATCAACTTTCTTTTCTTATATTTATCACACCTGCAGTGTATTCGCACTGTGAGCGGCGAGTACTCAAAATATGTCAGAGATATCCTGCCTCAATTGATGGAACCTATCTGGGGCGAGCTCTACAACTTGCGTGATAGATACATTGCCGAATTCGTATCTGATTCAGATGATGTGGCCGAATCATTCCAGGACTCAGACGGTAACGAGATCGGTTTCCAAAGCTTGCTCTATGCTCTCTTTGAGTTCATGGAATCTGCGTGCTCCAAGAAGTCGCTTAAACACTTGTTCGTTACAAACAACACCCCCACTTCTTTATTTGAAGAAGTTATCTACGTTCTGATTGTATACATGCAAATCACTCAAGATCAGATGGAAACATGGTCTTCGGATGCCAATCAATATGTTGCGGATGAGGAGGATGGCACATTCACCTATAGTGCTCGTGTCGCGTCGTGGGATGTGCTTACGGTAAGCGAAATATCAACATATGCGTATGTTTGGATTGGCAAGGATGCATGGAGATCAAAATATGAAGAGGAAATTTAACCAAGTGATACTTTTCTTGAAAAAAAAAAGCCATTGCAAGAAGCATTTCCCGATCCATTTGCTGCTGCTCTTCAAACAGCTGTCCAGCGTCATATTAGTGAATCCAACGCTGCTCGTGCTCAAGGCAACAACTCATGGTGGAAAATACAAGAAGCCTGTTTGTTGGCCATTGGTCGCTCAGCTGAAGAACTGGTTTTGAGTTTGAAGGACGAATCTCGGTCTGTCCAATTCGATCTCAAGAGTCTCTTTGATCATATCGTGCTGGAAAGCATGAACCAGACCGCTTTCCCATTTTTACAAGGTAGAGCCTTCGTCTTTGCATCCGAATTTGCCAAGGTTCTCCCTACTGAAATGGCAGGTCAGTATGTGATGGCTGCCGTCACTGCGTTGCAATCGCCTGCTAGTAGCATCCCTGTCAAGATCTCGGCTCTCAAAGCATTGAACAAGTAAGTGACTCTTCCAATGACAAACAAAGAAAAAAATCATGCCGACAGATTTTTTTGTGTAACTAAACTTATCGTAATCAATGTATACTTCTTTAGCTACTGCAAGGACTTGGATCCTCAATACTCGGCTCCATACCAAGTGAACATTCTGGAAGGCGCATGCCAGTTGTTGCCTGACGCTTCTGAAGAGTCTCTTATGCTCTTGTTGCAATCGTTGTGCTCTGCTGTCAAGGTAACATTTGTCATTACGAGGAAAAATTGAAGTAAGACATGGTTACTTAATTGTAGGGTCCTTGTTCATGTATAAGATTAACGAAGAAGTTGCCGCCAAGTACGAATATGTGCTGACGCCTGCTGTTCTTGAGACATGGAAGAAGTTCCCCACAGATTCCATCATTACAAGCTATATTCTGGATCTGTTCGAGAGCTTTGCTGAGAATCCAGCCTATTTCCCCGCTCTTTGTGCTCGCTCGTTCCCCTTCTTTGAACAAGTTTTCAAGACTCCTGGCAACGTACCTCCTGTCCTTGCTGTAAGTTTTCTTGTTTGACTGTATATTAGGGTAAACAGACTAGCTTTATCTCGTAATCGCTCATCTCTCTCTCTCTCTCTCTCTCTCTCTCTCTCTGTGCAATTGGTTGTATATAGTCAGTCGTTGACTTATTGACAGCTTTGGTCCGATTCGGTCCTTCACCTCTTCCGAACGAATTCACGGACCAAATGTTCCCTATTGTGATGCAGCTTGGCTGGAATGCTGAAGACGAGGATGTCTTGCAGAGCGTCCAAGAGTGCTTGAAGCAATACATCATCAAGGACTGTGACCATATTATCCAATGGAATGACGGCTCTGGAAAGTCGGGTCTTGACTATGTGATCCATTTCGTTGCTCGTTTGTTGGAGCCCAAAAACTCTGCATCTGAAGCTCTCTTTGTAGGCGATTTGATTGTCAACCTGATCAGGAAGGCCGGCAATAACATTGCTAGTGTCCTTCCCGAGCTTTTGAATGCCGTGTTGATCCGTCTCCAAAACACCGATTATCAACCATTCGTTCAGGTACTTTCAGGGCTCTTTTTATTTTTAAATGAGGAATAGGCTGAGAAACGTGTTCGAAATGCTTTTAAATAACACGCAGTTTTTCTGTATAGTCTTTGGTGCTAGTGTTCGCCCATTTACTTATTCAGCAGCAGGATACCGTCTTCCAATTCCTTTGTGCTACAAACATTGAGGGTCGTAGTGGTCTGGAGATCCTGTTGCCCATGTGGTGTGATTATTTTGGCTCGTTCTCAGGATACTACTCCCTTAAAGTCAGGTAAGAAAATAGGAAAAACGCGTTATGAAGCATGGTTGATACGACACCCAGAAAAAGGGGGAGGACGCAGACGATCAGTATGCTTATTATCACGTGTTTGTTCCATGGTTAAATAGCGCAATTGCACTTTCCAAGCTGTTTTTGATCAACGACCCTCGACTTCAGAACTTGACCGTTCGTGGCGATATCGTTGCTAACCCTGAAGGTGGTATTGTGACCCGATCCAAAGCCAAGCGCAGTAAGTCCATCATGCTGAAAACCAGCATTGATTACACAAAAGTCTCAAATGCGCATCCAGACTCACACGCGAACTTGTACAAACCATTATTGTGAAAGATCCCGAGCAATACACTGCCATTCCTGTACATGCCAAGATTATCCGCCTGTTGGTTGATGATTTGCAGAACAACATGACTACAGACCAAAGTGGCCAGGCTGAAGAAGTGGAGTCCGTGGGTGATGATGTAAGGATAAAACGTACAAACTATAAGAACAACCAGAAACCCGAGAAAAGCTACGTGTATACTAATGTTTTGTTTAGGATTGGGAGGATGAGCCTTCTACTGATCTTGCCGATATCCAGTATCTATCAGGTAATGTGTCTTTACTAAAATAAGATTAAAATTGATAATTATCAATTTTATGCTAGTTTTTCAGTAGATTCTACACTTAAAATGTGTTGGTGTTGGCAGGGTGGAAGAACCAAAATTTCTGATGACATTTCTTGCATGAATTATTAGATATGCTTGCTGAGCTGGATGACGACTATGAAGAGAACAACCCGGAATTGAAGGACGATCCTATTTATCAAACGGATATGAAGGGCTATCTCTTGGACTTTTTCCGTAATTGCTCAGCTCACAACACGAATCATTTTGTGGAGATCTGCCAGCATCATTTGGACGACCTTCAGAAGGAAACATTGAACTTTGCTTTGAAGAACTAAGTTCGGTGAATGCCCCGAAAAACCAAAAATTACTACTCTTATTTTCTATCTTTTCTCCTTTATCACGCGTACCTGCTTTCTATATTATCTTGTTGTTCTATATGAGGGAGCGAAAGATTCTTTTACTTACAAAGAAACAATCTTTCCCAACATCCCCTCCACCTTCACACGCACAATTTCTCCACCCCCGTTTCCTCATCGGGAATCACTTAACACAGCACACTTGGTAGATATGTATATCCAAATGAAAATAACCTAATCCACATAATTGTTCAACTGCTTTTGTGCGAAGGATGCGCTATGGGTAACTTTATATTTATATATACAACTTGCTAGGGAGGACAGGACATGATCAGGGATGGGGAGACATATGCTACATAGAAAAGAAGGTTGATAAGGTACTATTTTTAAATGATGTGTGTGTGTGTGTGTGTGTGTGTGAGAAAAAAGGGTTCATGTATGTAATGTAATTTTGTAATAGAAAAGAATGGAGAAATATGTGTGAGAGAGAGAGAGAGGGGGGGGTGTACTCGATTAATCCGTGGATGACCAACCCCAGGAAACTACAAAACTTGCTGCTGTCAAGGCAATGTTGCAGCGAAACACCAGCGTATATCCAGCCATCAAGAGCGCTTCTGCTGTTACACTACTACCGACATCGCTATCGTCTCCCGACAGCAGGAACCCAGCCAACAATGCTCCTATAGCAGGCCCAATACTGCTGAACAACGCCGATAACTTGCCAACTTGAGCAACTCGCTGATCTTCATCCGTCCATAGTAAAGCACACAGACGCTGTGTCATGACAAGCCACACCAATGGAAATGCCATGCCTTGGAGCAGCTGCAAGACAATGACTTGGAGCCAGAGCACTGTCCATTCGGTACGTAACCAACTATAGACAAACGAGCAGATGATCAACGCCGCATGGACCATGGTGGTGGTCATGGTCACAGTAAATCGAGGTATCCACTAGTACATATTCATCATTAAGCCTTTTTTAATCTTTCTCAAGATATACAAATTGAAAACCCCCCACAGTAACATATCGGGGTTTCCCAAACTACATCGAATCTAGTATGAGAGCACTTACCCAACGAGCGCTTGCATGGACAAGGATTTCTGAAAGCACAGGTACCATGGCTGCTATTCCAATCATCCACATGGCTAAACCAAGGACTTGATACAGATAGATGAACAGTAATGTATTCATCATACCTTTGACAATTCCGAGCATGAGCGTTGTCAAAGACATGCTTTGAATTTGCCACTGGATCAGCTGATCCACCACCGTGCCACCACCATCCACATGAAGCAACAACAGGACCGACATTGGGGTGTTGTGTGGCGGCAAGGGTAGTAGTGACAATTCAGCCGAGGATGCAAGTTGTACTATCTGTACTATTTGTTCTGCTTGTGGTTGATGTTGTTGCTGTTGCTGTTGCTGTTGCTGTTGCTGCTGCTGCTGCTGCTGCTGCTGTTGCTGATAGGGGAGTGCGCTATTCATATTTACGTTTGGAGGCATGCCGTGCTGTACTTGCTGCTGCTGCTGCTGCTGCGATATGCTGTTCTGACGTCTCCAAGGATAAGAGAAGAAATCAAAGGGCTGTTGGGTAGTGGTCGTATTAGTACTGCCGTACATAGTGATGGGTACACTACCACTTGCGGCGAGTGCAGCAGCCGAACTGGTGGTTGTAGTGGAGCTGATAGAGTGGCCACTATTGTGTCGTATCAGCTGGTGGCTGTTACTGCTGGCCATTCGACGGAGCATGGAGGCGTCCTCTTCCGAGATATGTGACAGTGGCTCACCAAACAGACTGTATGGCTTGTATGCATGTAGCAACGAATCATTGTAATAATGCTGCGGCGGCTGGAAGAATAGCGCGTTTTTCAGGAACCGAGGGGCAGCAACAGTAGTAGACGTAGCACCGCCGCCAGCACCATTACTGCCAATATCGTCGTAATAACCGTCGACCATATCGTCATACTCGTCTGTCATGTAGTCCATCTGGATGAATCCGTTGTGTCGGTAAATTAAAGTCAGGGTGATGCAGAGCATAGTGCATCCGACCAAGACGGCGCCAACAAGGGTGTAATCAAGGTTGCACCACCAATAGTTTATGCAGCCGATCGATACTAATGCCAAGGCTAAAACTCCATTCGCCCATTGTCGCTCGGTCCCTGTGTAGATGAGAGTTTTGATATACAAGAGGCAAGAAGAATCAGGACACGGCTATGTATATACACTTTTGCAGAGTGGATCCTCCCCCCCCGTCCGCGCATCTTTCTTTTCTTGGAAACGTACCATACAACCAGCTTTTATAGTCGCCCAGAAACTTGATAGTGGCACTGTCGACAAGTGCTTCCAGCGGCTGATAAAACAGGCCATTGGCCATCATCAGACAGACCAAGACTATCAAGTAACTGTCCGGTGACATAAAGACGCCCACCAGCGCGAGTGTACCGACAACCGTCAAGCCAATCAACAAGCGGATATGCGTGTTAGGCTCGGAGCGATCGACCCACCAAATGCAGACACAGGATGCCATGAGCCGAAAGATCAGTACAATGGCTGTCAACATGCCAATGACAAAAGGGTCTAGTCCACGCTCGTTCCACAAATAAAGCGGCAAATACGACTCGGTGCTGCTGCTAACGGCGTGAGCTATCGCCAGCAGTCGAGGCCAGAATATCATTGTTGGTGTGTGTGATCGTTTGTTCGTTAGGGTATCGCTGCTTTTTGGGGGAGGTGGAGCTGTGGGTTTAGTTATGAAGCTGAAGCAAAATAGGAAGAGGGAATACAAAAAATTGCATCGAGTGGGAAAAAAAAAAAGAGAAAAGAGAGGGAAAGGCGAGACGAAACCAGGCGTGTGTTATGTTTATAGACGGATTGCTACCACATAACAACAACAGCAGCAACAACAACAACAAAGGAACAAGACGACGACGAAGCAGCAGCACAGCTACTACTACTACTACTACTACTACAACAACAACGTGATTATTATCCCCTTCTTTCTTCTCTTTACCTTTGCTTCGTCGGCTGTTATCTTATTCAGGCTCGGCCGTGCTTGGACCCGCTCTGCCTCCCTTATCAGGGTTATCAATTTTCTATCACTTGCATCACACACACAGTCTCTCTCTCTCTCTCTATCTCCCACGCTTGCTTCCCAAAAGAGAAGAACTCTTATATGTTCTGGTTTTGATTTGGTTCTTTGCAATCCAACAAGTAGTTGTTCCCAGAAGAGCGACCCTGAGAAACGAAGCCCAGCCCAGCCCAGCACAGCAGCAGCAGCAGCAGCGACCATTGCATACGCACACATACATGAATGTCCGGGTTAACGTTGAAGTTTGTTCCATCAACATCATCATCATCCTTCTGTTCTCTCTCTTTGTCTCCATCATACTATTTATGTTTGTGTGTGTGTGTGTGTGTGGGGAACATGAAAAACTTTTGCCTATACACAGCAAAGCCTCCTCTCCCCCCCCCCACCATCCCACCCACCTATTACGCGCGACATATTATGCATCGCTAAATCAATGACCGACCGACCTGCATTATCAATCACTCCCAAAAAAGTGATGTCCAACTTCATAACACTGGGCCAAACCATATCATCACGCACATGCTACATTCTTCTCCTTTTTGTTTTCTCCTCTCTCTCTCTCTCTCTCTCTCTCTCTCTCTCTCCCGCTTCTTCACTATAGTATCTTAGCCGCCACCGTCTTTGTCTCTTTTGTTTTCTTTTTCCCTCCAAAATTTGAATTCTGCTGGTTGAGCTGTAACATGACACAACGCGCGTTTGGATAGTAATAATGCTCCTCTCTTTTTTTTTCATCGATAAGAGACGAAGATTAAGGAGATACGCTTCTTAATTTGCGTCTGCTTCTTTCGTACTTTATCATCACAAGCATCAAGGTTCTATGCAATTTCTCTAGTAATTGCTCTATAGAGATCCGAGTGCTCGACAGCGAACTGGTAACGCAACGTAAACAGCAATCACAGTGCTCCTTTGGCATTTGCATGAAGACGTCTGAGAGACGAGATAAATGCCTCATACTTGGGTACTCTTAATAGGAATAGGAAAATTGCTCACAGGGCCCATGCTGCAACTCGGGCTACACACAATCAAAACAACAGGAACAGTGTTCTCTCGATTCTGACCACCACTGTCTGAAGATGTGTAGTCATAGAGGAGACTACCTCGTATTACCCCTATATTCCATCGTAATGAAAAAGGTAGAAAGTGTAACACTAGTAGCTGTGATATAATCAACGACACCATGTTTCTGATTTGCTCTTTCAGCTTTTTTTCTTTTGGTAATAAGAGTGCCACATCAGGCGCATATCATTTACAACACTGCCAACAGTGTCAGTCCAGTACTTCATAACACAAATTGTACGTGGTGTCTTTATGTACATATCCAAGCAAACAACAAAATCAAATGATTAACAGCCATTTATCAATATATCTTTATACAGTAGCACATAATGCACGTACATTATACGACTGGTGACCTTTGTAGATGCTTCGAACAATTGCCTAAAGAGGTAAGGAAAAGGATACCAAAAGCGACAACGGTGAGCACAAATACAACAACAAAGTCAGTGCTCGATTTCAGGATGCTCGACGACCATGGCACCATGTGATTACTTTTCGCTTCTATCCCCTCAGCTGGTCTTACTCTACAGTACTACTATGATAACACAATCCGTAGGAGGAACAAAGCACTGGGATAATATTTATGCAACTCGGGTCTACAGTTGACATGTCAGCATACTTTGGCAGGATTGTCTCATTGTATGCTATCAAATCATCTCCAAGAAGTCTTGATAGTGCATAGTAGTATACGCAATGTAAAGCACTAGTCTTAGTACATACTCAATAATAGTATATATATATATATATATATATATATGTATGAATGCTAAGAAAGCAATATTACCAAAGGAAACGTCTTGAGATCGTTCATGTGACACTTTTCTTTCCTTCTCATCTCTTTATCACTGTAGCAACAACTGCAACGGTAGTGTTTGCTTCATCTTTACCAGAATCTGTGGAAATTGATATACTCGCGCAACATACGATCTACAGTACGTATCAAGACGCTTGCCAGCCGAATACAGTGGCTTCCCCGGCTTAAGATCACTCATGATAGTAGGATCAGCTTACAGTTATTTCAACATTTTTTCGAGTACATCCTTTAATATAGTCTCTCTTACATACCTTGCGTCAACACTCTTTAAAGCTCCCTTTGAAATCACTATTAGAGATTCTGTCATGATACATACCTCTAATTTCAGCCATAGACCTTTTGGAGAAGAAGTATGTGTGTATATATCATCTTTGCCCAAAGTAAACAGGGGGACATATGTATGTAACCTCGTTATAACTTCTATTCGACGTGTGTTTTGTCTTTTAGGTTTCGGAAGAAGGTTTTATCGGAATGCTGCTTTTGCATAACATATGTCTAGACCGAAGAAGAGGTCTGGGAGTCGGCGTCTAACGAGAACCAAGAGGTTTTTGTTTATGCATGAACATGATGCATAGGCGGATGTCAAAGAAGGGCAACGCTTCTCTTCGCTCACAACTCGCCACATGCAAAACCGGTGATTGGTACTTTTGCATGGAAAGCAAAGGAAAAACTCAGCAGAGAGCAGCAGCAGTACTCTGCTCGATGCTGTTGTCCACCGTGATACATTGTTGACCGAGACATGCAGTGCAACAAGGCAAGATCTTTTCTGCTTTTCCGGGACGGCATTTCAAAAAGTTTTCACTCTTTTCAAGCCGCTCTACCGAAAAAGGCAGTATTGTTTACAACAATCATCCTCCGCTTTTTGTTGATGCAGAAATAGAAAAGCGCACTCATATCAATTAGACTCAGCGAGTTGTTCTCATTGACCGGGCGCGTATCCTTTCACCGTCACGTTGTCATGAAGATCAGCATCATTATTAGCTGGTTTACGATCCCCATGGTGACCGAGTATTGGGAAAAAGAATGGGCCGGTGTGTGTGTATGTGTGTGCTGAGCCGTACTGGTTGGCATCCTATAACACCGCTCCAAACCAGGCCCCCACTCGCGTTTCTCTCAAATAGGGTAAGGTAGGATTTGACGTGTTTTGAGATGAAAGGTCTTGTTTTTCATCCTTCGGAGTTGGTGTCTCCGCAATAGTACAGTACAATGACGACCCAGCTTACGTGTAAGCCGAAGGGGTCTGGACAACCGATTTTTATAAACGGAGAATTCTAAAGTATTCATTCGTCTGGGGGGGGGTCCACACACTCAGTATTTACGGTGTGAGCATCAATCCATTCACACGGGTCTTGTAAATGGTAATTAGGCACATTTTTTTTTTTTTGCCTCGCGTCAAATGGCCCTCCTGGCTTGTTGGGCACAGAGAGAGAGAGAGAGAGAGCGATCTTCAGATGAAACGACGCATTGTGGAACAGAATTACCTGCTATGGCATAGTCTTCCTTTTCATCTTTGGCGTTCATATTACATTATTGTTGTTGTTGGTGGAGGAACGCATTATTTCCCGGTTTATTACTACTATTACTACTACTACTAATACTACTAGTCAGCTAGCTATAGAAACGGGTTGAATATGACACATCGACAAGAACGTCTGGATCCAGAATTTTGTTACTATCACTCATTCCCGTCATTGAATGAATATCACAGCGAACTGAGTCCAAGCCCAAGGGTTGGGGAGTGGGTGGGACTACTAGTGAAGAAGATCGAGACGCCTCTGAGATAAATTAGGCTTAACAATGAGAAAAGGTACAGGCCCTATTTGCTACACAGTACATTTCTCCTCAAAGACTTGCCCTGTGATAGTTGACTCTCACACTACCTTGAGAGCCTCACTTCTGGCCGTAGAGTTCAATTGCAAAGCTTTGCTGCTTCAACTGAAGCGTCATATTACGCCACGATGATGACCACGCGAGCCAGCACAAAAGACCGCACGAAGCGGCGATACTATAATGAGCAAAGTCGGATTTTCTCTTCTCCATGCATTTTGTGTCGCCGTTGAAAAAAAAAGAAAACAAAAAAAACAACAGCAACAGAACTTTACTGTACAATTTTAGAGGAGCAGATGGATTGGGTATCAGTTTTAGTTATGGTGTACGTACTTGAAAACAATAGATAGAAAGATGCTATGGGGAGGGGGGCGATAAGACTAGTGGTAAACGAGGGAAATGAGAGAGAACGAGAGAGAGAGAAGTTAAAAGGCATGATAAGTTCTAGGCGCGTGGCGATGATGAGTAAGTCGACACCAGGTCGGGAGATGGGGGTGGCGGATTGAGTGTGAATTGGCTGTACCAGACTGGCGCAGTGCCTGACAAGCGCGGAATGCTAGCTTCCGGCCGTTGTCGTCGTTGTCGTCGTTGTCGTTGTTGACGCTCTGCGTCTTCTTCTTGTTGCTTTGCTGACGATGGCGATCGCTTCTTGTTTCGTTTGAACATTTTTGTCCAGAACCCTCTGCTGTGGCTGCTGTGACTGCTGCTGCTGCTGCTGCTGCTACCATCAATATGCTCTTTCCGATGCGAATGATGCGCAGTAGGAACAAGTCGTGTTCCATGCCGCGCAAGGAACTTTTTGGCCGATCCAGCGGACCATGTTGATGCGCGTTGTTGACGTTGTTGCTGATGATGATGATGATGCGACTGCTGCGTTTCGTCATAGCAGTAATCAAAGTAGAATTCGCCGCCGTCGTCGTCGTCGTCGTCGTCGTCTTCATCGGATAGCGAAAGGCTTGATAATGATCTGGTGGCCTTCATAGGAGGGTGGTGACGATGGTCGTAGTAGCGTTCAATCATATCGTGTGATGACGGATGATCGTCGTCGTCGGCAGCCATCAGATCATTGAGCTTTGTCAGGTTTTCTCTTGTCAGCGGAAGCATAGTAGTAGTGGGTGCGTGACAGATAAAAAGATTAGGGAAAGGAGTGGAATTGAAGAAGATAAAGAGTGGAAAGGGACAAAGAAAAAGAAAATAAGGCAGCTGGGTGAATGGAAGAAAACAGTTGTCTTTTTATATACACCACAGCACAGCGGGTACAGTCAGCCTGTCGATCGCAGCTTGTCTATTTTCTATGTGACAACACAATATGGTGCCCGTGCGTTTCGGGGACCTGTCCCTTCTCTCAAGTCCAACTGTTTTTAAAGTTCCCCAACAATGCGGTCGACATTAAAGCGTGGCGGGGGCGGAGGTGGGAGATGGCCCAGAAGCATGGCTGAGAAAATATGAATAAAGGGCTTTTTTTTGCGTGACGGACCCATCGCCTGCCCGCCCGGTCCAATTTAAGTCTCAGGTACGACGATTGCCTTTCTGCTGTCGGGATAAGCCGACTCTCCATCCGTAAGAATATGCACAGCGGGCTTTAGGTTACGCAGAATAGTTCACAGCCAACCACGCAGACACATATACGCTGATTTGGGTTCACGTGGAGCGATCACTCAGGCCGTCACATGGGAAAAGCAAAACGCGCCAGACCTAGGATTACACCACAGAATGAACGAGCTTTAATATCTTTTTTGTTTTTCTTCTTCTTTTCGTTTGTCTTTTTTTTTTTTTTTCAGTAGTCTTGCACACTCACTTGTCTTTTTGCTGCTGCTGCTGCTGCTTCTCCATTTCTTCGTCATGGCAACGGCCGCGTTATGGACTCCGAGAGCCACTGCCAAGCTCGTCTTTACCAACTCGGCAGTCTTTATTCACACTTGCGCTAATCTATTCTGTCAGTTCCTCGCATTCCTCCTCCTACCATTCTCTGCCGCTGCATTTCATGACTCGCTCGCTTACATTCTGAGACTGTGGGTCCATTTGGTTGCGGGCCTCATTCAATGCTTTGCTCCCTCCGATTTTGTCTTGACCGTCGATTCTTCGTGTGATGAGCGTATGGTCCAACGGAACAAACAGGGCGATGCTACTGGCATAACGTTCCCAAAACGTATTCTTGTCACGTCAAACCACCAGGTAAGAAGTAAAGAACATGTTTGTCTCTTTTTTGCTTGGAAAGCGTATGAAGGCTTCTCTCAAGGAGGGTGCTGATGACGGTAGTATTGTTTGTTTGCCTTTTTTTCTTAATTTACCCCAGATTTATGCAGACTGGCTATACATTTGGCTGGTAGCATTTGCTGCCAATGCGCACGGCTCCATGAAGATTATTCTCAAGCATTCGCTGAAATACTTGCCCGTCTTTGGCTTGTAAGTTCAAACTTTCTATGTCGGAAGAGCACTTTTTTATGACGCGTGTGTAAGAATGTTACTAAAGGTTTTTTTTGGTTTTTTTCTCCCAGGGTAACTGAATCCACAGGGGTGGCTTAACCTTTGGGCTTAATATGCACGTAGCTAACGTCTCTCAAATTTACTCTACATTACAGAGCATGACCATCGTCGACTTTATCTTCCTGAAACGCAAGCTGGCTGTGGATAAGGAGACTATCGTCAACAACTTGGAACGGTCGAAACGGCACAAGATACCCACATGGCTTCTCCTGTTCCCGGAAGGCACCGGTAAATCAGTATAACCGAATTACGACGTGTATGCGCATGTGTCATCTGATATCATTTTACATGAACAGTCATTTCCGAGAGTACCCGCGAACGATCGAAAGCCTTTGCGAAGAAGAATGATATGGTAAAAAAAAAGAGAAAAAGGGCACGGGCTATAGAGACAAACCCAATTCCACGATGAGCGGAAGTGTGAACGCTGTATACGTCAAGGAAAGGAAAAAAAAAAACTGACAACAATGCATGTTAGAACGACAATCGATTTACACTTCTTCCACGATCCACAGGTCTGAAATTGATACTCGAAACACTGGGCGACGATCCTGAATGGATGTATGACTTTACAATTGGATACCAAGGAGTCAAGGCGACGGATATCCCAGAAAAGGTCTATACCATCCGCAGCATCTTTTCTTTGGGCGTGTTCCCAAAGAAGATCCACGTCTACATCCGGAGATTTCGGATACCCGACCTTCCGTTACACGACGAGAAGGCATTTGCAAACTGGCTCTTTGACCGATGGGCAGAGAAGGATGAGATGCTGGCTCATTACTATGATAAAGGTCAGTTCCCGGACGGAAGAGATAGGCTTCAGCTGCCGATCCGCTTGAAGAACCCTATCCGCGACATTGGCATGATGTATGTGTTGCTGTTACCGTATATACCATTCTGCCTATTGGCCTACAAATTGTACAATATGCTTTTTTGCAGTGCATCATGAAGCAACTTTAAATAAATCCCTCCCTCCCCCCACCAACCACCGCAAATACTTTCAATGTTTCATTTAAAAAACTTTACAATTTCGTCATAATTTTTGAAACATGGGTTTTTTGTGTTAAGATCATGGATATATAAAAAAGATTCACACTACACAACTTCTTTTTTTTGCCTGCTTAACTGCTTTATTTCGAAAAATGTCATCTAAATATCAAACCAAGAAAGATCCTGCTTCACTCAAGGTAGGGCTTGGTTTTATACTCTTTTGACCAATATGGAAGGAGCAAGAGCATGTCAATGAATGTGTGAGCTGAAATGGGGAATTTCTTTATTGATAGAAACAAGAGGAAGACCTCCTCGACGATGCCCAGTATCATATTAACGAGACAGAAACAGCACTGGACGACGCAGAGCGCGCTTCACATGCTCACAAGGCCCGAACTGGCAAAGAGCTTGATGTGACGGAAGAAAACCTCCGTAGCGGAAAGTTTCCAGAAAAGAAAATGGATTAGATATTCTAGTCTTTACCTCCTTCCACTTGACGATACATTGTAAATAAAGCTCGCTGCGTACATATGCTTCTTATTTGACTGTTACAAGGGGGGTTCTCATGTTGTTTTGGGGTAGCGCTGTATGCTCACATACTTTCGATGGCTATTCAATGCACTTGATGACTAGCGTGTTTAGCGGTGTATTTAGCACAGGAATAGAAGCGTTCGACAAAGATTGAGTCGATGCAAGTACGAGTGTAGCCCTATTTGCATAGCTATGAGCTACGTACTACAGTGCCATTTCGCATACAGAGCGGAGCAGCATAAAACAGCGAGCATCGCGTTGGCCACCCGCTGCCGTCCGATAGATACGATTGAGCTTACTCTCTCTTTCTCTCTCTATTTAAGCTGCTCGCATCGTTTTTGTTTAGTGAGAACATACTTTTTTTTTATCATCAGCCAGGTAAAAATACTACTTGTTTGGAATCAAGTAAGAAAGGACCCATCAGCAGTAAGAGTGTTTCTGATGCAACGCAATGAGTTTACTGCTCACATAATACCTTTTAAATTCTTTGCTTCATCTCTATAACTTTTTATCTCGTTGACACTCTAATGGCCTTGTATGTGTCCTATACAATGTATATATATATATATATATATATATGCTACACAGTTAATCCACGAATATTACTGTATGTAGGTGTGTTTGTTTCGGTTAAGTTTAGCTGACAAAACAAATAATAAAAAAAAGATGGCCTCATAAATAATATACGCTCTAAAGTGCAATGATTCGCATTATCAAAGGCGAAGAAAGGGAGTGAAAGAAAGTTTTCTGTATGCTTGTTTAAAGAATGCGTTCTATCATGTACCAACCAACCTTAGGATGCTTTATTAATGACGATCTACATCCATTATCATCAAGAATGAAGGAAGGGAGCAGTGAAGAAAACGAGCTGTACACTCGCTTATATGCATTCTAATATATAAAGAAGATTAGCATGTTTTGTGTGCTAGCCGCTAAAAGAAGTAGTTCATTCCAGTTCAAAGTATGCTTTAAAGAGACAGACTTCTTTTGAAGCAGTGGAAAATTTTCCGGGTATGATGAAATATCAAGTACTACTACTACTATGATACATGCCCAGTTTTTTGGGTCCTACATAAGAAATAAATGAGGACATATAAAAACGTGCTATAATAGGGCACGACAGCTACGTAGCCTGGTAAGTGTGTTTCACCAAGTAGTCAGTCTCTCGCTTCCTAATAATCACCTTAATCTTTTTCTTTGGGTTCAAAGTACACATGTTGCAAAAAGAAGGCTGAACAACGTGCTGTGTAACTCGGGCTATTAAAATAAAAGGCTTTATCAACCCAAATCACGCCCTACTTTGCGCGCTGTTGCTTGCTTGCTTGCTTGCTAGCTGACAATGTTGTTTGGAGATGATGCTGCAGAACAGCATGTATGCATACTTTGTAGACGACTGCATGTTTCAAATCAAGGACTTTTTGGCGCACAGGAATCTGCACAAGCAGCAGTATAGCATGAAAAAACTTTGACTTTTTACTCATAGTCTTACACAGTAGCACCCATTGGATGTGTGTGCTTCATGCCATTTGTAAACATTTTCAGTGCAACCAAGATGATATCACGGTGGCAACAAGGAAAGGGTATGATGCTGCCCAAGGGTTTTTGCGGAGCAACAAAAACAAGCGGACTAGAGAGATAAGTATGAGAGAAAGAGAAGGTGGGACCATCTGTCAAATTCCCGTCAAATGTCAAAATTTTTGTTTCAACGGGATAGATCAGTTCGGGCAGAGAGATAGATGGGAAATTTCAATATCGGACCTACACTGTTTTCTCTCTTTGGCCGGCTGATAGATTTTCTGATTCGAATTACTCAAGGACAAGGCCGATCCCAAGCATACAGCACACACACACACACACACATTACAAGTTAGGTACTCCGCCCGTGCGTGTAATGATTCCCTCACCTTTTTCCCGGGGGAACAACAGGTAAAAAGAATACCAAAGAAGATGTGACAGTAGCAGTTTAGAGATGATAATAGAGTACTATTACTATTGCTGCTGCTGTTTGGTCAAGAAGTGACACTAGGCTAACTTTGCAACAAAGACTAATCTGAAGTTGCATTGAATTGGTGCCACAGAAATAAGTATCTTTGGCACACACAAACACGTGCCCCCAGGTTTCCGTTTTACTTTATCCCCCGGCCCCTCTTTTTTCTTTCTATCCTCCCGTCTTTCTTTCTTTCCACAACCTACCTCTTCTTCCCCTTTTCCTCTCTTTTTCCCTATCTTTCTCTCTCTCTCTCTCTCTTTCTTTCTTTCTCTCTTCTTTTCCTCTTTCTCTATCTTGAATTTCGCATGCTGCCATGACAACTCGGCATCAAGCACCGATACCCGGCACTGGCAAGACGCTGTCGCCATCTACCTCTACAAAGTCAGCGACGTCAACCAACATTGTGGGCGTCCATTACCGAGTCGGCAAAAAAGTAGGCGAAGGCAGTTTCGGTGTATTGTACGAAGGTGCGATATACTTTCTCTCTATTATACTTTCTCTCTCTCTCTCTCTCTCTGTCTGTCTGTCTCTCTTTGATGATTCCCTTGGAAAAAAAGACACAGGAAGATACGAGAGAAAGAGAGAATATTGAAATAGCATCCATTGTCATCAATTATAATAAAAACAACAATAATAATAACAACAACAATCCTCCCATTTACTTTGCTTTCCCTTTTATTTTTTCTTTTTATCTCTTATCTATATTTCATTCAGGCACCAATCTGTTAAACAATCAGTCGGTTGCTATCAAGTTCGAAGCGCGCAAGTCAGAAGCTCCTCAGTTGCGAGATGAATACCGAACCTATAAGATCCTTTCCGGTTTACGTAACGTAACAATTCAATTATGCAAAAAAAAAAAAAAAAAAAAACAATCCTTCACAATGAACTACGTCGTCGGGTTGGATCTCTCACACCATCGTTTCTCTTTTCTTTGCACATTGATCTGTACCAAACACGCATACGATACGCCATTGTTTTCGAATTAGCGGGCGTACCGAGCGCTTATTACTTTGGCCAAGAAGGGCAACATAATATCCTGGTGATCGATTTACTGGGTCCCAGTCTCGAGGACGTGTTTGACATGTGCGGCCGAAAGTTTTCCGTCAAAACGGTGGCCATGCTAGCGAAACAAATGGTATGCACATGGTGGTTTCTTTCTTCTTCTTCTTCTTAAGTAGCAGTGGTAGCAATAGTAGATGGCTCTCTCTCTCTCTCTCTCTCTCCTCTATGTATGTGCATTTGTGTGTGTCAGTAGGTCGGGCGGGAGAAACGGAACATCAAAAAAAAAAGCTCTACTCTATATAACATAGTGAGCAGAAAGCATGTGTTGCTGCCCGGTTTTACTGCAAAAGGCTGAACAACCATCCGATTTTGAACCATTACACAAAATAGCTGCTTCGGGTAGAGAATGTGCACGAACGCAATTTGATCTATCGAGATATCAAGCCCGACAACTTTCTGATCGGACGACCCGGTAGTAAACATGCCAATACCGTCTACATGATTGACTTTGGCATGGCCAAACCGTACCGAGACCCTAAAACAAAGCAACATATCCCTTACCGTGAACGCAAAAGTCTGTCGGGTACCGCACGTTACATGAGTATCAATACCCATTTGGGAAGAGGTATGTAATCGTTCAGCGGGTCTCCAAAAATCAAAGAGGGGAAAAGGGGGTTGTGAGGGAGTTTCTCCGGGGCGGGGAGGGGGGGGGTGGGGGACGGGATTAATTCAGTCAAGCAGCGGATGATTGGGCTTGGATGATGGCAACCTACCAGCAAACTAACACATCATTTTACTATGACCGTTGGCGTGCCCGTTTCCCCTGCTGCCTTCTGTCTTTTTCCTACTCCACACACACTCGATCTTCCGTAGAGCAATCAAGACGAGATGATCTCGAGTCACTTGGGCATGTGTTTATGTATTTCCTGAGAGGCTCGCTGCCGTGGCAAGGTTTAAAAGCTGCCACGAATAAGCAAAAGTACGAGAAGATTGGCGAGAAGAAACAGACAACCGCCATCAAGGATCTATGCGATAGCTTTCCTGGTAAGTACAAGATCTTCAATTCAGGGGCGCTATAACAATTTTAAATTTTTCTGAAAAAAGCAAGTCGAAGGAGGAGGGGTGGGCGCTGTAACTTTTACATCCTAGATCTTCCCTGTGTGTTAGTGTGTGTGTGTGTGTGTGTATGCGGTAGATCAAAAAACACAAACAGCTAATTAGCAGCCCTCTTTTTATCTGAACAATGTAGAGGAGTTTGGCATCTATTTGCAATATGTAAGAAAACTCGGATTCGAAGAAAGCCCGGATTATGAGTTTCTTCGCGAATTATTCAACAAAGTCTTGCGCCGTATGGGAGAAACAGACGATGGCGTTTATGACTGGATGATGTTGAATAATGGCAAGGGGTACGAGGCAAGTATCCACTCTTTTTTTTTCAAGAAACGCCACTGGGGATGTTATATTGTCTACCCAGCTATGTGTGGCTGCGGGGGCGGGGGGGGGGGGGTTGCGGTGGTTTAGGCTTCATCAAAGCTCTCTCTCTCTCTCTCTTGTATCACTCTCTTCTCCCCAGGTTGAGTGTGCATCAAACACGGAGCCCTTGACAGGGAGCTGATAGGAGAGATAGAGAGAGAAAGAGGGAAAAGACAAACTTTCTTCAATAGAAAGGTTTCATGCATCCATGAACAGAAAACATGGGCTGAAAAAGAAAAAGAAGGAGAGAGTCCCTAATTGGATTTTCACCATATAGCATCGCTCGACTAGCGATAGTAAACGACATCATTATGGTCGCGAGGCAACATCCAGGCTCGCACTGTCTCCAGGCAGCCAAGCGCGTCGGTCAAAAAGTCCCAACAATAACAACACCAACAACAACAACCATCAACGACAAGCATCACAAGCATCCCCTCATCCACAAGTAAATACAAACACGGCGACCACCGGAACCACGCTTCCTGCAATGCCCCAGCATGCATTGTCTCCACCACAACAACAACAACAGCAACAACTACAACCCGATTTGGACGCTAAGCAGCAACAGCAACAGCATCATCTATCATCATCCTGCACGCCAATTGGCCTTGACTCGTCTGTGCAACCAATACAAAACCATGCCGACGACGACGGACCGCATAAAGAGCATCGAGGATTCTGGCATGTGTTTATGGCGTTTGTGACGTGTGGCACTTTTAGTCATGTTTAAATCATAATATCCAACAACCTACACACTGAAAAAAAATCATGTGGGATCCGAAAGGTTTATCCTTCTTTTACCCTTCCATCATTCAATCACCACAAACACAACAAACATAACAAAGCACTCACTAACTATACACGCACCCTATTTCCCAACTTTTACCTCTTTACTTCTTTTGTTATTATAAACACTCGGCAAGGCACACCCCCCCCCCCGACTTTTCTTCTATTGCGAGAAAAAAAAAAGCATACACACAAATTTTCGCTTCTCTTTCCTCACCAGCTTCTGCATAATATTGGCTCATTATTGATTGTAATAGCACCAATGAATAATAGAACACACACACTCTCTCTTTCTTTCTACATATATTCTGCTGCTAACATTTTCAACTATACAGACTAGCAAGTGGGGAAAAGAGAAAGTAGCAATTTCATGAAGGCGGCTTGTGCTGATACATGCACTAATTGATCCATCTACTATAGTTAAAAAAGCACATTCGTACAGTCGGTATAAAATAGGTGCTTTTAGATATCTCAATGCATAAAGCGCATAAGAATGAGCGGGGAACTGGTGATTGGTCGGCGGTTTCCATGTTCTGTCGCTTTTCTTTTGTGTCGCCGTTGGGGAAAAACAGACGACTAATTGTGTCTTCCTTGATGAGTTTGCGCTTCAATTTAAAATGAAACGTAGTATGGCATGGTTAAAGAAAGGCTCCTTGGTAGCGATCACCGTTCCCAAAGCACGAGCAAAAAACAACAACCATTCTAGGCGCGATATCTGCCCAAGTTCTGAATAAATGCAGCCTGTCATGCTTCCTCAGCCTCCACCGAATACATACAAAAAGAAGACGTTGGGCTTGTGAGCAAAGGCACGGTTATGGGTCACTATATCGATTCTTTAAAAGCCACAATGGATAAAGTGAATCCTACCACATGCACATTGCCTTGTAATAGATAAAGCTCCATTCCATACATCGATTGATATCGCAGTTATCGCTGCATCTATCTGCAACTCATCTATTCTATAGAGCTCAGTGTAGTGGAATAGTTTTGATCAGTGATTAAGAATCAAATAAAATGTAACCAATTGCTGTACCTAGAAGCGAAGGTCTTGATGACAGGCATCAATGTCGCTTCTAACGGCTTTGGAAACTGAGTGACGACGTCAAAGGCTTTGTTTGACATTCACATAAATGCTTGGGATAAGTACCTTATAAGCAGAGCCCGCTCCTGCCTTCTCCAAAAAGGCAATCCCAGCATTTGCATTGAGTCTTTAGTATATGGTTTCTTGACGAAAAATAAAAAAAAAGAGAGGTTGCCTGATCCAGTTGCATCAGCAGGAGTCACCTTGCTGCAGACGCAAAAGAGACACAGGGTCTCTCTACACCGCAGTTCCTTTTTTTCAAGTTGCCTGAATGTTGCAGCCCGATTGCTCAACGACATCGATGCTCTCGTTATACTCAGTTGAGCTTAGAGGATCATCCGTCAAAGCTTTTATAATCCTCAGACTTTTGGGTAACGATGTACCCTGTCTGGCAATTGTTTTTCTCCAACATTTCCTTACCTAAGCGTACAGGAAATTACTAATTATTAATGTGTGTACTATATACCTGATCCGCGTCTTGAACCAAATAAAAGGACGATATAAACCCTCTTCATCGTTAAGAAGAGACAGGAAGTGTTGCCAGGTGATGCGTTTTGCGAAGATAATAACTTAAAAGTAAATCCTTGACGCGCTTGCCATACTTGGCAACCATTTCGGCATGACCTGCCTTCATGCGTTCGAACAGCTCCCTTTATCGGCCAGGGCCACAGCGGGCCGCCACAGCTTCGTCAGCAGTTGCATCGCTTGGAGCTTGGGAGGTGAATAGCTTTTGCAGCTTCAATCTTCTTGCTGATCGCACTGGCCTGGTAAAACCACACAACGGCTAAGTGGAAAAAAAAAGTGAGCATTATCTAGAAGCTCCGGTTTCCTCAGCAAATGTTTTCTCGGTCCCCTTTTAGTGGAAAACGTCCAACGAGTGCAAGGCGGTGTCGATGCTTTCTATCTGTAGCAAGGGGGATACATATATCTCGGTCTCTTTATTAGTATATCAAGTATAAGGTATTGCGACCGCGCAACATTAATATCTGGCTTCTATAAGTTGAACGCTAAGCGTATCACAAGTTTCACGTGTTATGAGCGATTACTTACTGCAGAGGAGGCAATACGACCTGCTTGAATATTACCCATTTGCATCTGTAATGGCATATATACAGTAATATGTTTGTCTGATTATTGTTGATGCCACATAATTACTGCACATTTATTATTTAGATGCTGTGCAAAGTGAATTGTTCAAGACTGCTATACATGCGCCTTAATTACAGTATTATACTGCCTAATGCAATAATAGCAATAAAGTCCATAGCAATTATGATACCACGTCATAAAATATCGTGATGACTGATCCTTTTTACTTTTTGTCGGGTAATAATAGAGCGAGAGAGGAGGAAGGCAAATCATATACAGCTTGCATGGATGGATCTGATGGTAAACTAACAGGTAAGAGGAAGAGGAGGAGCAAAAGTAAGGGGTGAACTAACTTTAGATGCTGTAGTTTTCGGGTGCGATGGCTTCATGCAGGTACTGCTTCTTGCCGGAGCCGTACTCACCAGCAATGTTGCCATTGCCTCGGATCTTGTACTTGTAAATCACCAAACCCTCCAAACCAACAGGGCCACGAGCATGGGTCTTGTTGGTGGAAACCTAATAATTTTCAACATCATCCCCCACACACACACATTAATCATGTAAGTTTTCAGAGTCCAAGTAGCTTTTTTTTACTTTGCAACAAGTAGAAAGAAACTTACGCCCACTTCGGCACCAAAGCCATATCGGAAACCATCAGCAAATCGTGTGCTGGCGTTCCAGTAGCAACCTGCAGCATCGACGCGAGTAGTGAAGAAATCGGATGTAGCCTCATTCTCAGTCACGATACAGTCGGTATGTTTGGACCCATGCTCGTTGATGTGCTCCACTGCCTCGTTGACATCACTGACAGATTTGACGGCCATTATAGGGTCTAAGAATTCAGTGTCGAAATCTTCTGGGACAGCGGCAACAACCTTGGCTTGAAGGTCAGCAGAAACGGTTGACTGGAGGAATGATCGGACATTCTCTTCGCATTTGAGTGTCACATTCGCATTCAACAAGGCCGTTGCGACCTTTGCGAACTTATCGTTGCCTTCTAAAAGAGATGCATGAACCAGCAGCGTTTCGGCAGCATTGCATGCAGCCGGATAGTTTGTCTGGACGACAATGTTTAGCCCCATTTATTCTAGTTCCTTTAACCATCCATGGAATTTTTACCTTGGAATCCACTGCAATTCGACAAGCCTTTGTAATATCTGCTTCTTTATCGAGGTATACTGAGCAAATACCGTCGGCATGACCAAGGACTGGAATTCTATCATGTATGTTCAATGACGGGGTCTGCGACAGCAATAAAGGCATTGACAAAACCCCATTTTTCTTTACCTGGTATTATTCTGGATATAACGGACGAGACTGTTGCTACCACGAGGCACGACCAAATCCACGTAACGGTCCAGATCCAACAATGCACTGATATCCTCACGAGTCTCGACAATCTGTACTGCCTCCTTTGGAATACCATTGGTCTTGGGAAGACTGGCCAGAGCATCCTGGATGACCTGAGCAAGAACTGCATTGGTCTGTGTAGCTTCTTTGCCGCCCTTGAGAATAACAGCATTGCCGGACTTGAGGGCCAAGCATGAGATGTTGACGACGACTTCGGGACGAGCTTCAAAGATGGTCAACAGCACACCGACAGGCACAGTAACGCGATACATTTCCAAGTCCTGGTCCAATTTGGTGGCCAGCGTTACCTTCTTGGTCGGATCGGGGAGGTGGACAATGTCGCTTACGCCAGACAAGATGGTAGCAAACTTGTCACCGTTGCAAATATCCAATCGCTTGAACAAGGATGCAGATAGTTTGCCTGCTTTGACTTGCTCTTCTGCAGTCTGTATATTTTTATTCCACACAAAAGCTTCTCTTGTTAATAAAGCGATCCCACAACACAAAAAAAAAACACAATGGGGTTTCAACGTTCCTTGATCTCCTCGTATTATTTTGTACATTACCTTTTTGTCTGCCTCATTAGCTTTAAAGATCTCTTCCTGTCGTTCAGAAAGTACTTGTTTTATGCGTAACAAGGCTTCGTTCTTTTGCTCGTCCGTCACGGACTGCATGCTAACAGAAGCAAGGCGGGAAGCGCGTGCAAGGTCGACGATTTGATTGGTGGTCATGGTATGAATGGAATCAATAAAAAAAGTGGAAAACAGGGGAAGAAAAAATCAGAAACGCAGAAGAAGAAGAAGCTTTCTCTCTCTCTCTTTTAACGCTAGGACCCGAGGCTCGGGCGTGGGCATGTCAACGGGTTGTGTGTGTGCGTGCGTGCGTTACCCCAGCATTCAAATCCCGAACAGATCAGCGGCTAACCGATGATGAAATCTAACTGATGATGGATGACCAAGAAATGAGGGACCCCACAATTCGCTCTCCAGTGGTCCGTTCGCCTTTTGTTTACACGGAAAACACTCACGTCTCCCTCGAGAGAGCCAAGTGTCAGCATCAAGTGGACATGCTCATAGAGATATCATACACACAAGAACCATTATGATGGCCACATGTACGATCGTTCCTTTCGCTTCCATCATGTAAAAAAAAAGAGAGATGATGCGGCCGGTGAAATATCAAACAAGTACAATTGCATCATGGTTACTGTATGCGGTAAGCATGAAAATTCTCCAGGGAAAATGGCTCGTGTGCTCATGGCACAAGCCTTTCGGCTCATTCACTCTTTCACTGTAAGGAAACGTCGTGGTGGTATGTCAAATGTCACTGTTGGCATGATACAAATTTTCCAAAGCAGCATCATAATCAGTTCCACTTTAAGCGGAGGTCAGTTTTGGCTTGGAGACACATATAACGTTTTTTACGTTTAAAATGTATTTTACACGTTAAAATTGCTTTTTTACTTTTTCGGGCAGCTGTTTGTCTATATGCCAAGAAGGAGGGTAAAGGTGATGATGGTGTGAGATTCACTCTCTATAGCTGACGTGTCTATTACAGGGTGAAGATAGGCCCCTGCAAACGTCATAGCAGAAGGTTCTTTTACCCAGTATATACATACAATATCTTATCGATCAATCTTGTGATAAGGAGAGCATCCTTTTAAAAAGAAGGTGCGAGCATTCGTGGTAACCAGCTAAGAATTTGTCGTACGTGATACAACCGTGGATAGCCTTTTATACGAGTGATGTGCATCCCGAACAGATTTCTCGACATCATTGCCCTCTTCTCTTTTTTTTTCTGCAATGCTTAGCTTCTCTCATGAATAACTGAGCTATCGTAGACATTTCTTCATTCGATGAGGATGCGAAACGAGTCGATTTCCGAAAACATTTGCTATATCTCTTACATACAAGAGAAAATAACGTGCATTTTGTACAAGAAAGGAAGAATTCGTGATATACAAGGACGAGAGGAAGAAGAACAGAGGAACGAAGAGGAGTGCGGGTAGAAAGGGAAAATATTAGCTATTTACATTGAACTTATGTAACTCGATGGTTGTTTCTACATTAGCTATTAGTAGACTAGGATCCGCAGGGACTATCGTATCCGCTCTGGGCTTTTGGGAGACAACCACAGCCTTAGCGTCGGTAAACTGCAGCTTCCACACCGTCCTAGCTGGTTCCGAGAATTGCCGGATTAACCGTCCGTTTTCAAGGTCCCACAGTTTGACTCGACCATCGCTGCCTACATAAGATACGAAAAAGTCTCAATGGCTCAAGCTATGCGCACTATTGCATCTTCAGAAACAAACAGAAGCTTACCACCACTCAAAATCCGCTTTTGATCAGCTTGCAAGCAAGACACGGAGCTGTCATGTGCCGAGATCTGATGCTTGCAACGAAACGTTCGGAGTTCCCAGATCCGCAAGCAGCCGTCCGAAGCGCCACTGACCAGCAGGGGCGAGGACTCATACGGCGTGGATAGTTGAAGATGGCCCACAAGCGATGTATGGCCTGTCAATGTACCGAGACAAGAGCCATCGGTTGGATCCCATACTTTGATGCTCCAATCCAGGCTTCCGGTGACAATGCGTGTTCCGTCAAAGGCAATGGAATAAATTTGCGAGTGATGACCAAAGTAGGTGAAAAGGCACTCTCCGGTCTGAATATCGAACAGCTTTGCTGTGGCATCGTACGAACCCGTAGCGACCAGGTTGTCGTGGATGTCCATGCACCGCACGCTGGCTTGATGGCCCGTGCACACATGCTGTGCAACTCCGTTCTCGACGTCCCATATTCTGACCGTGGCATCCCGAGATCCCGTCACAGCCCTTTGCCCGTCTGTGTGTACCCGCAGACAGCGCACTGTGGAGCTGTGCCCAGCTAATGAGTGCACCAGTTGCCCCGTCTCTAGGTTCCAGACCATGACAACTCTGTATCACACGAGAGAACATTAGTAATAAACTCTACCGAGCATCCAGATCACGCGTTCTAGGGAGAACAAAAGCAAGCCTCTCCTCCACAAACCCCCCCCTCCCCCCATACCTGTCGCAACCTCCTGTCACAAGGATACGCAGGCCATCGCTTGGGCGCTTGACAAATTGTAGGGCCCATACACCGCCTTCATGCCCCTGTAATGTGCGCAAATACTGGCCAGTGTTGCTGTCAAAAACCTCAATTTTTTGATTATCGCATCCGAGCACCAAATACTGGTCGTCCATCTGCAGACTGGTCACCAACGCCCGACCGATGTCGTTCTCACAATGGATCAATTCGCCCGTCCCTTGGCTCCAAGCCATTTCGGTATTGTACTTGTGCCAAAAGTAATCGCGATACGAGACATGATGTTGCTGCTGTTGCTGCCGCTTTTGTTGCTGGAATTGATGCTGCCAGGTTGAGTTCAAGTCAAAGAATGAAGACCGCCGTCGATACCGATGCTTCAAGCACAAGGACTTCCACGTGGCTTCGTCCTTTAACAGCGAGTTCCAGAAACTTGATACGCGAGACGCATTGGCCAAGTCCTTTGGGTCGTCTATGAATGAGATAACGTGGAGCGATAGCTCAATAGGGAGTTGCTTTAAAAAGTCAATCTTCAATCGCGGCGCGATTAGATTGTGAATAAATGACAAGAGCTGGGTGTCACAACAGTTGAGGATCTCGGAAAGAAACAAGTGCTTTTGGTCCTGGGACAAGTGCTGAAAGTGCTTTGTGACGTTGCCGATATATTCTAGGTGTCGTTTGTCGAGGCTGTTGTGCGCAGCTGCCTGCTGTTGCTGGCTGTCGCCAATAAAAGCATCAACGTAGGACGAGCGGAACCGTTGTGTGGGCCGGGATTTGTTGCCATTGCCATGCTGGTTATTGGTGCTGCTGCTGGCACCATTGTTGCTGCCGCCGTTGAATTGGGAAATTCCGCCGTTAAAGCCGTTGGGAGGTGGTGTTGCTGGTGGCGTGTGTCCTTTCTCGGGGACAAAGTAGTCCATATCTTTCGAATAGTAGCTTATTCGATCGATGATGGAGAGAGAGAGAGAGAGAGAGAAAGAGAACGAACGAACGAACGAAAGAGTACTTACGGGAGGGAGAAGAAATAAAAAAAGACGGCAAACAGTCCAACAAGCGAAAAGAGTGGAAAAGAGATCGTATTTGGCAAGTGGGTGCAGGGGGGGATGGGGTTGTCTTGTTGGATTTCAACAGGCCGTCGTATTACCGTAGTACTTACATCACCCTTGCATGCGCACAGTGGGTGGCATACTCCTCCAACAACCGCAACCAAGACAATAGGAAGACGGGAGTGCAAATTGGGGCAGACCTACCCCCTCTTTCTGAGGCCACCCACACCGCCCTTCCCCCCCTCCCTCCCTCCCTCCCTCCCTCCCCCACCCCCGCCAACTCAAAAATATGGACCCCCGCGGATCAGCGCTCACTCACCCACTATCGTCAATGCTTTTCCTTTTGGTTGCTAATCAAGCGGACACATAAAAAGAGGAGAGGTGCCAACTAACTGGCATGAACCAGCATCCCCTTCTTTCTTTCTTTCTCTTTCTCTGCCTCTCCTCTTTCACTGTTTCTATCGTCCCTTTCCTCCAACCGACCACCCCACCACTCTTCTTATTCTTCTTCTTCTTATCTACTCAACAAGCCAACACCATGAACAAGTCTGCTGACCGCGGTTTCTCCAACGACAGCAGTAAGTATTGACAGCCCACCACCGACTTCTTTGTAAACACTGACCTCATTTCGGGCTTTTCTTCTCTTTCCAACACTACATTCGCACATCTCCCCATGTATTCAATCTAGGCACTCGATCCTTCCGAATGGACGAGGACACTGACGAAGAAACCTTGCCTCAAAACGCCTCCGAGACACGCGTTCTACTTCACAACGAGGACCTTATTCCACGGTATATGACTGCCTCACCATGTATGTCTTTTGAGAGATAAGCGGAGAAAGGCGTTAGAAGGAGGGAAAAGATATGCGATAGATACAGATAGCTTTAACTACTACTACTACTACCTGGTATATGATAATCCTACAGTGCCATCGGCCCATCCATATGATAACACACCCAAGGATTTCTGGAGCTTGCTGCGAATGCGCACCAAGTACTATCTCCCGATACTACAGTGGCTCCCACAATACAAGTTCCAGCTTTTTCTGGGTGATTTTCTCGCAGCCATGACCTTGTCATGCTTGCTCATCCCTCAGGGACTGTCGTACGCCACGGCGCTGTGTAAATTGGATGCTATACACGGTCTGACGGGTATTGCATTCCCAGCCATCACTTACGCCATTTTTGGCATGTCAAGGTTAGAACCTTAAAAAAAAACCACACAAAAACACCCACACGAGGTTTTACTGCTTCGGGTTTGCTAATTATGTCCATCTACCGAACGACGACGACGACGACGACGGATCATGATAAATTATTTGTCAATAAAGGCAAATGTCCGTAGGTCCCGAGGCACCACTTGCATTGCTTATTGGTTCTTCGATCGCTCAGCAGCAGCACCTCCACTCGTCCGAAATTGATCCACTTGCATGGGCTTGTTTGATGACTCTATTTGTGGGCCTGTTTACGTTTCTGCTCGGTATCTTTCGGCTCGGGTTTCTGGACAGTCTTATGAGTCGAGCTCTGTTGCGCGGCTTCATTACTGGCGTGGCGCTAGTTGTGATGGTGCAGCAAAGCATCATCCTAATGGGCCTGGTGGACCGGAGCACTGAATGGGTAATTTTTAAAGTTGTGCTATGAATCTTTACCAGTAACTAGCAGTAGATACATTTATATCTTTTTTTTTCTCAACGAATATGTACATATTAGGGCATCAATGAAGCATCTTCGAGTATTGAACGCATGGTCTTCCTTGTCCAGAACGTGCAACACGCACATCCGTTATCCTCGTGTGTTTCTGGAATCTCCGTCTTTATCCTGCTGAGCATGCGCGTGATCAAGGCCAAGATGCCCAACAAACGATGGATCCAGCTGTTCCCCGAAGTGCTCATAGTTGTTATTGCATCGATCGTGATGACGGAATATTTTGATTGGGAACAGGACGGACTGGATATCTTGGGAAAAGCAACAGAAGCGTCGGGCATTCCGCTTCCGTCGATCCCGTCATTCCCTCACAACAAACACATGAAAGATATGCTAGTTACAGCTGCCATGATTGCAGTCATTGGATTTGTCGAGTCGGTCGCCATCGCAAAGCAGTACTCGAGTCGCCACAACTACACCGTCAGCCCCAATCGGGAGCTTGTTGCGCTCGGAGTTGCCAATGTTGTCAGCGGACTGTGTCAAGGCATACCCGCTTATGGTTCCGTACGTTGTGAACCAAATGTTACACATGCGCGCACACAAACACACGCACGACTCACATCACGAGGTCTGTTCGCTCTTTTTAGATTTCACGGAGCAAAATTAACGACAAGGCAGGTGCAAGGACCCAGATGGCCGGTCTGCTTGCAGGCGTGATCGCGTTGCTGGCTATCTTGTTTTTGTTGCCATGCTTCTACTATCTGCCCAAGGCTGTATTGTCGTCGATCATTTTCGTGGCCGTACTGTTCTTGCTGGCGGAGCTGCCTGAAGACCTGCATTTCATCTTCAAGATCGGTGCGTGGCGAGACTTGGGCCTGTTGCTGGTTACGTTCCTCGCAACCATGATCATTTCCTTAGAGTTCGGTACCTTGATTGCTGTAACTTTATCTTTGCTCCTGACCATAAGGGAAACCAGCTACCCACGCATCTCTATTATGGTAAGCACTTGTTGGATTTACACGGCACCGATCTATGCTGCTGCGTATATGTTTATGGATATCCCCTGGATTTTTCTTTTAAACACCACATCAATTTCCTTTTACAGGGTCGCGTCAAAGGAACCAATAATAAGTTCAAGCCTATCCGTGATGACCCGGACGAGATTGAGCATTTGGAGGATGTGTTGATTGTGCGTGTGGAAGAGCCCCTGTTCTTTGCCAACACGGGTCAGCTCAAGGACAGGTTGCGCCGTCTGGAACTGTTTGGCGACATGTCGATCCATCCCTCCGAAACCCCGCGTCTAAGTGACTCTTCGTACATTATCTTTGATGTCGGCAGTATGCCATACATTGATGCGAGGTATGAACTTTATTAATCTCGTTTCGCGCTTGCGTGTATGCTGGTGGTTGCTCTTAGTCCCTCGTTGCAAGCGGTCATTAATTCGTGGACATGTAATGATATGATAGTGCGGTTCAAATTCTGCTGGAGATCGTACAAGCGTATCATGCTCGTAACGTGGCGGTGTACTTTGTCAAGGTGCGGGACCGAGCCTTGAAGTTGTTTGAAGCGTCTGGATTGCTCCAGCTGGTTGGGGAGTCGCATTTATACCGCAAAGTATCCGATGCCATTGAAGCTGTTGAAAAGGACCGCATGCAGAGATATGGAACTCTTGTTCAATAATAGCAAACGAATGTGCTGCATACCTTTCGCCCTACTCATTCCCTTTGTTAAATTGTTGATATACCCTTCTTATTACAAACTACTTTTTACTCTTCCATTATTCTCCCTCTTTCCTCTTATCGATTCACACACTTACGTTCGTTTTTCGTTATCCTCATCTTCTTTTTCATTTTTTCCAATGGTTGGTTCGAAAACCGTGTCAAGGCATGATGAGCGTTCTTCTTGCTGCATGCGTTAGCGGGCCGCCGTCCCTGTATAGATACATTTCTTTTTTCCTTCACCGGTAGAACATATCAGGCAATGATATTTATATATCCAAATATATAAAAAAAATCAGACATCATGCAGTGCATGTAACTACATATAACGCCACCGAGAACAGCACAAACATTTCTCTTCTGCCAATATTTGTAAATATTTATGCACAATAACGGATCAGGTTCTTTTTATAGTTCTTTTTAATCCGAGTATCCATATGGTTTTGATTTAGAGTCTTCTTTGCATTATGGAAACAGAAGTACAAGTGCATCATTAACATGGCTAAGAAGTGTGCCGGTACATAGACCTGCATATCTGTTGGGACTAGAATTAAGCTAAATGTGCTCTATAGCTTTTTTCAAACTGGATACAAGGCCTGGAGAAATGCTAGTACTATCTACTAGATCTTTTCAATGTCTTTGTGCTCAAGTATTTCTTGTTTTTCGAGGGTTCTGCAGGCTATCATACTGGGTCTATTTACAATATAAATCTGCTACTGTTAAGCTCTCTCTAGTCGATATAATCAAACCAAATATAGTAGGCCAATGTTTCCCCTCGTATTATACTGTCCTCTCTTTGGTTTTCTGGATCGTTTAATGAAATCGTATATTTATCGCAGCACCGTTGTCTCATTGAGCTTCTTTGCCATGTAGGTTAAAGTTATTGGAAGGCTAATGAGGGTACGCTTTTCTTGTCGGTCCTTGCGGTGCGGTGAATAAGAAATTATGAACATAAGAAGAGAGGTGATGCTTTAACTGAAAACCCCCTTCTAGAGAAGGAAAAAGTCAAGCCGGATTAAGATACTGGAAAAGGAGAGGTTACGGTGTAAAAACAGGAAAGGAAGAGAGAGGTGAAGAATGAGAGGGGGCAAAGAGAAGAGTTGTCTATAGGTGTTATGAGTGATATGAGGGATGTGGAGATGATGATGCCACATTGCCCAAGTCTAGCGCTTCTTCGGGTGCCGGTTTATTCGAGCCATCGTCAGTGTCTGAGAGGCTCAACTTGTCGGTTTCACGCAGCACGCGAAGTACTATGTATCCGAACGGGGTGCTCCACAACGAATCCTCAAGTGGACAGGATGAAAACCTATGCATTCTCCATCTGATGAGGCGACGTCGGTCTCTTGGAGAAGCGATCAGATAAATGTAAAGCGTCGACTATCCTGGATGGCCAGAGACTATGGATGGTTTTGGTTGAGCTGTGTCAAAGTGCCAGTTCTTCGTCCCGCTTTCGGGAGATCACTAACTCCACTGCGTCGCTCGGTGGGTCATCGTTGTTCTTGAGCTTCTGGTATCGTTGGTGCAGTGAATCAATGGTACAGTTGTTTTCCTCCATTGGTCATCGTGTTGTTTACTCTAAAGCAGGGAAAGTTCAATAATTCTAACCATGCTAGATGCGGGCAGAGAGCGTTTGCATAGATGGCACATCTGCCAGCACCATAGGTACGATCGTAGGAGGTTTTTATCATATACCTGAATATAATGCTTTCTTGTGATCCTTCCCGGGATTAGGAATATAAGACCAGATATTGTTGGGTGATACGCACGTCATGCACGTAAACAACTTCTTTGACAAGATTTATCCATGTATACAGTATATCATAAAAATCTTCTTAGATACAGGTAGCATTTTTGCCCAGTGAGCCATTTTTACCGGGTGGTGAACTGTTAGTGGTATAAAGAGCATATACGCTTACGTTGTTATTATGGACAGATAGTCAAAGATGGAGATAACAACAACTGGTGGCTACTGTATAAAGGTGCTTTCTTTTTGTTTGCCTTTGTATCTTTGGAGAACAAAAGATACATCAAAAGACGGATGATAGTACTACTGTTGATAACAAGAGTATGAAAGACTCATCCCACGTATGATATCAATCTTTCGTTACTCTTGGAAACATCTATAGTATATAAGTCCTTGCATTATATTTGTCAACCGTTTGAAACAGTATAAATGCACACACAAAACACAACAAGTACTGGAAAAACTCTTTTCACACAATTTATGTCAATGAAACCGGGGTTTACTTGCTATATGATACCCGCTTTTTTTTCCCATGACGTTATCGGGGCCAATAATAATCTCCACGATGAACGGATGTGCAAAGCCATATGCGGTGATGGCCCTCTGCCGTAATAAATCTGGTAGATATGTGCAATTGTTTCGAATCCAAGAGTCTATACCAAAGACAGTTGATATGATGGTCTTGCTCATTCATCAAATAGGTGCAACTTGATGTTTTGTTTAAACGTTACGAAGATACACTGAATATTACAAATGGTAGGACGCGTATGCACTAGATTAATCATTTGAGTTTGGCTTCGATTACATGGTTGCCCCGTGTCATCGTGAATCCTTAAAAAAGGAGAGAGCTCTAATTGTGAACTCATGCCAAAATTAAAAAAGCAAACTACACCAAGGCCCTCAATTGCGGAGCACCTTCAGATTTGTCCCCGTACGCTCTGTTCTTCCGCCTTACATTACAAATGTGTATGAAAATGTGAATACAAATTATATTACATTGATTTGGCGTTGTCCCACTCGAACAGTCGTATGTGTGTTGGCTATTCCTAAATTTCTGTTTTTATATTTGTTCGTTGATTTTGTTGTGACCCCTGTTCAAACTGCTGCTACCCGTGTCAGTAAACTCGGTATAATACATCATTGGCTTGAGGTTCAGCTCCGTGCCGCCACCACAGAAAAGCTGGACACGGATGACATTTAAGCTAACTTGAATACTCCTTGACTATCCCAAACAGTGTCCTTGTTGTCGCTCGCATTTTGTTATTAACTAAGCAATGCTGTCAACTCCATGTATCTTTTTGGCAGATGATGAACTGTCGGCACTAGCAGTTCTTTGACAGTTGCAGTTGCTCAGGTTTGCTGCCAATCCTGCTTTGTTGTCATCACGATGCAGATAAACGAGCTTCACTGAGTTGATGTTGCCGCTTAGCGTTTTGTTGCCTTACGTAGAGATATATCGGAGTCATTGTAATGTTTCTGTTTGCTCGAAAAGACGTACTTGTCGTGATCTGATGCCAACATTGTCGAACCCAATGATAGAGTGTCCCATCATCATAATTTCTTGCTGTTTATCGCCTCTCCTTGTATTTGGCTGTCATTACACTCGAAGCCACGCAGTAATCCAATGATAAATCTGTTTCTTCGCAAATTGAGAGCCGTTTGTTCCCAAGTTTTTTTGCTCATCGCCACAACGGCGGACGCATAAAGTTTTGTCTTGCCAGTAAAATGATGTTGACCAGCTTGTACTGTTGCTAGCTGTGCTATTATCAGCCTTCCAGATTTTCGACCCATTCCCGATTATCACCATATTAAATCCTGCTTCCTTCTTTTTGAGCTGTTGTTGTTGTTGTTCCCATGAGCCCTCGTTGTTCTGTTGTCATCCAATTAAATTGACTTGATGTAGAGTCGCTCAGATTGTTGTCCTACAACTGCAATTACAGTATTGTCACCGTGTTTGGACGTCGTTATTGCCGATGCAATTCGTAATGTTGCTATGCTGTTGTCGAATGAGTAAACACTGTTTTGTAATTACAAGCAGTGTGAATACATCCACTCGATTTGACGTTAATTCATTTGAGCAGTTGCCGTTTGCACTGTTGCCAATTCTTTCCCGCTTATGTACGTTTCGCTTTGCTGCCTCCGTATTAGAAGCTGCTAACGCTGACGTTGCCTTTGGCTATAAATATGTTGCTTTGTGCAGGTATATACTGCCATGTGTAACTTGATGGTCTGATACAGTTACATTGGATCGTTATCCGCGTTGATATCTTGTCGTCGCTACAATTTCCTGCTATATGTTGCTACTACGAGCTGCGATGATGATCCTCGTTGATTCTATCATGGTGTCATGTTGAGACACAACATTCAATGCTGCACGTAGTTGGTCGCCACAGTAGAGCTCGAAGACGACGATGACGATGACGGGTCCTGTCCGCTTCTCGATATCTTGAAGGTGACCGCACAAAATAAACTCTTGAAGATTTTTTGTTGGAGATTGGTCCGTAGTTGCTTGGGCATAATACAATAATCCGTACGACGATATGATAATACATGTTGCTGATTTGTCTGCTCGAAATAAGTAGTGCAAATGTCTGACCACCACAACTTGCGATTGATCTGTCAACGACAAGCGTATGCCTCGAAAATAGAATCCAGTGGGAGCTTGAGAGATTTTGTCGTCATATCGCCATAAATACAGTAGTAGATAAATATGCGCCTTCTTGATTTGCATACCAGGCGTCCTTGCTTGTAAACCAACGTCTTGGGAGCGCACATGGCTGTAGTTGTTTGAGACCGGCAACGTTACTTTGAAAAAAAAAATCGCCAAACATTGGATGATAATGGGTTCACTTTGACAAGAGACCGATCTAGCCAAAGACGGGATTCTGGCAATCCTCGAATCGAAACCAAGTGAAGGACCTCCTTTACACTACTCGTCTAGCCTAGAAATTCGACGCTATCGAAAGCAGTATAACCGCCATGACTGCTTGTCATCCATATAGACCACACGGATCGACGTAATCAAGCCAAAGAGGGGATTCTCGCAACCCCCGGATTTTTTACTCGGCTAGTCTGGAAAGCTGAAGCTCCCCCATCGCGGCGTACCACCACACCGCACGCCAGACACCCCAGTCCGGACACCTCAGCTTCAGGAATTTCCAAAGCAAAGGCGAATGATTGAGGCTGGACTGACATGGCAGCGACACTGACTACAACCGGTAGGGGATCAAGGATATGAAAGTGCGAGGATAGCTCCGGTTGAGCTTTCGGTGGCGGGGATTGAGGGAACAACACTGCTCTGGTTGCAAGGCTTCTGCAGGAACACCCTCCACATGAGCTGGAACTGACTGGTATGGCAACGGAAAGGAATAAATTCCTAATAACTGGCGTCTCTTCGCCTTCTTCACATCACATCCGAGGTAAATGCGATACGAAGAAGGTATTAAGGAAAGGAAAAAGGATATATCAGTTAGTAAGCCTCTTCTAATAAAGATGGTCGTAGGTATGAAAGAAAATATAATAAGTACCGTTACTATACAAGTTCGACGCCTTGGGTTGTCATTTGCTGTCAAGACCGCCGCTGTACATGTGACTCGATGGTATGTCCCTGCTGCCTACACAACCAGAGCGTTGCTCCCCTCCCCACCACCGGCTCTACCATCATCGCTATCCCCGTGTGTCCCCCATACCCCTTCACCCCCGGTGGCTGTAGCCAATGCCACCGCCAATGCCACTGTCAACCCGAACCCTTACCTCCTTTACCTTGAAGAAACCATCCACCGAGATGTTCGGACTGCTCCCCGTCGCCTGACGAAGGCGGAGACCGCCAGACACCCGCGAGAACCGTGGCCGTACCACACAGAACCTGTAGATGTTATTCGGTTTCATCAGTATATCATTTTTATGATAGCGTGATAGTAGTGTAAAATTATTCTTTTAATCACTTACGGAAACCACAACCCAACCAAGCCGCCGTGCGCAACGAGCGCGCACCCTACATGCACCCAAACATGGCCCAGAGGTGCCACACACCACAAAGGAACACCGAGGAAAGCGGAAGAGAAGGAACCAGAGGAGGGCGAAAAAAAAGCGGATACGGATTGGAGAGAAACGAGAACAGCGGTAAAGAAGACAGGAGGACCTATTCAAATCGATAGCAATGTTAATAGCCTTGTTTGTGTCAGCATTAAAGCAGCGTCCTCAGCTTACCAATAATCATAGAGCGTTTTTCAACTACTTTTTTCTGTTTTTTTTGTAAACAATAAGTTCGAATAGGAGAAACTCTGTCAGTGATCGCGTGCAAAAAACAAGTGGCGCATATGAGATACTTACTTTTTAAAGAGTTTTTTGACTTTTTTTGGGCCTAATAGAAGTTAAAGAAGTAAAGTTAGCTTCTAATGGTCCCATGAGGAATAGCCGGTGGCGTGGTTGTAGCTGTTGTTGCTGGTCATCGTAGAAGATTACGGGATAGAAAGCAGGTAAAGAAAAAAAGAAGGAAGAGGCTCTTTTTATATATCTTGGATGAATTTCCTTTTCCGGCTTATCGACCATTTGACCTTTCTTTTGGGAATCAACGATGGTGATGACGCTCTAAGCAACGCGTTGGATACAGTATCTAGGAGATAAAGTGGCCAGAATTAGCTTGCCCATCGTTGCCATGAAAACACTGGCATTGACCTTTCTTGCTGCTATCTCAGGTGCGTGAGTCATTCTATTCTTTTATTCGCGTCATCAGTATCAATGTAGAAGCTGCTTCTCACCGTATTATGCAGCAGTCAGTCTCGTAGCGTCACGCACACGTTGGGTGTCTGTCGTACCGGAGGGTCTCCGAGCTCGGCAAATCACGACTTGATCGCTTCTCGCCACCCTCAACTTGAATGCCGAGATGGTTGAACCATAACACTTTGAAATAGCCGTGTACAAAGACGAGACTAGTGTGTACATGTAGCCTGGAAGGTGCACAATGCAAAGGGAAATGTCAGGCTGCATGCCATTGCTTTAGGAGATGAGCGACGCGTTGCTCGACGTGTCCAGTGTGCTTGTGTAACCTGACAAGACCTGGGTTGGCAGGTGATGCTGTCAACTTTCTTTTTATCCCTTCCTTTTTCGGGGGGTCAGCTGATCCACTATAGAATCACTGATAAGATATAAACGCTCCTCTCTCATTATTTACTCTCTGCTCACTTTTTCAGTCTTGGGAGTATAAATGTACTTACTTCAACTTCGAGCGCAAGCTAATGAAGATACGTGCTGGCTCCGTCATGAAAGTGGCAACGACAAGCAAAGTGACAGACAGAGACGTGGTGAACAAGTCGAACAATAACAATAGATTGGCCGTCTCCTGAGAGTGCGTGTGTAACCCGAATGGTGTTTGTGTAACCCCAGAAAGACATAAAAAGGCCCAAATAACTTTTCCCTTTTTTTTCCCTCATTCCTTCTTTCGCTACATTCAAGATGAAATTCATTACAAAGGTCAGTGGAAACAAGTACATAAGCAAATTAATCACAAAGATCAAAATAGGCCGGGACGGTCGTGTCAAGAAAGTGACAGTGACTGCGAAGAGTCGCCGCCGCCATCGCCGTAACGCAACCACCACCGCCACTAGCACCAACAGCAGCGCCAGCAGCAGCAGCAGCAGCAGCAGGAGCAGCAGCAGCAGCAGCAGGAGCAGCAGTAGCAAGAGCAGCAACAGTAGCAGTGCCAGTAGCAATAGCAAGAGCAGCAGCAGCAAGAGCAGCAGCAACAGCGATGACGAAGAAGAAGAACAAGAAGCAGCAGCAGCACCGGTGGACGTCTCTCAGGAGGAGAGAATGGAGAACGTTGGTGCCTGGCTTTCAGGCATCGTCGCAATGTAAGCTGTGCCTTTCCCGTCCCAAGTCTCCCTCTCCCCAACACTTTTCATACATAGTCTTTTCTTCCGCATCTCCCCTCCCCTTTCCTTATAATGAAAATAAATTACCATTTAAAAAAGCCCTCAGCTTTGAGCTGTGAAAAAATTGAAAATCATCACCGTCTTGATTTGTTTTTACAGTACTGCACAAGCATCTGTCTTGTGTGCACGTATCAGTAAATCATTTTGTTGTGTTTCCATGCAATGTCGCACTCTAGACGTCGTATATACAATGGAAGTCATGCTCGCTTGCAAACGTGTCGGTGTCGAAAATATGTGCCCTTGAAAATAGAGGGTTACGATATGCGATATTACGTAAGCCGATCCAGTCAGGGCCTACGTACCGTATGAGGGATACATGCCACTGCTTTTTTTGCCTCGAAAAAGACTACGAGTATAGAACGTATGGACTAACAAGCAGCAAAAGTCTAAAACTTACTCGATTGACAATGACGTTGACAGCCATTTGAGAAGCGTACAGTAGTACCATTGTCGTTCTCTCTGTGCTCAGTTGTATCTATGATACGAGCTATTATTGCTTCCCCTGTTCGTACCTTCAGTGGGGTGGCAGGGTACAAACAGCCTGTGCAGGGACACCCCACCCAAAAAGAAGTTGACAGCGTCACCTATTTGCGCAGGTCTTTCCATGTTCCACGAGCACACAGGGCACGCCGAGCAACGCGTCACTCATCTCCCAAAGGAATGGCATTCAACCTGACATTTCCCTTTGCATCATGGATCCTTGGAAGGATAACATACTAGCTGATGCCGCCTTCAGTGATAGTGTTTTCGTCATCCTAAAGATATGGTAATTATGGTTACTATTGTTATTGTACAGAATGCCAATATCGTAAATAATTTCATGGATTATGACATGCTAAAAATCTTACATAAGATATCGTCATTGGACATCATGGATGGCTGACGGGATAATGTTATAGCAGATAATTCAGCGGTATTGTTATCGTCATTGTAGGACATGGTGTATAAAATCTCGACAAGATAAGAAAACGTGTAGAGTTGATCCTTGAGTAGGAAAAATGGTGAATGAAATACCTTTGGGAAACGGTTGAGAGTAATATATGTGAATATATATGAGTAAGTTGAAGTGTGTGTGGATGAATTGAAACTATATCGTCATAACAACAAAAGAATAAGGGTACTTTCTTGGAAATATAATATGGACGTGTCGTCAAGGAGATGTTGTCATCGTTATCTGTGCGTGTCATTTAGATCTGTTCTTTTCTTGTTGGAAGGATCAGCATCTGAAAAGTCAACCATCACATTAATTGTCCGTTTTCTGGTTATAATTTTTGATTTGCTTGACGCTACTTTTGATATCAACACTAGCGAAAGTATCAAATGTAGGGGATGATGATAAGGGAAACCCGATCGGATATATACGTTAACAGTAGTTTGATCCAAAGATGATAGTAGTGTGGACACACTCAGTCGATTACCAAGTAAGTCTATCACAAGCTCGGTGCAACGGCGTTTGGTCGCAAGTTTGTGCAGGCACTCGAAGCAGCTGCAAAGACGGAGGGGCATCACGCTCTGAAAAAAAACGTCGATATTATGACTCACTAGGCTATGTATTACAAGATCCCACTTATTAAACGCGCGTTCAAAGTCCTCATCAGCAACTATGGAAGAGGGGACTTCTAACAGATGCAATCCCTGATATTGTTGTACATATTGCGTTAATTTCAGGTTCGAAATTGTGTCTACCTTTTTTACAATACAAAACTTATGACTGCAATTTCCATTGATCGGCGAGAAGCATCACAAGAATATATATTCATGTAAACCGGTGACGTATGCCAAAATATAATAAAAAAGAAGGGCCTCCTTCTACACAATAAAAATATTGCTACAGTGGTCCCCCGCTTTTTGCAGCAGCGGTTTTTGGTGGAAAAAACTGCAAAAAGTGGGGAACTGCAAAAAGTGAGGATGAGTATGAGATGTTACACAGACTGAGTCTATTATGTTAATCAAGTGTAAATGATAGTAAACCAATTAAAAGATATCGGTGTTGTACTGAGGCTACTTATTATAAATCAACTCTTATATAAGAGGCTGTCGTCTCATTCTTGATGTTTATATACTGCACTATCGACACCTCCACATCACTATGGTAAAAGCAAAATACCCGAAGCTTACTGACGAGCAAAAGGACGCTATCTATTAACATTACATGTAGATGTCACTGGTTCAAGACTCTGTGGCCCAGGCTCTCGAGTTAATAGCGGAAAATTGCAGGTCCCCATTTTTGGCCTGCAAAATGCAAAAAGTGAGGAAACTGCAATTTTATTAAGTGATGAGCGGGTATGCTCCAAAAAAATCTGCAAAAACTGAGGATCTGCAAAAAGTGGGGCTGCAAAAAGCGGGGGACCACTGTACATAATCAAAAGACCAGTGCATAGAAAAACTTTGTCTACGTATAAAATTAAATTTGGCTCGTGTTATTGCGATGGACACGTTATGGATGATGCTGTTGCTGCATTGTTGGCGAGGTATAATAGTTGTTGTTGTTTTCTCCTTTAGTAGTGGCGACAGGGTTATCGTCACTGGACATGGCAGCATGGTCCTCCAAAGTCCAAGCATCTTCTTGAATAGGTGGTAAGCTTCACTTATAAAAATCATCACGATCCCCACGTTTCATAAAAGAGATTGTCAAACCGTTATAAATTGCGCTGATGAAATTGGCAGCGGCCGTTTCTTGATCGTCAGCTAAGAAAAGAAGGTCATATCGAGTATCAATAGTATTGCTGCTTCACATATAAAAATCATCATGATCCCCAGATTTCATACTCTGTTTATATCGCCGGTTCTTTGTTCCATTAAAGCGCACAGACCCGTCGCCGACAATTGTTGGATCAGAGCGGAGCACGGCAAGCGGAGCCGCATAGTGAAACAAACATATACGCACCATAAGAAAAAGACACTAGCATGACAGTCGTCAGACTACAACGATAATTATCATCAAGGCACTTCTTCACATTGCTGCAGTTCACTGGCTCCTTAGGGCAGTAGTGACAACAAAATTTCTAAGCTCCGTCATTTTGTTTATCGGGCTCATGAAAAAAAAGAATCGACTGCGCGTTTTGCCCTTTATTCTTTTCTTTAGTCTTCATATTCATCTTTGTACATTTGCAGTGTTTCTTTCATTATCACTTTTTACCTTTCATTTATTTTTCATCCCGCTCGAGTGTCCCTGTGGGTGTGCATAGTTGAAGGGAGCTAGTCGTGCACGACTGGCTCTTGCTCATCTTTTGTACATTTGCAGTGTTTCTTTCATTATCACTTTTTACCTTTCATTTATTTTTCATCCCGCTCGAGTGTCCCTGTGGGTGTGCATAGTTGAAGGGAGCTAGTCGTGCACGACTGGCTCTTGCTCATCTTTTGTACATTTGCAGTGTTTCTTTCATTATCACTTTTTACCTTTCATTTATTTTTCATCCCGCTCGAGTGTCCCTGTGGGTGTGCATAGTTGAAGGGAGCTAGTCGTGCACGACTGGCTCTTGCTCATCTTTTGTACATTTGCAAAGTTCTTTGTTTCATCTTGGTTTTTTATCTTCCTCAAAAACTGAAAGCGAGAGTGTGTGCAAAGAGGTACGTATATGTTCGCCGCTGACAGACCTTTGTGCTATTTCTTTTATTTGTAGGAACTGTGGAGGAGTAGGTTCTGTCGGGAACTGAGGCTTGTGGACAAGAAAGGGAAAGGTGTAGGTTCTGCCGGGAACTGAGGCTTGCGGAAAACAAGGGAGGGCAACCTCCCTTGTGGGTACGTATATGTTCGCCGCTGACAGACCTTTGTGCTATCATATTTCTTTTATTTGTAGGAACTGTGGAGGAGTAGGTTCTGTCGGGAACTGAGGCTTGTGGACAAGAAAGGGAAAGGTGTAGGTTCTGCCGGGAACTGAGGCTTGCGGAAAACAAGGGAGGGCAACCTCCCTTGTGGGTACGTATATGTTCGCCGCTGACAGACCTTTGTGCTATCATATTTCTTTTATTTGTAGGAACTGTGGAGGAGTAGGTTCTGTCGGGAACTGAGGCTTGTGGACAAGAAAGGGAAAGGTGTAGGTTCTGCCGGGAACTGAGGCTTGCGGAAAACAAGGGAGGGCAACCTCCCTTGTGGGTACGTATATGTTCGCCGCTGACAGACCTTTGTGCTATCATATTTCTTTTATTTGTAGGAACTGTGGAGGAGTAGGTTCTGTCGCGAACTGAGGCTTGTGGACAAGAAAGGGAGAGGTGTAGGTTCTGCCGGGAACTGAGGCTTGCGGGGAACAAGGGAGGGCAACCTCCCTTGAGGAACGAAGGATTCATAAAAGTCGGTCGACTTGTCAGGCAACATCAAATAAACTTGGTTTCTTATTGTACTTTCTTAAATAATGTAATTGTAACTATTGGGCAGATCGAGTGACGATTGTAATAAACGCGATCTTTATTTTTACATCTTCCTACTGCCATTGCGCTTGGTACTTGTTGGTGCTTTCTCTGGAGCAGTTATGTAGTTGCAAATGAGCCTTTTTGTGCTTGAGTCGTCGAGAAAACCGTAGGCTGTGCATTCGCATGTGTGCTCTCAAAAACAATACAGCTGGTTTACCTTCACGACTATACCAACAATGATTGCAAATTGCTGGTGGCAAAATAAAAAACCGTATCGCAAAGCAAACAGACCATCTCCATATTCACATATACACGAACCAGATCGCCAACCCAAACTAAATGATGTTTGCCTTGATTTCTTTGCAGTATAAAAGGCCCAGTACATAAGCTCATTAGGGAAGTTACATAATCCAACTTGTTGGGTCTTGCCACCAATCTCTCATGCTACTGTCTCTCAACATTACTGCTACTGATACACGTATACTAGTAATACTCATAGATAGATTGAATATGGAATGTATCATCACTGCTTAAGATTATAACAAGTTACAGTACTGACTTATCATCCGAAAAATACAATCGTTTGTAGCCTTCCGGACACCTAAAACGACCTTCCAAGCCCATGCAAGATCTCAAAAGGCCCAAACACTAATGAGACCGGTGTGCAACACCAGCTTTTTGGGTGGATGATGCTTCAATCTTATTTTTCAACGATAAGAGCGAGAAACTGCCTGCCATATTGTGTCCATAGTGCTGTTGCATAATTTACAGTATGCTCACAAGATTGGTACTAGCCGAGAGTATCTCCGCCATGGTTTCAGTATCCTGCTTCTCACCAGCATCAATATCCAGATATGTCAGCGGATGGCATGCTTGGCCGAGACCATGTAGTACGGTATTAGTAGGCAGCAGTGGTCAGCAAGGCGGTCTAATTATGTTAGTTTTGAATAATATCCATTAACCTTTTGATAATGATGATGGAAGAAAAGTTAAGTATCCGTTGTTGCTATCATGAAATCGAAGAAGTCTACAACCAACTTAAGCCCGTTAAACCAAGTCAGCTACTTGGTGAATGAAAAATGAGTAGACTTTCTAATACGAGTTCAAAGTACGAAGCCGTCCTGAAAGCTCTGAAAATAGCAGGAGAACGTTTCAATTCTTTGAATGATGCGGAACCTGTTATTGTATACAACAATTATGGAGAACTTGTGCCAAGCGATTTTTGGGGTTGTGCAAAGCTATTGCAAAAAAAAGTGGATGATTCTTTTCAAAAACTCAAAAGAGCGTGCATGTCTCATAAAGATCAGTGTAGGTCCAAAGACTTTCGTATCAAGGTCTTGTTACCGCTGTTCTGGTTATGATAGGGTGCCAATGTGTGTTTACAATCGCTACGTTAATAAGGATACAGTGATCGGTGTAACCAGTTACGACGAGCAAGGAGATACAGCGGACGATACAGTATTCATGACACGGTTTACTTTTTTCTAACGCGGCTGAGCACTGCTCTTGTTGATTTTGAGGCCCGTTTGTGATAAAATTATGTAAGCACATATGCATTAGTGCTTATCATAACGCTGATCCCTCTATTTTGTTTTTTATTTCATTATATGCACATATACGATAAAGATAGTGTGTTTAGATCCAGTATATCAAAATATGAATTCCGTTCATAAAAACGTAAAAAAGGAATATAGCATTAACTTCTAAAGGATGATTCTCGAGCTGTCATCCTTAGTAATCTTAGCGAAAGCATGTGGTTCTTCATCTCCTGTTGTACTATTGTTCAGGCTTAATATATCCCAATTGAGCCAAAGAAGACGGTATCTCTTTTGGAAAGGTGTACACCCGTCATGTAACCATCAGTGAACCCATTTTGATGAATGGCCATCCTCCATCTGTGGCTCCAAAAACCCTCGAAACCCCCAAACTCCATCTCCTTCAGTTGTCCAGCGAACCCCATATCCTTGACTTTGACGGATCTCAAACACGTTGCGGTCATGCTATATAAGATTATCTGGTGTCAAACTCGCAAACAGCAGCACGCATATAGATTAAACTTACCGGCAAAGTATGCAAGTTGATCCATACGGGGTCACTTAGAATCTGTTTCAGGATCTCATTTGCATGTTCGTTTTTCTTTGCCTCTGCTGTTGCAAATTTTGTGTAAACCAGGCAAAGAGCCAGTATAACACTATTAGATCAACTTTACTTTTTCTTTTTCTTTTCCGCTAAAGAAAAAGAAGGCTTACATCCAGTGACCTCGCCCCAAAATTGCTCTTGACGATCACGATGCCATGCTTACTCAAAGCTTTCGCGCCTACAGTCAGTTGATAAGGCTGGCCATGGCGACGGGGTTTAGCATTTGTCTTTTGATATACTCGTGTAAAGGTTTCAAAACATTCTCGAAGACTCGGCGGCATGACGCGAAAAGTGCTTCCGCCGGTGGTCGTTCGTATTTGAAGAAATATTCTCCAATCTTCCGGTAAAAGTTTCTAATAAAATATATTATCATAGCGATGAAATATGAGGATAGCGCTATTATCAACAAAAGTGAAGAATCAAAGTAAGTATATTATTAACGGTTTTAGGTATAGATACCTCGAAAAGTAAGCGGTGAAGACCTTCCTTTGAATGTTCTAAAGTGGAAAGCTCATATTGTATCATATCTAATCTATCAGCAAGTAAGGTATGTTACTATGAAAGCTGTGCACGCACGCGCTCTAAGCATAAGCGTATTAGCAGTAGTTTCTTACCGTTCCTTATTGGTGACTTGAAGAAGGTTGACGGGATTCTGAACAAGGTTTGCGGGTAGCTCACCTTGCTCAAAACAATACGTCAAGATACGTGCCATTGCCGAATAATAAGGGCGATCGATATGGCCCATTTTATGTGAATTTGCCATAGTGATTTGTTCATGTAATGCCTCGAGATCTTCGCTGTAAGTAGCTGATTCAGGTTGTATCAATGCCGTACAAATGTCACGCCATAACTCTTCGGATTGCTTCTCCTGCAGCAATTCCAACAGCCAAGATGTAATGCTAGTTTCCATTTCGGATAGAGTATCTAATATATAAAAGAGAAATAGAGACAGACGCTCAGTGAAAGCGAGCCGTGTGTGTTACATGATGAAGAAGGAGACACCCATCGTGTACCTTCAGTAGTCACTATACAGGATTACCAAAAATGGCCTTTTGTGTAATCGTGTACTGCCTTCTGTAATCGTGTAGTTGTAGTCATTACACGATTACACGATCCTCGTTTTGACGTATCCAACTGGATAAACTACATTTATTTTTTAAACTTTCTTATAAACTACTAATACAGGATATTTGATATTCATGAACTGCCCTAGTATCAATACAAGGTCGATAGGATGTAGGCAATCCTGTTTTCGGATCCTTTTTGGGTGCAAATGTCATAGGATTGTTCCATGCATTACCAGGAGGAGCGTGTTTGATAATACCATCAGCTAACCATTGATCTATCTGTGTTTGAAGAATAGGAATCAATTTGTCTGCTAAAGGATATTGACGCCGATTTACAACTTTTCCTTCAGGTGTGTGAATACGAACAACCGATTCGGGAAGAGTGCAAAAAGCAGAAGGAGGAATGTTTATATTTTCCTGTATGTAAGGTTGAATAGATTCAAGAAATTGTTTGTGTTGCTCTGGTGTACCAGCAAGAGAATTGTTTGGTACAGGTAAATCTTCTGGTTCAGGCAAGCTAGGACGAGAAGAGCGGTGCCAGCAAGAGGCGAGCCCTTTCAAGTAAATACCAATAAGAGGCATGAGATCTGAGCCAATAGATACTTCGGCATCAGCATTGAATTCAAAGACTTCAAAAGAATGTGAGGCAGTGATTCCGTTGTGTAAAATCTTTATTTCGTTTGTATGACCAATTCTACTAATGCTCGGGCCAGGAGCAGCCAAGTTGACCTTTTCCTTTCATGGGAGTGACAGACAGACCCAGAAACGACCGCAGCGAAGGAGTGATTGCCGAAAATGTGGCACCCGGATCAACAAACGCCCAGGTTTCATACTCCTGTATAGTAACCGGTACATAAAAAGCTTTAGTATTCTTGTAAAGATGACGTGAAAAATCATGTGAAAACTTACAATCATAACAAGCTTTGTGAAGTGAAGCATCGACCTCTTCCATGACCGAGTCTTACAAAGAAAGAGACGAGAACGGAGCAGAAGATGGTGATGGTGCCGTATGAGCCACGGAGGCAACAGCAGCAGGGATCGGCGCAGGAGCCGAGGAAGGAAGAGAAGGGATTGGCTCAGAAGCCGGGGTGACTGGTGCGGAGCCAGAAGCAGACGATGACTCGGAAGCCAAAGTTGCTGAACGAATAGCCAAATGGTTTGACTTGACATCTGTGCGTTTTGTCCCAAGGGGCACCACAGCGGAAACACTTCTTACCATCTGACGATGGCCACGACAAGCCTCCCAAACCAGCAGAACCAGCACTCGGAACCACACCAGACGACGACGACGACGCACTCGTGTGCTTCGAAACCTTGCCAGACGAACCATTGTTGCTAAAACCTGTCAGCATGCGGCATTCTTCTGTCGAATGGCGGCCAGCACCATGAATTCGGCAGACCTTGCCAGCAGAGACCTCCTTCTTTCCCTTGTTGTTTTTAGCAGCGACAGGCGAGGACCAGGGGGAACTTGACCCTGTTACGGAAGTAGCATCCAGAGAAGCAGCTTCTTTGCTGTGTTTTGACACAACTACCTTGCCATACAGTGTGCGCGCCAAGTTTGCAGCTTGATCGGTAGAAGCCCGTTGGCTGGCCGGTAGATGAGCTTGGCTCAGAGCCATTGTAGGCTTCGTTGAAACCAACAGGGTGCTCATACTGAAACACACACAGTTCGGTGAAAATGTAGAAGATAAATGGGTGAAGGTGTTCAAAGAAGTCGCAAAGAAGCACGACATTGAGTTGGTAAGGGACCAATACATACAATGGATCCAAACTTATGTTACTAACTATTATTATTGCAAAGATCAAGAAAAGAGTGAAGCCAGATTGGGGTGCTATTAAGCTTGAGATATGGGAGCGTCACAGTAAGTATATATAAATTTTCTTTGTGGAGGAAGTTCCCCGAATGAGAGTTTATCATGCTCTTGAGTCACGCGTGCCGCTCACAGTAAATATATGCTAACGACTTGTGCGTGGAGGTACGCTGAATCAACCAATTGCAACACCAATAACGCCGTCGGACAAAACAACGACAAAGTCCATAGCTACAAGTTTGAGAGTTCTGCTGTCTACCCAAGATAAGAACGCTTTAAGGCAGAACTTGGAAAAATTGGATTCAGGCACCTTCTGGGTGATTAAAGACAGCAATGATGGTGAGGCATCAACCCAAGGTCAACAACCATTAGTTGTAGATCGAATCGTAATGGACTACGCGTTGCAGTGCAATTACCATCAGTACGTATAAGAGTTGTGAGACGCGTTAAATCATCCATGCGTTCTGAATATCTCCGTAGTCCTACGCAATCCTTAATCCTAGATTTGGGCGATGACAATTTGTCATCAGTTTTTTCCGAGGCACAGCTTGATGCTATTGAGGCTTTTGGGGATCCGTTGCTCCCGTCCTTATCTCCAGAAATCACTAGTATTCTCGACGATGTTGCAAAGCTGGTAAGAATAAAGGAAATGATAGCAGCAATTGTGGCGGTGGGTGCTCAGTAAGAAAAAGCTATTACCCGGGAACTCTATTAATTATTTTGTGGTTTGACATTTTATTCTCTACTATGTTAGGCCACGCCGCTCCAAGCCTATGAATATGGCAGATCGTTGAAACATAATCTGGTTGAGGAGCCACTAAAAACTTGGTTATCCTCAGTGTAATATCCAATAAACCAAAAGAGACAGAATAAGTCAACGAGACCCGAAAGGAATTGAAACTGGTTTATTATGATAACAAAAGTTCTCACTATTTATAAGAAATGGCTTATCCTTGGCAACTACCACAGCGTGTGCCTTGAACGAATGAATTGATGTTATGGTGCATACTGACTTTAACCATCAAAATAATTCAATTACCGACCCAAAAAAACAAATCGTATCAGAGCTGGCAGATTTGCCTTTTTACAGAAACTAAAACGCAAGATATGTTTATTGATGGATTCTGAACAGATCTTGCGTTTTACTTTTTGAAAAAAAGCATTTCTCGAGCCTCTGATACAACTTGAAGTTTTGTCGGAAAATGAAATTTTAGCAGAGAGGTCCCAGATTTCGACAAGGGGTATTGATGGCCATGAGGTGAGATTCGAAAGGTGGAAGTGTACTTTTAGCAGTGTGTAACCTGAACGACTCATGGTTGCACAAAGCTCACACTTTTTGCTAGGGCGCATGTCGCGTTATTACGGTTTTTCACTAATTCAAATGTGGTAAACTAAAATCTGGTACAGAAAATGTCTTGATAGAAAGTTTCTCTTTACAGCACCAGGATCTAATTGCACACATGCACCTAGTTGGACTGAAATTTTAATCCTTCATATAACCCAGTAAAGAAACCAAGTATGAAACAGCCGTCCAAGAACACATCTCACACCATCATAAAAAGTTTTTTTATACATTCTTACAGCAGAGCACCAATAGGGTCCTTGCTGACAAAGAAGTTGATAAGCTTTTCACCTTCAGATCTGTTTCTCCGTTAAGACTGAGTTCTTAAACAATGTTTGAAAGTTTGGTATAAAAGAAGATAGTTCCTATAGCTCAGATTGTACTGAATATAATCATCGAATCTCAAACATTGTTTAAATTGAATTACCACTTCAAGCATGCCTCCTCCAAATAAAAAACAAAAACGGGCAAAAGAGCAAGCAACACATGGCCGTTTTCAACAATTAGTCCCAACAATTCAGCAACCACTTGTCGAGCTTCCGATCGCAGAAGTCATGGTTGAAACCGAACCCAACGACTTTGAGATTCTTGCCTCTTTGCAAGCCGAAACAGTAGCATTGGCCACCCCTCCTCCCAGCTTTCCTATTGAATGGAATAATGTAGCAGAGGGATCGAAGCGCAGAAGCGGAAGATACTGGGGTACTGGTAGAACTACCAAGTATTACCGAAATGATATGGCTACAGAGAAGAAAAAGGGCAGCTATGAAATCACCAACTTCTTTTCCTCAGTATCAGTGGATCAGCGACGCGGAAATGACGACGACCACAATGACGAAGTAGCCATAGTGGATGATATCATCCCTTTGATGACCATCCAGGAAGGGTTCGAACGCCTTACGTCAATCGTCACTCCAATCGCAAATGCAAGAAAGAACGATAAACGAGACCTTAACGATTATGAAATGCGAAAGCATATTGGTGTTCACATCTATTTTCGAGAGCTGTTGAACGGCCGGTCGATAATGCAAGCATCCAAAACGGCAGCTGTAATTGCATGGATTGAGCCATCAGAGTATTATCGTCCCCGTGCTATTGTATCATATGCCAAAGAATATCTTCGCTTCGGTAAAATCTCATCTCATCAGCAAGGAAAACACACCAAACGCCTTTCGTTTTTGAGCGACGAAGATGTTAAAGCAGCAGCATTACAATGGTTAAAAAGGACTAAGCCAGAGAAAAGAGGACTTCCCGAAATGCTCAAATATCTGAACGAAGTCGCTATTCCAGACCTTCTTGCTCTTCCAGGACACATCTCGCCTTCAGTACTTCGAAATTACTTGATTGAATGGGGCTACACCTACCGAGTCAACAAAAAAGATGTTTATTACGATGGCCATGAGCGCGATGATGTTGTTAAGTACCGACAAGAGTGGGCTGCTAAAATGGTTGAATACAGCCGCTTTATGGAAACGTACGACGACGACGACGTTTCAATTGAGCAACAACCTCTTCTACCAGACGACCAAAAGAAGATCATCATGGTGACGCAGGATGAATCAACTTTTTATTCGAATGACTGCAAGACCAACCTCTGGCTGTATGAGGGTGAAAATCCCATCCGTAAAAAGAGTCCAGGAGGATCCATTATGGTCAGCGAGTTCCAATGCCCTTGCCATGGAACCATGAGGATTAAAAACTGGAAATCTCGCAGACTATTCTACGCTGGTGCCAACCGTGACGGTTATTGGACGTCAAAGGATATGATGGAGCAACTGAAAGAAGACGCCATACCATTGTTTGAAGCACTTCATCCAGGCTGTCAAGCGCTATTTTTGTTTGATCAATCAAGCAATCATAATGCTTATGCAGCAAGTGCGAAACTTGTGAGCCGTTTTGGCTTGAAAGATAAAGTCCTCAAGGGTATTGAAGAACGCGTGATTTTGCCTGGCAAGTACGTCGGTCCAGATGGGAATTTGGTCATCCAGAACTTTTACACTCTTGAGATCAAGAAAAAGAAGACAAGAAGCGGTGTGAAAGAAGAGCGCATTTGGACCTTGAAGGGCATTAGAACCATCTTGGAAGAGCGTGGCTTAGGACGTTGGAAGGAATTTGAGGCAAAAAAAAAGCATTGGAAAACCAATTGCGATCAGCCACCGAATGCTGATCGCACTTGTTGCCCTTACCATATGTTAGAGGGTCAACCCGACTTTGTTGCGCAGAAGAGCGCGTTACACGAGACTGTTCTCAAGGCTGGTCATTTGTTCGCCTCTTATCCCAAGTACCATTGCGAAACTAATTGGATCGAGAGATACTGGAGTGCTGCCAAGCGCATTGCAAGAAGTGAATGCGATTATACATTCTCGTCACTAAGAGATAACCTTGATAGCTTTCTAGATCAAGTCTCTCCACCTGATGCTAAGCCTCTAGAAATCCGCCGTTATTACAATCGCTGCTGGCGTTATATTCGCGCATACAATGATATGAAAGCTGGAAACGATGCTTTTAAGCTTGTTGAAAAGTTTACCTCGAAAAGATTTAAATCCCACCGAACACTTAGAAAAAATGATTAAATTGTATATCACACTAAATAAATGAGCCATGACGCCTAATACTTCTTCATTCTACATATAATATTCATCTCACTTAATGATGGCTCTTGCACAGTATCGGCTATACTATTTACCAGCGGAATTTCAAAAATTCTCGATTTTCGACAGTGACGATTTAAGTCAGTATGCACCATAAGGGCTTGTTCACATATAGTTGTAAAAATTTCCATTTAACAAAAGAACAGATATTAGAATGGTTTACTAAACATGACTGTATTGGTTATAAAATTGAAAAGGCAATTGCATGTGATGAATGTTATAGACTAGGGCCTTGTCTATAGGGAACGTTTATCCAGGTCAGTGAATGATTCAGTGGAAAAGAGGTTACTTTTTATTTTCCCAGCCCAGCCAGCCTTTATATACTGCTGGGTCTAATAAGCTTTGTACAACCCAGGCCGGGGCCCAGGTTCCTTGACTAACTGCTACCTAGTCGGTAACATTCTCCCCCTCTAATACTAGGGAGTATAATTTACAACGATCAATGAATACAGTAAAATAATATTAATGGGAACAGGGAAGTGTATGATGGGGTGAAGGTGATAGGGTTTACAGATTTTTAACTTTGGGGGTACTTGGGTGTCATGAGAAACATCGGGGGTACTTGGGTGCTATGAGGAAAATCATGGGGGTAGGAGAATAAACATGCATTAATATTGCGGGGGTGAAGGTATTAGCGGTGACCTAATGTGAAACACCGCTGTAAAATTTTTACAAACATTGAGCAGGGGTATACCATTTCCTTGCTTCTTTTTCCAGTTGCATATTTTATCTACTTCTAGTCCTTGCCTTTACTTATTTGCTTATCAACCAATGTCCGTCTTTACTTCGCACCTTAGCACCACTACTCATACTAGTGGTCTTACTCAACCTGCCTTTGCTCGAGACTGCATTGGACGCACTTGCATCACTGGTCATGTTACCAATTTGCATCCAGAGATTTCGTATGGCTTTGAACGTCCAGCCAATGTCTGTTAGCGCTGCTTTTGTTTGTCACGGATCTGCTTTAACTTTATGCCTGATGGTGGCTTGTAAGATGTGGAACAGTCGCCACACTACTGTGATCAGTGCAGACTCAACAAGAGAGGTCACTGTGCTGATCAGCAGTACCTCCTAGGTAAGGATGTTCCCCGTAGTCATGTCTGGCTCCTAGGCCAGAACATCCTTGTTGGTCCTGAGCTGCAGGTGCCTTCTTGGTATTTGTCCCGGGTCTTCCAGTCTCGGCGCAATCGTGAGCCAATGGGTTTGGTCTGCTCCTTGGGCCAATTGCGTTCTGGTAGTGAGGTGTTCCCTTCCTTGGCTCCTCCTAAGTTGCCACTTTTTGGTCCTACTAGTGGTGTCCTAGATTTGGGTACCTTTGGTCCTGTTGTCTTTCAGGCTAGTCCTCCTGGTTCTGTTCGGTCTGGTGGTGGCTCAGTTGCAGTTCCTGGTGGCTTGCGTCGTTCTGGTCGTTTGGCTGGTGCTCGTGTTCGTCCTTTGGTAGAGACTGATGATGAGGTTGAGTATGCTGAAGAGGTAGATGAGCTGGCTAGTGATGAAACTGACTACCAACTCCGCCTTGGGTCCATGTCACCTCTTGAGGGCTCCTTGGGTGCACCTGAGGTTACTACCACAGGGCATACCCCTCCTACTCCCTTGGTGTCTCTGCCAAGCTCCCCTGGGTCTGCTCGTTCGGATTCTATGTCTCCTGTGACATCGCCTGGGGTGGACCATATGGAGCAACCACAAGACCCTAGGTCTCCTAGTGTTCACCAGCAACAGCATCTCGCTTTTACATATATGTCGAATCCCGAAGCAAACCCAGGACCCCAGTACAAAGCAAAAGGATACCAAACGAAGCAACAAGGCTATGACCGCGCCATGGTTGAAGCGTCCAGAGTGTACAGGGAACTAAAGGATGGAAAGTGGCCGGGTGACATCCTATGGGGAATGGCACAGCGAGATAAGATTGTAGATCTCTGAAACGAGTTGGATGGTGAAAAGAAATTGGCAAGGCTGGTTTTGATGCCAGATATGCACGAGAGTATACTGGGTGGGGCGATTGCCCAGCCGATTCAGGCGAAACTCAAAAGACACGACGGCCCAATCATCTATGGGAAGTCATGGTTTGGTCCACAGCAATCGGTTCATCAAGGGTTATTCAAGCATTGTACACCCCCTGACTCGGTTGCTACGCAAGGATACTCTATGGCAATGGACCAAGAAAGAACAACATGCTTTTGATACACTGAAACAAAGTTTGGTTTCTGCGCCAGTGCTGGCACTGCCGGACCCAACGAAACGTTTCTTTGTCCATACCGATGCATCATCAACTGTAGCAATTGGAGGTATCCTATCGTAAGAACAAGAAGATGGGAAGCTGCACCCTATAGCTTATACATCAAGATCTATGACCCCAGCCGAGTTGAACTATTCCATTTATGAGCAAGAAATGTTGGCGCTCAAGCATTGTTTACTGAAATGGCGTCATCATTTGGATATGCAGAAGTTTACTGTTTTTACAGACAACCGGGCACTATCATCTCTCAAGACCAACACCAATCTGAATAAACGACAAATTCATTGGTTAGAGACATTTATGTCCTTCTCTTGGGATGTCCATCATATCCCCTGAGAAAAGAATCATGGGGCCGATGCTTTGAGCAAGCGTCCTCCATCAAAACCGTCGAACCCAGATGCCAACAAGGAGTTACAAGAAGTCTACCGGGTCCAAAAGCAAGATACTATAGAAGCTGAGATCAAGGACAAGTACGACAAGGACGAGTACACTAAGGATCTTTGGGACAAGCTCCGTTGTGGCATCGATGTACCAAACATCACGTTAGTAGACCAGTGGTTGTACCGCCATCCTGAAGGAAAAGATCATCGTCAGCTAGTAGTACCAAGGATGCCACAGATCCTGAAAGACATTTTGTATGATACCTATGATGCACCATCAGCAGGCCACCGAGGAATAGATGCAACTATTGAAAGGATTGAACGCCAATTCTATTGGCCCAACATCGCCAAGTCGGTTCGTCAATACATTGGTGCTTGTGACAGCTGTCAAAGGAACAAGGGTACCAACAAGAAGCCAGGAGGTTTGATCCAGCCATTGGAACCAGCCCAAGGTCGATGGGAATCGATATCAATGGACTTCATAACCCAGTTACCAGTAACCAAGAATGGGTATGATGCCATCATGGTGATTGTCGATCGATTTTCCAAGAGAGCACATTTCGCACCATGCTACACAACAGATACAGCCGAAGATGTAGCTCATCTATTTTTACGAGAAATATATCGCCAACATGGGTTCCCCAAGG